ATCTCCCAGATCTCGCCGCCGAGGTGTGCACGCGCCCCTGCGTCTCTGTCGCGCCCAAAAACTGCCACGGTGGACGCCCGCCTGGGGACGAGATCCGGGAGATATGGCGAGATATGGCGAGATATGGCGCTGCACACGGTGGACGGAGTGGGTGGGGGGGAGGGATAGGGTGGAGGGTGAGGGTGAGGGGGTGGGGGTGGGGGTGGGGGTGAGGGGTGAGGGAGAGGGAGAGGGAGAGGGTGGAGGGTGGAGGGTGGAGGGTGGAGGGTGGAGGGTGGAGGGTGGAGGGTGGAGGGTGGAGGGTGAGGGTCAGCGCAACCGGCTCGACCTTGAGCTCGACGGACCCGCCCGTGATCTCGGGTAATCTCGGGTGATCTCAGCTGATCTCGGCTAGTCTCGGGTAATGTCAGCTGATCTCGGCTAATCTCGGGTGATCTCGGCTGATCTCGCCTCGAACTTGAGCTTCGAGTAGACCGACTCGCCCTTGATCTCGAGCGTCGCGTCGCGCACACCGCCTGGTGGGAGATACAGCCGAGATACAGCCGAGATACAGCCGAGATTGTGCCGAGATTCAGCCGCCTGGTGGGAGATTTGGCCCAGATCCAGCCGAGATCTAGCCGAGATTTAGCCGAGATTAGCCGCATCTCCCCCCATCTCCCCACACGTCCGCCCACGTCCCCCCATCTCCCCCCATCTCCCCCCATCTCGAGGCCGCCTGCGTCGGAGTCGGAGGCAGACACGACTCGAGACTGCCAGCCTAACGGCGACATGTCCGGGACATGTCCGCAGCCATGCCCCTCTCAGAGGAAGGCGCGCCTCGAGAGGTGACCGCCCTGCGACTGGGCGTAGCGCGAGTAGAGCGAGAGCAGGTCGTTCGCCCAAATCGCGGCCTACCGCACCACCCACCGACCCTGAACCCACACAGGATTCGATACGTTGGAGGTATGGGACCCGAGCGGCGGCCTCGTCGCCGCCGGTGCCCGCACGGATCTCAAACATCACGTTCTTGTCGTCGTTTGGGTCTGCGGCGGAGAGAGGTGTGGGGAGATATGGGGAGATGTGAGAGGAGAGCATGAGCATCGATACTAGTGAGCAGAGGAGAGGGAGGTGAGAGGAGAGGAGAGGAGAAGGAGAAGGAATTAGTGGGCGCTACTGCAAAGAGAGGAGAGGGTAGGAGGAGGACTAAAATGGGCGCCAACATAAAGCGAGGAGGAGGACTAAGTGGGCGCTAGAAGAAAACGTGAGGAGGGACTAAAGTGGCTGATCCGTCTCCGCCGCGCGCGCCGGTCGGCAGCAGCAGCAGCTTGAGTCGGCCGTCGAGCGCCTCCATCGCCTCCTCCACCTCGCGGATCTCGGCGCGCGCCATCTCGCGCAGCTCCGCGTCCTCCTCGTTGAACAGCTCCTTGCCCTCCTCCAGCCGCTGCTCGAGGCTCTCCCACTCGGCGAGCGCCTCCACCGTGCTGTCGAGCTTGGAGCGCTCGCGTGAGACGCGCAGCATCTCCTCGACGTTGGCCTGGACCGCCGGGTCCTCCAGCTGCGCGCCGAGCTCGTCGTGCACCTTGCGCATCTCACGCAGCCGGTCGAGTACGAACGCATCCACCATCACCGCCGCGCCACCTCTGTGAGAGCACATCGCTGGCAGCGGCGGCGCCCGCGGCGCAGCAAGCCAGCCATGAGCGATGAGCGGCAGAAGCAGCGGCCCGGCCATGAGCTGTGAGCTTGGAGCGGCCACGAGGAGCTGAACGCGGGAGGAACTGCGCGGGAGGAAGCAGCGATAGGCAGCGATAACCAGCGACGCGTGTGAGCACACTGCGAGCTCGAAAAAAGATGACCCGCTATGTGTGAGGTTGATGACTGCACTCCAAGTGCTCCAAGTGCAAGATGCTCCAAGTGCTAACGATCGCCATACAGACATGGGTGCGAAACAACGACAAGACCAAGGCACGGGCAGAGGAGAGAGAGAAGAATATAGGGCGGATAAATAAAGCGCCTGTTCACGGCATGGAGGGTGAGCCACGCTGAACGTAGAGCCGAACGGGAGGAAGCCGGGGAAGAAGACTCCGAGGAGGACGAAACACCAGTGGTACAGTCTGTTGCGGGCATTAAGAAAACAGGATCTCGCTATAGGGTGCCCACAGGGCCCAAAAAAAGAAAGACATCGGATGTGTCTTGTGAGCCTGTTTGTGTCTGTGTGTCGCTCGTGCGTGTCGTCATCATCTGTCTAGTGTCCACCCATACCGCGTTGGTGTCCAGTCCGAGCCTGGCTGTTCTTCACCTTTCTACCTACCTACCTGGATGTGAGGTTGATGACTGCACTCCAAGTGCTCCAAGTGCAAGATGCTCCAAGTGCTAACGATCGCCATACAGACATGGGTGCGAAAAACAACGACAAGACCAAGGCACGGGCAGAGGAGAGAGAGAAGAATATAGGGTGGATAAAGCGCCTGTTCACGGCATGGAGGGTGAGCCACGCTGAACGTAGAGCCAAACGGGAGGAAGCCGGGGAAGAAGACTCCGAGGAGGACGAAACACCAGTGGTAATCCCGTCGTCAGCTGTAACGATGCACCCGAAGGGGACCCCAGCGCCAGCATCATCCGTGGAGGTACAAGTGTTCGAAGAGAGAGTGGACCTGAGCAACGATATGACTCGGCGGCAAATGATCGCAGTCGGGGCGTCAGAAGAGTCGTCCTTGCGCGAGGAGAGCTCGATAAACTCGAGGGGCCAAAATGTGCCGCGAGGAGGGCAGAGGCCAGAGCTGCGCCGAGCAGCGAGTAGAGAGCAAGGGAGCGGCAGGCGGCGGCACCGTCGCAGGACGAGGCAGAGGAGAGCGACGCGACAGAGGAAGAAGCGACAAAAGAGAGAACGACGAGAGTGGGACGACCGCGGGGACCGGGGTGTGGCATGAGCCTTGACTTCGCCTGGGGTCCATGCCCGAAGCCCACCCTGTGAATGTAGAAGGTAGCCATCCATGGTTTGCATAGTTGGCTCAATTATAGTCGGGATTTAAAGCTCAATTGCACGCGCGCACAAACACCCACGGCATGAAGGTTGCAGCGAGAGTCGGCGAGAGACTCACAGCGACTGCGAGGAGAGATACTGTAGGAAGAGGCGGACGCCCAAGGGTGGGCGACGGCTAGCGCATCACACCCCTCTCCTTAAAATCCCTGTGTGGTGGCGGCGTGCCGTCCTCCCATCCCTCCCTCTTGGGGTTGGGCTGTCTGTTTTCTTTCTTTCTCTTTCTCTTTACGAGGTAAAGGTACGAGGAGAGGGGGGGGGGCGGGGGGAGGGGGGGGAGCACGATTTGATCGATTGATAGGTACGAAACACCTAACATCCAAGTGGTATCGCCCTCTTGCGTTGTGGCAGACGACGGCTTCAGACTCGAGACTGGCGCGGCGTGCGTTCAGCCAACGGCCGCGCGGTCCTCCACAAACGAGGGCTCCCTCTTGGACCGCCGGGCCGCCTCAAATCCATGACCCATCTCGCTCCGCCGCTCGGCGCGGTGCATCGCCTCCTCGATCGCCTCCGCCAGCGCGTGCGCTAGGGTGCTCGTCTGCACCCCAAAGCGTGCCGTGAGACGACAGCCACCCGCCACGAGTCCCTGCCACGAGACAACCGCCTATTCGCGTCCAGAGCTGAGCAGGAAAGGATGCGATAGTCGCGGCCCGCATCGAGACCGCCGCCTCCGCTGCCGCCTTGAGCGCGAAACTCGCGTCAGGCATCTCTGCACCGCGTGCCCCGGCGCCTAGGCGATAGGGAGAAGGGCACGTACATGTCGCCCCCTTGAAGATGGGGAAGCGCGTGTTTGGCCCGCGGGAGCGCGACGTCCCCCTCAAGCTCTCCAGGGCGGTAGAAGGGCACGACCTTTTCACAGGCAAGAGGGTGCCAAAAGAACGACCCCGGGAGCACACGGTGGCAGAACGCGCGCCGCGTGCACGATTGTGCCGTACATCTCGCGCAGCTCCCCGTGGCTGCTCGCAGCGGTGGCGGGAAGGGGCGTGAGGAGGTGGCGTCAGGGTTGGAGGAAGGTTCGAGGAGGAGCGAGGAGGGGATGTGGCGGTGGCGACGCGGCCGGTGGTGGGGCACGATGCGTGGACGGTGAGCAAACGGGCGGCGGTGTCTAACAGCCGGCTTCGACTAGCCTCGCAAGGTGCCTGCTCCCGACCACGGCGCCGCCCGCGGGACACCGCACGCCTTGGGCGTCCGCCGGAAAGCGGGGAACAGTCCTATGAGGTGACGAGAGCGGGGAACAGTCTTGCAACCTCGACGCTGCCAAGAGATCGCCAACTCACACCAATAGGCAAGGGTGGTTAGGGATACCAAGCAAAGAATACGAGATTCTAGAAAGGCACGAGAGACTGTGCGCAGCTCAAGGCCGCACCTTACGTCGGGTCTCCGTAGAGCTCCAACCAGCACTCATCGCGGGGTGTGAAACGCGTGCCCGCAAGCCGCTCGTTCGCTGGGTTGACGAGCGCGTCGTTGGCACCCTCGCCGCCGGGCGGATGTGTTACGATGCAAGCGGTGCGGTGCACCTCTATCGACAGCGGCGCTCCCTCCCAACCACGCACATACTTGCACGCCGGGCGGCCGGGCAGCTTCTGCGCACTCCACGCGCGCCACTGGTCAAGGCCTCCGTCCGTGGTGTCGCGGCCCAGCGCACGGGTGGACGCGGACCTCGCGCCTCGCGAGCGGCACATGGCGAGCCTCAGTGCAGGTCCGACGCGGCGAGGGGCGCGCATGAGCAAAGCGATCTTGACGGCGAACCAGCGTCTCACGAGAGATTCATTCCGTACTCAGTACGACGTTACTCTCTCTCTTTCTCTCTCTCTCTCTCTCTCTCTCTCTCTCTCTCTCTCTCTCTCTACGGTGTTAGGTATCTTGTTGGCAAATCAGGACACCGAGCTCACACAAATTCACAGCCTTGTTATGAGAAGAAAATACGTGTCCCATGGCGCTATGCGCTGGTCTGGATAACTGGATACATACCCATCACTGAGCCGACAATGCTACGGGAGGTGGTTCGGACGCCCGCCGTGGTTTTCTTTCTTTCAGACCGTGTGTCTTGATTTGCCAACAACACACCTATAACGTATTCACAGATAGGTTGATAAGAAACAAGAAGCTCACATAGCGCAGAGACAGTGAGGGTGTGAGAGGCGGACCTAAGTTCACAGAAACGCACGACCGCGGAGTGATCAGGAGACCAGCGCATCGTCGGGCACCACCATCGCCCCTCGCACGCGGTGTGTGCGCGCCTCTGACCTCCCTCCAGTGCACACACGCGGCGCGCCCTCTCCCTCTCCCATAGAGTGCCGCCGGCGCGCCTTTGCCGCGTGCCTCTGCAGCGGCCATCGCACCGCCAGCGCACCGCCAGCGCAAGAGCACAAACACAGTATTCAGCCTGGCCCTGGCCCTGGCCTGGCGACGGCCGAACTCTGAACGGTCGCTGTCTGGCCGCGCGCGCCTCCACGCCTCCGTGCTGCAGCACGCCAAGGCGCTGAGCGCCTTTCACCGTATCGATGCAGGCGGCAGAGAGCGCAGCGGCATGCAGCAGGTCCTTCGGCAGATACAGGAGGCGGTCGAGCCGGTGCTGGAGCGCAGCCTGACGAAGCGCCGGCGCCAGGAGTTCCTCGCCTCGGCCGGCCCCCTCTTCCTCTGCCTCACCTTCATCGAGGATGCGCTGCGCGTGCTGCTGCGCTGGAAGGAGCAGATGAGCTACATGACCGTCACGATGCGCATGCGCGCGCCGCCCCCACCCAGCGAGCCGCAGCGGATTTCGCTCGGACCGCGCGCCTCACACGCGCCGCTCGCCGCCGCCGCGCAGGAGCGGCTGGCTGGGTGGACTCCTGCTCATCTTTTCGCTCGTGACGCAGGCGCCGGCACTGCGGCGCCCGGCCGCGCAGCCAAAGAGAGAGAGAGACGCGAGACGCGAGCGCGTGCAGCGGGTGGAGCGGGCCGCCGCCGCCGCTGGCGCGCCTTCAGCCTGCTCTCGCGGGAGTCGCGGACGCCGGACACTCGCAGGCAGTCGCGCGGGTCTGCAGCCGCGGCGCTCACCCTTGATTTGGTACCCGCTCTCGCGGCCCGCACCAAGACACAGCCGCTTTACCGGCGCCGCCGCCGCCGTCCGCAGATGACGGGGAGCGTTTTGGTGCTGCGTCCAAAGGAGGTCAAGCCCAGCCGCGTGAAGGTTGGCTGCTACACACTGCTCGCCTTCGTCTTCCTGCAGCCCTTCATGTACGGCCAGGCGAGATCAGCCGAGATCAGCCGAGATCAGCCGAGATCAGCCGAGATCAGCCCTTCATGTACGGCCAGGCGCGCGACGCTAGGAAGCGGAATACGGACTCTTGTATCCCAACCAGCGCCCGAGAGGACACGCATTCAGCCGTATTCACGCGGTGCTCTGAACCCGCTGCACAATCCCGTCTCCCCGCCCTGAGGCGTGCTCAGCTTCTAGGCGCGCGACGCAGACTTCATGTGCCGCAGTGTGACACTAGCGGGCGGGCTGCTGCTGCTCATCTGGTCCGAAAACGACCGCAAGCAGCGCAGCGAGGACATGGGCTTGCCGTCCGGTGCCCGCGCCCGCCCCTGCCGCGCCCGCCCCTCCCACGCCACCGCCACTCTCGACGCCGCAGCGCGTGCCCCGCACCGCGCCCCCCCACTCCGCCCCCCCACTCCGCCGCCCCACACGGCCAGGCATGGAGTCGACGAGCTCGGACCGGCTGCAGCTCTGCGGGTTAGCGCTGCCGTCCGGCCGCCTCCTCTTTGCGCCGCCTTTTCTCCCCAGCCCGGCCGGAGCCGTCATAGGCGCGTCCTGCTGACCTTCGGCCCGCGTGTTTCTTTTTTTGACGCGTATTTCTTTTTCTAGCGTAGGCGCGTCCTGCTGACGTTCCTCTTCTTCTTCCAGGCCGTGTACTCTGAGAATGGCGGAATGCACCGCCTCTGGACGGCGCCGTCTCTCTTCGGGCTCATCAGCTTCGTGGTGCTCGCGGGCCTGGCGGGTGCGAGACGCCCCCGAGACACTTCCGAGACACCTAGATCACACCTCCGAGTCAGAGACGTTTCTGCCGACGCGTCCACGGCACGTCCGCAGGGATGGTCTGCGCGGGCTTCAAGACGGAGTGGTCGGCGCTGCTGCTATGCGGCATCCTCTTCCTGTCCAACCTCTACATGTACCCCTTCTGGTCCATCCGCGAGGGCCTGAGGGACTTTTACCGCTACTACTTTTTCCAGACCCTCTCCATCATCGGCGGGCTAATGCTGCTCGCGCTGCACGGCCCGGGCGGGATCAGCTTGGACAAGGGGATGAAGAAGGCCATCTGACACGTGGCGCGACTGCACTCGCCGTGCGAGTCAGCTGCAACTATCTGGGACGAGAGGCCGGAGGGGCCGGGAGGTGGAGGCGGAGGAGGGGTGGCGTGCCGGCGGAGATTACTCGACGCGCGGGTACAGGAACGGAGAGGGTGCGAGGATTCTCCGCGTTCGTCGTTTGTTTGCTCGCTTCACGCTTGTGTGCGCGACGTCCGGTTGCGCAGCCCCCGCGCCCCGTCGCGTGCTCAAGTACACGACTGATCAGTGAACAAAAACATCCCACACCTGTGTGCGACCCCACGCCCGCGCCTCGACGGCGTGAGGTCGAGCGCGAGACGCGCGGCGCGAGATCCCCGCGCCGCGCGCGAGAACCACAACCAGGATGAACCACACACATGTGTGACATGAATCATGATCGATGATGCGCACATGAGAAGTGGGATGGGCTGTACCACGTATAGACTAGTACGCGCCAGGGGGGCGCGGCCGCGGGCGGTCCCAGGCGCAACCCCGACGCAGAGGGCGTGTGGTGTGTGTTTGGCTTTGGGGAGATTCGTGTAAGTAGAGATATGGCAGCGTGAGAGTAGAGAGACATGTTGTGCTCCCAGGAGCCCCCCCCCCCCCCCCCCCCATCTACTCCCCCGCGGCTACCGCGAGTAGGAGCGATCCTGTGGCACGACTCGTCCGAACTCGTCGACCTTTGGCTGCAGCTGCTCCACACTGTGTGCAAAGTTGCAACGGTCGCCGAATGTGCAGGTGCCCGCTGCATGCCGCCTGCAAAGCACCGTCCTCCACCCGGGGGGCTTCCCGCTGACCGAGGGCGGCTGCGGCTGCCTCCCGTACGCAGCCGTCTCCACCGCCGCCGGCTGCGGCGGCGCACCGTACGGGTACGGGGCGGCAGCCACACTGTAGGAGCCGGGAGGCGCGTACTGCTGCGACGTCGACGGTATGAATGGCGGCGCCGCCGCCGCCGGCTTGGCCCGCAGCTCCGCCTGCCCGTGTGCAAAGTTGCACTTGGCGCCGTACGGACAGCCGCCTGTCGACGCAAACCCTTTGCACAGCACCGTCTTGTACATGGCCGCCTTTGCGTCACCGTCGAGCGTGCGCTTGGGCGCATGGGAGGGCTGGTACGCGTGCGCGGCGGGGCTGCTCCCGCCGTAGATCGGCGGCACGCCATATGCTGGCGCAGCAGACGCCTGAGCGCTCACGAGCGTGTGCATCGCTGTCTCGACGGACGTCTTGGTGCCGCGCATCGAATCGGTCGCCTGCCGGAGGAACTCCTGCGCGCTCTGCTGCTGCTGCGAGGCGACCTGGAGCTCCGCGTGCAGGCGTGCCATATCCGGCGTGCCATCCGGCGTGGATGTGACGATCGCAAGTGCCGTGATGAGCGCAGTGCCGGCCGCCTGCTGCGCCTGCTGCGCCAAGAGCTGCGCGTTCTCCGCCGCGAGCAGCGACGTAAGAGGGCGGAGGGTCTCCACTGTCTCTGGCGCCGCCATGCTGGGATACGCACCACTAACCGGCGGCGCCAAGATGCCGGAAGGGTATGCCGCACCACTGTGCTCCATATTCCGGATGGGCGAGCGTCGACACGAGCGATTTCTTTTCTCAAATTCCTGTGATGAACGTGTGTTGTTGGAAAATCAAGAGGTCCGTTCAGTTATACGCCGTTCAGTTACCACGTGAAGTCATGGCGGCCGGTATTGCACGGAGCTCCGTGAGCGGCGGCGGGCTCAAACGAGCGAATGGGCGGCTGCTCCCCACAGACAGGAGTTGCATACATAAGGTATGTATGTATGTATGTAGGAAGGTGAAGAACAGCCAGGCTCGGACTGGACACCAACGCGGTATGGGTGGACGCTGGACAGATGATGACGGCACGCACGAGCGACACACAGACACAAATAGGCTCACAAGACACACAGCCAGCGGGCTGCCAGCCTGCCACACACCCTGAGTAGGCGTACACATAACTCAAGGCCACATCCTCCTTGTCGCCCCCCCCAGCACTCCAAGCACCATCGCCGCACGGTCGCGCCGCCGCCACTCGGCATGCCTCAGCAGTGGTGGGGCACGCACGTGCGGCCGCCGCCGCCCCTGCTCCGGGAGGACGAGGATTCGCCAATCGAGGACGAGCTCATCGAGGACGGGCTCAACGGCATGTGCGTGTACGACGCGCAGGAGATCACCGTCGCCCGTGAGCCACCCGCGCCGCCTCCGGGGAGGATGGGCGACCCTCTCTATACGGCCGCGGTGGAGCAGCTGGAGCGGTGCCTGCCGGTCTTGAACGGGATGGTGTACGAGTTCGAGGATCTGCGGCTCGCGATGGCGCAGCGCGGCGGCCTCGCCACCCTCCTCGAGCTGCTGCCCCACGCGCCACCGCACGTCGAGGAGGAGGCATTGCACGTCCTCCTCAACAGCCTCTATGGCCAGCCAGAGGCGAGCAAGCTCGCCACTCTCCGCCTGGGCGCCGTCGGCGTGCTGCAGAAATCTGCAGCCGCCGCGGCGCCGGCCGGAGAGCCCGCCGTGCAGAGCATGTGCTACGCCGTGCTTTGCGGGCTGGTGGACAACTGCCCGCGCGCCGCCGAGGAGTTCCTCACCTCATCAGCCGCGCTGCAGGCGTTGCTCTCCTCGTGCAGCGGAGCTGCGATAGGGTCCATAGGGTCCGGCGACGCCGCGAGGGAGGGCGAGGTACAAGAGCGGGCGACCGATCTCCTCCTCGCCCTCTGCCAGGACGGCACGGTGCGCAGCGCGCTGCTCGCCTCAGACGTGGCCACCCGGTGCCTCGAGCGGGTGGCTTCGGCCTCGCGAAACACCTTGCACGCCGGCAAGGCGAGGCAGGCCTTGGCTGAGCACCGCGGCTGCCGGACGTAACTCGTAAGGCTCTTACTTGCTGAGTATAGTTCTACGGTACATTTATCTCATATAGTTCTACGGTACATTTATCTCAACGGGGCAAGGGCCCGTTCACCAGAGACGGTCCGTCACTAGAGACGAGGAAGAACCGGCACCGTGCGGGACCAGCGCCACAGACTCCCTCGAAGTCGAGAGTCGTCTCTGGTCTCTCTCTCGACCTCTCTCGGTCGGTTGCGTCGCCACGCCTCTCACTATCAGGGACACACAAGCTTCGTCACAACTCACAGACAGAACAGCAGACAGGTTCACACGAAAGGTCCAGGCACGCAGCCACCCGCTCTTGTTCTGGAGCCCTCCGCTGTGGACGCGCGTGCCTCGCCGGCCCCTGGAAGACGGCTACCCATGGTACGCCTTCCATGAGTAGCCCGGCTGCCTGGCGCTCGTGACGGTCTTGTGGCGCAAGTACTCGTGGAGCCCCGCCTCGCCGTACTCGAAGCCGAAGCCGCTCGCCTTCCACCCTCCAAACGGCGTCTGCGCCCACAGCGCCTGGTTGCAGTTGACCCAGACGTTGCCCGCGTCGAGTTGCGCCGCGACCCTGTCGGCGCGCGCCTCGTCTGCAGAGAGAACGGCGTGGCCGAGGCCGTAGGGCGAGTCGTTAGCGAGCCGGACCGCCTCCTCCTCGGTCTTGAAGGTGCGGACGCACAGAACGGGCCCGAAGATCTCCTCGCACCTAATCTCGGCAAGCCCCGGATCGGTCGCTGGTGATCTCCGCGCAGCGCGGGACCCGAGCTCTCAGCCTCGCGCCACGCGGAGCTGCCGACCGGGACGTTGTTCAGGATGGTTGGCTTTACGTAGTATCCGCCCTCCAGCCCCGGCACGTCCGGCGGCCCGGAGCCCCCAACGAGTACCTCCACCCCCTCGCCTGTGAGCAGCTCGGGCGGTGAGCCGCGCCTCTTTTCGCCTCCCGAAGAAAGCACGGCGGCGGCTCGCCCTCGGCCTTCCGCACGGCGGCGGCGATGCGATCGCGCTGCGTGGCAGAGATGACGGGGCCCATCTGGGTGCCTTCGGCCTTCGGATCGCCGACGCGCAGCGCGACGGTGGTCTCTTCAAGGGCCTTGAGAAGCTCCGTAGCGATAGACTCGTGCACCAGCAGCCGCGACGTGGCGGAGCAGACCTGGCGGGCGGGCGACTTCCGTGAGCTTTCCGTGAGCTTTCCGTGAGCACTCCGTGTACACTCCGTGAGCTGTCCGTGAGCTTTCTGGAGCGCGCGCGCGGTGTCGGAGAGCATGCTCGCCATGGCCCACATCCTCGCTCAAGTCTCGGCCGATCTCCGGCGCCATGGAGCTGCCCCTGTGAGCTCTCGTGTCCAGCAGTCCGGACCCAGTGATACGGCCGGTGGCAGTGTGGCCTCGTGTCGGCTCCCGAGCCACTCGTGCGCAGCGTGTGTGTGGAGTAGTGTGTGCGCGTGGGCCCGTCCTCTGTGCTAGGGCGTGTGTAAGACTGGCTGACTGACTGAATGATCTCCGCGGCGGCGCCCACACTCATGCGCTTAAGGGGATGTGGAGCGCGGTGCGCCCCGTGTGCGCTCTCTTCTTGCAGCGTGGTGGTGTTGCGGGTGTGCGGAGGGCGCGCGGGCTGGGCCGTGGTCACCAGGGCTGGTGCAGCCGAGTCTCTCGCAAGTCGCATCGCGGCGCGATGGACAGAGATATGGACCACTCACTGGCTGACTGACTGATCTCCGGCTGCGTGTCCGTGCGACAGTGCCGTATCTCCCCATATCTCTCCACATCTCCCCACATCTCCCCATATCTCGCGTGTCTGTGCGACGGAGCCGTGTGACGGCGCCGTGTGACGGCGTGGCTGCGGTCTATGGGGAGATATGACCTCGAGCACGCCTCGCCGCTGCTCACGGTGAGATATGGGGAGATATGGGGAGATATGGGGAGATATCACCTGCCCGGCGGCAGAGAAGATGCCGACCATGGCCCAGTCGACAGCAGCGTCGATTGACGCGTCCTCAAAGACTAGGAGCGCGCCCTTCCCGCCGAGCTCGAGCGAGCTCCGCCGCAGCTTGTTCGCCGAGCAATGGAGCAGCGCGCTCCCGGCGGCGGAGGACCCAGTGAAGGACAGCAGGTCGAGCCTATCCGCGACGCTTCCGAGAAGGTTCCGAGAAGGTTCCAAGAAGGGGCCGAGGGCAGTCCGCCTCTCGAGCCGTGGGTGGTTGGTCAGGCAGTCGGCGCCGCCCTCTTTGCCGTCGGGCGGCCCGCCCGTGATGACGGTGAGCGCACCCTCCGGCAGACCATTCTCCCGCCCAATCTCGCCGAGCTTGAGGCAGGTCAGAGAGGCGAGCGGCGAGGGCTTCAGGAGGACGGAGCAGCCGGCAGCGAGAGCGGGAGCAACCTTGGCGGCCGCCTGCATGAGAGGATAGTTCCACGGCGTGATGGCGCCAACAACGCCGGCGGCCGCGGGCACGATGCTGGAGCGGAAGTCGCCGTCGGGCAGGGCGATCGGCGACGGCTTCAGCATCTTTGGCGCCAGCTCTGCCATGTACTCGAAGACGTCGATGCACATCTGTATGTCTCCCGCCGTCTCGCTCACGGGCTTACCGCAGTCCTGCGTGCGAAAGGCGGAGGCACGGGGGCCGTAAAGACCCTGCCGTGGGGTGCGTGACGCGAAACGCGGCTTAATATGGCGGCTCCAAGCGTGCAGGGATCGGGGTTGAGTGGATACGGTCGCTGACCTGGGACTCGAGCTCCGCGAGCTCGTCCTTTCTCTCGGTGAGCGCCGCCGCGATGCCGAGCAACGACTCGGCCCGCTGGTCCACTGCATCCGCCTTTGACCATCCCGACGCCTGCACGCTGGCGGCAGCCTCGACGGCAGCCTCGACGTCAGCGACGGTGGCGTCGGGAATCTCGGTAAAGACCTTGCCGTCGCGAGGCGAGTAGACGGGTATAGCGCTCGCCGCGCGCGCTCGGGAGAAGCCGAGCGCGCGAACGCGGCCGAGATGAGAGACGGTCCGCAACATTTTCGGGCCTGTGTCGGTGGAGACTTGTTCACACCGGTATGCCTTGCTCCTTTAGGTGCTCTTAATACGTTCTGATTCTTGTGCTGATACTTGCGTCCGAGACTGCTTGTGTTAGCCCTGTGGGTTTTCTTTTGCCCTCGGTGTCCTGTCTCGGTGCGCCTGCCTTGGTTGGACCAGCCGCCTGCCTCCCCATGTGGTGATTGTTGTTCATAACGATATCCCTACAACCACGATCGATGCGAGGACGCAAGCCCACACCAAACTCGGCCATTCCAACGGCCAGACCGCTCGCTTAAGGCTGATTGGCTAGACGAGCGGTCTACCCCCGACGGGGCGGCCTGGATCAACGGGGGATGACATGTTGACATCCTGCCTCCCGGCACGCCGGGAGGAGGTGGGTGCTCCGCCGCCGGACCCCCCCCTCCATCACCCTCGCCCAGGGATCTACAATGCTGTCTTAAGGGGTCCGACCTGTGGGCTCTGCCTGCGCTCGGCACCGGGCACCGCCTCGGTATACAAAATGCGCCTGCGGGCGGACCCTTACAGATCACAGATCACTGGATAGGGTCGATTCCGTATGGTACGGGACCCCTCGATCGTCTCGCCCTCCCTCACTGCACACTGGTGTGTTCATTGGGGGGGGTCATAACAAACACGGTACAGGATCGAGGTGCACGCTGCAGGAGCAGTGTCGTCCCCCCTCTCCCCAACGGCGATGGCGGTGTGACCGATCGAGCTACAAGAAAGAAGAGCTTGTTCTGCAGGATCCGGGATAGTCTGACGCACTACTTTCTACCTCGTGCCACGTCACCCTCCCCGCTGCTCGCTTGCCCGCTCTGCCCAGCCGACCGACGCCCCGCCATCCGTTGCCGTTATGCCGCCGCTCCTTACTGTCCGCCGTGCCGTCGTTCTTTACCATACCGCGCCGCCTTCCCATACTTCCTGCTTCGCGACGGGGTTTGTGTTGAGGAGTGACCCGTGCCGCCGTGTGCCCCGCAGCGGCCTCGCTGGGCCAGAAAGTCGGCCCCGAGTGCCAGCAGCAGCCTCGTTGAGCCAGAACGTCGGCTCGCGAGGTGGGTGCTAGTATGAGCCCGCTGAGGCGTAGTGCTCTTGCAGAGGCGGTTAGTGGTGCACTAACCCCGAGAAACCCTTCGGGTCACTCCTCATCGCAAACCCTGTCAGCAGTCCTCCTCCGGGAATGTACGTAAGAGCCACGTCGAGACGGACTTCTTGAACAGCCGGGCAACATGTCTTCCTTACTATTATTAATTGATGCTTTTTGCACGGCTGAGCCCCCCCCCCCCCCTCCCCCGCGCCCACTCCCTGCCCTCTCCCGCCACGCACTCCGTCAGAGCCCCCTCCCCTCTTGCACAACAGGAATTTTGACAATTAACAAGGTTGAATGGTGGGCTTGCCCACCCCGGAGTGGTTCGATCCCACATGAATCCGAGACGGTGACGGGATGCTGGCTCTGTGGTCTCAGGCCCAGTGAGGTAGTGCACGAGACTATCCCGGATCCTGCTGAACAAGCTCCTCTTGTAGCTCGATCGGTCACACCGCCATCGCCGTCGGGGAGAGAGGGGACGACACTGCTTCGGCAGCGTGCACCTCGATCCTGTACCGTGTTTGTTATGACCCCCCCCAATGAACACCAGTGAGGGAGGGCGAGACGATCGAGGGGTCCCGTACCATGCGGAATCGACCCTATCCGGTGCTCAAGTGCTCAAGTGCTCAAGAGCCACGTACATTGAGAGAGAAAAAAACAGCTTTCCCTTCCGTCTGCGCGCACGTCCCACTTCGCGTCTTCGGACGCATATGCAGGCGCATCATGTGCATGTTTGCTTGGTCGTTCTGGTGCTATTGGCGGGAACTGGGCTCTACTATCTGGCCAACTCCATCGACAGGATTGTGGCCAGCTTGATCGAAAAAAGTGGAACATATGCTCTGGGGACGACGGTTCGCGTATCGGATGTTCGCATATCGCTCAAGGAAGCCAAAGGCTCGATTTCCGGTCTGACCGTGGCGAATCCGAGCGGCTTCAGCGGTGAGGCAATCTCATTTCAGGATATTGTGATCAGGATTGACCCGGCATCAATCTTGTCGCGGGAGCCGATCGTGATCACCGAGGTGACGGTGCGGTCTCCGTCGGTCAATCTGGTGCTGGGCGCAAATGGATCGACAAATATCCAGGCGCTTCTAGCAGATGATTCGGGGTCTTCGAGCAAGCCTTCGCCGTCGACGGATACCTCCGGTGGCTCCTCTTCTCGATTGCGGATCAACCGACTTGAGATCGCCGACACCAGTCTTGCGGCGGATCTCTCGGCTGTTGGCGGCAAGAACTTCAGCACCACAATCCCTGCCTTGCGGCAGTCCAATGTCGGCGGTGGGAGCGGCGCTGCACCGTATGCGCTCGCGACCACGATTGCCAAGGTTTATGTGTCGAAGGTGGGGGAGTCGGTAGCTCTTGCCGAGGCCGAGAAGCAAGTGAACAAACTCGTCGACAAGCATTTGGGCGGCGACGCCGGAAAGGCGGCCAAGGGACTATTGGGCAATATTCTCGGACAGTAAAATGGCCGCGGCAGGCGGAGCGGCTCTGGTTCGATTAAAGTTGTCGAGAAGAGGATTCTGTTTTGCCAGCTGGGGCCTTTGCAGACGATGACATTTGCGGGAGCCCGAGGCGAGCGTGAGGCTCTGCGCCGCTCATACCCTCGCGTATTCCTCTCGCGCGTCGAACGCACTCATCAACAAGCGAATGTGTGTATGTCTGGGTGTGGAGTCGCGAATCTAGGTGAGTCGCGCCATCCTCGATCGCGTGCAAAGCTCGCTTCCGAGCTCTCACGCCGCGCGTAGGGCCCTTAGGGGCCTAGAGAACACAACCCCCTCTCCTTAGGGGCCTAGAGAACACAACCCCCTCTCCCTTTTCTCCCAGTAAGCTAAAAGTACGTACGGGCCTAGAGAACACAACCCCTCTCCCTTTTCTCCCAGTAAGCTAAAAGTACGTACACTTTTAGCTTACTGGGAGAAAAGTACGTACTTTTAGCTTACTGGGAGAAAAGGGAGAGGGGGTTGTGTTCTCGTACGTACTTTTAGCTTACTGGGAGAAAAGTCGCCCTCCCGCCGCCTCGCCGCTACCTCGCCCGCTCGCGCCCGACTTTCTACCTCCTCGTGAAACACCCCGCCACCTCACCCTCCTGCCGCCCCGCTGCTCGCTTGCCCGCTCTGCCCAGCCGACCGGCGCCCCGCCATCCGTTGCCGTTATGCCGCCGCTCCTTACTGTCCGCCGTGCCGTCGTTCTTTACCATACCGCGCCGCCTTTCCATACTTCCTGCTTCGACGGGGTTTGTGTTGAGGAGTGACCCGTGCCGCCGTGTGCCCCGCAGCGGCCTCGCTGGGCCAGGAAGTCGGCCCCGAGTGCCAGCAGCAGCCTCGTTGAGCCAGAACGTCGGCTCGCGAGGTGGGTGCTAGTATGAGCCCGATCCGTCGCAGTGCTCTTGCAGAGGCGGTTAGTGGTGCACTAACCCCGAGAAACCCTTCGGGTCACTCCTCATCGCAAACCCTGTCAGCAGTCCTCCTCCGGGAATGTACGTAAGAGCCACATACATTGAGAGAGAGACAAGGGAGAGAGAGGCGCGATTTCTAGGCCCTTGGGGGCCCTACCAATCAGCGCAGTCGGAGAAGCCGGTGAACGAATCTTCGGAGAGGATGGGGCAGTCATCACTGCCGCGCTCACTGGGTTCGAGAGATTGTGCGAGAGATTGTGGGAGAGAGCTTGCGTCGGAGTCGTTCCTCCGCTCCCACCTGTCGAGTGCAAGCTTCAGTTCCTTGGAGTCGAGGTACCAGACGCCGTCAACCTGCCCTGCGCTCTGAGCAAAGTCGAGGGCCTTTTCCCTCTCGGCCCGAGCCTGGGCAGCAGCGGCCTGGCGTGTTGCATTCTTCTTTGCGTTTGACGGCTTCTTCATACATTGAAAAGGGAGAGGGGGTTGTGTTCTCTAGGACGTACGCATAGCACAAACCGCCGGAACTCAAACCAAACTCGTGCGTTCTTCTCTGTGTGGTAGTCCAAATGGCGTGCTGTACGAGCGCGTCGCCCATAGCTCACCTTCCGCTCGATCTCCTGGCGCACATGGCGACTCTAGGAACATCCAAGTTGGACGCGTTCCGCACCCTCACCCTCCTCTGCTCCACATCCTCCTCTTTGCTCCGCACGCTGAGGCAGGAGCGCACCGTCCATTACAAACAGAAAGCGATTTGAGGGAGGAAGCATAACACACACGCCATTCCTCTCTTGCTGCAGCAAGATGCGGTATAGTAGCAGCAAACGAGCAAAGGTCTCTCACGACATCGAAACTCTGCCAGGGCGTGGAGGCGGGGAGAAGTAGCGCAGCCCTTGCCTGACTCAGCGTGGACTGACTGACCCCACCCTCCCCTCCCAGGAGCGGTCGAGGCTCGCGGTCGATGCGGCGGAGAGCCTCGTGCAGCGCTACCGTCGCCAGTCCAGCCGCCGGCACTGCGGCCGATTCCTTGTCGAGCTGCAGCTGCAGAGCGACGAGCTGCTCGAGCTGCTCGTGGCTCCTCCGCCGCCGTCTCCGACCGAGCTTTTGAACCTGAGCCAGTGCGGAGTCGGGCGGCTGGAGTGCTACCTGTTAGCCATTGCGCTCTCGCGCGGCCTCATGACTGGCGTCCAGGTGCTCTGGCTGCAAGATAATCAGGTTGACGAGTGTTGCGTGCTGTGGCTGGCTCGTGGTATCGACTCCATGCCACTCAACTCTCAACTGCGCTCAATCTCCCTGGGCGCCAACCCAGCAACAACCGCGCCGTCTGCGAGGCGCGCTGTTGCCTCCCTCGAGGCCGCAGGCCGCGCACGCCGCATCAAGATCCGCCCTGCCTCGTGAGGCGGCCGTGACACAGGAGTAGTCGGAGCTTTGCCGGTTTGTTGTGCCCGCTCGAAGAGACAGCTCCACGTCGACCGCTCGAGGTGGCCAGAGCCCACACGAGGCGTTCTTTGTTTGCTCTGCCGGCCAAGGCCAAGGAAGCCGTGGTGTGTGTGTGTGTGTGTGTGTGTGTGTGTGTGTGTGTGTGTGTGTGTGTGTGTGTGTGTGTGTGTGTGTGTGTGTGTGTGTGTGTGTGTGTGTGTGTGTGTGTGTGTGTGTGTGTGTCTGTCTGTGTCTGTGTCTGTGTCTGTGTCTGTGTGTGTGTGTGTGTGTGTGTGTGTGTGTGTGTGTGTGTGTGTGTGTGTGTGTGTGTGTGTGTGTGTGTGTGTGTGTGTGTGATTTTAGAAGCGAACAAGAATTTTGGCACTGACAGTGTGACTTGGGCTCGGCAGCTTGTCGACTACCAGCCGAAGCCTCTCTTGTGTGTGTGTGTGTCTTGTTGCGCCTTGCGGGGGGGGGCCGGAGATCGCGCACTAAATCGGATTCGGTGCATGCGGCGAGGAGGCCGCGGTTGTATAAAGTTCATTCTTGTGAACAAAATACTGTCACTGTGCGATTTCGGGGCCCGGGGTTGTGCGTTTATGTGAACACGTCACCGACATGTGCGAGATCGGCGGGGACCTGCAGTCCCAGCGCGATGTCCACTACGAAGTCAAGGTGCCTAGCGCCCTCACAAAGACGAGGCAGGCTGGGCAGGGCTCGGCGGCACACGGCGGATGCTGTGCGTCACTGGGCCACAAGTTTGGTTTCGGCAACACCCTCGACCAAACCTTGCTCAAGGTTCTTGGGTGCAAAGAGCGCGGCCACAAGTCACAGGGCCCGCTCGTCCATGCGACCGGTAAAGGCTGGGTCAAAGGGCACAAGGGACAGTACTACGACGCGCTCCATGTCAAGAACGGAATCGTCAGAATTTGTCTCGTCGAAAGCCAGGGCGGCATCGCGCCGCCAACCAAGAGAATCATCCACAACTTCGCCAAAGAGGTCAGCAGCCCGAGCGCCGTCGACCGCACCGACTACGGCACAGCCTCCGGCAGCGCCCGGGGCTTTGTCCAGCACCACTCGCAACAGCTCTCGCGCGCCGCCGTCTGTGGCGACGCGCAAAACATCAACAACGCTGCTCGCAACATGCGTGTCGCGCACTCATTCATGACCGGTCTCAATGCCCCACCCCCCTGCGCGCGGGCCTTCTAGGCCCGCGGGTAGTCTCCCCCCATTCCCAGGGCCTCCAGGGCTCGCACCTCAACCTCTCACAGACCAGCGCACAGCGCCATAGGACGTAGGTAGGTAGGTAGAAAGGTGAAGAACAGCCAGGGGCTCGGACTGGACACCAACGCGGTATGGGTGGACGCTGGACAGATGATGACGACACGCACGAGCGACACACAGACACAAACAAGCTCACAAGACACACAGCCAGCGGGCTGCCACACACCCTGAGTCGGCTTACACATAACTCAAGGCCATATCCTCCCTGTCGCCCCCCCCAGCACTCCACGGTACCAAGAGTACAAACAAGGGCACAACGACACAACAGACGACAGGAAGTGACATGCGAGGCTAGAGCAGGCTTGCTCTACCTCCAGCAATCTCTCCGGCCGGCGAGGCACGGACGAGACCGTGTGTGGGGTCTAGTGAGGTGTCTATGGACGCCCTCCTCAGAGGCTAGCTGCCTACTGCTAGCCCTATCTCGCACTCACAGGCGATGACAATCCAATGTGTGAGTGTATGCAAGCAGAGGCGCGTGTGCTAATTCTAGGCCGCACGTCGTGGCACTATGACGGAGGTAGACGTGCGACCGCAGCGCGCCCACCACGTATTTTCTTCTCAATAACAAGGCTGTGAACAAAATAAGAGAAGGTGGAAGGCTCCATGAACTCGCACTCGCAGGCGACTGCTGGCAGGCGAGTGCCTGTTCGCCTTTCGCGTCCACTCAGCATGGGCCAGCTTGTCGGCATCGTCGTGACGCTCGCCTCGCTGGCTGTCACCAGTGGCGTTGCCTACTCGCCCGAGGGCCTTCAGCGCCGCCTCGACAAGGCGAAACGGCCCACCAGTTGGCAGAAGCGGCTTGACAAGGCTCTCACAACTGCTTGGGTGACCCCCCTGAGTGCGTGTGCTCACGTCTCCTCTGACTTGCGCAGGCTCTCCTCGACGTCGACAAGAACCCGCAGCAGCGAATCCGCCTGCTGCAGAAGGTGGCCGGGGATGGCAAGAAAATCGTCAGTGACGTGCGGGTCGCGGCGGCCGAAGTTCAAGAGAAGGGGATCGGCAAGGGCCACCCGCTCCTCCTTGACCTCCTTTTTCCCGACGGCACGACGGCCAGGTCGGATCTCGAGGGCCTCGTCGCGCTGCGGAAGCAGCTGCCGGAGCTCACCAAAGGACTGGCGCCACCGACAGTGGAGCAGCTCAGGTGCCTGCCTCTCTCTCTCTCTCTCTCTCTCTCTCTCTCTCTCTCTCTCTCTCTCTCTCTCTCTCTCTCTCTCTCTCTCTCTCTCTCCTCCTCCTCCTCCTTTCTTTCCTCTCTCCTCTCTCCTCTCTCCTCTCTCCTCCCTCTCACCGCCCCTCGCCACGCCTCTCAGGGCCGCGGCACCCGCAGCGCCGATCGACCCTACGCGCGTGGCGAGGGCACTTGCGGACTTGGCCGGCGACGAGCGCAAGCAGCGCGAGCTGCTGCAGGAGGCGAAGAACGCGCTCCGCTCTACGCCCAAGGGGCAAGGAGACTCTAGAAGCGGAAAGCGTGGACGCCTCTTCCAACTAGCGCGGGGGGGCACGGGGATTCGGCTGCATCCCGCCGTCTTCTGCCGTCTTCCGCGGTACTCGCTGCATCCGTAGCCCGTGTATTCACGCGCTGCTCTGAAGGCACGGCGCAATACCGTCCCTCCCGCCCCCCCTGACCTCGGCGTGGCTCATGAAACAGCCTCGGGGCATTCCAGTCTCCTATCTGCCCGCGGGCCGACCCTCACAATCTCACAGCTCACAACGGGCGCGTCTCTCTTCATTCACCACGATTGGCCCCCCTGCACACTACCGCGTGGGTGGTGTTCAGTTCGCACTCCAACAGCCCTCATAACAGGCTCGAGACGCCAAAGTACCGCGTGCTCCGCTCGTGGCGGGCGGGGCCGGGCGCCCTCGACGGCGTTGTCGAGCTGAGAAGCTACCCGCCCTTCACCGTCGCGCGCAAGGGCATGGGCGGTGCGGGCTTCGGCGCCGTCGAGACCCCCTACCCCCACGGTACCCGCACCCATCCCGTACCCCCACGGTACCCGGACTCAGGTGCGGGCTTCGGCGCCGTCGAGGGCGGCGGCGCGGGCTTCAACGCGCTCGCTTCATACCTCTTTGGGGACAACGCGGGCGTCGCTAGAAGCGGAACACCTCCCCATATCTCATCACATCTCCCCGTATCTCCCCATATCTCGGCGAGTCTCACACGGCACACGAGACCGTGCCCCACAGGCCCTCACGGTGGCTGCTCTTGCTGCAGGCGGACGGCGCTGCGATGGCGATGACGACGCCGGTTGGGATCGACGTGTCCGGCGGAGGCGCCGCGAGCTCGATGAGCTTCGTGCTCCCGAGGGACGCGGCGCGGGCGCCCCCGCGGCCGAACGCCGACGGCGGCGTCGCGCTCGACGAGGTGCCCGCGCGGATCGTCGCCGTCAAGGCGTTCGCCGGCGTCGTCACCGACGGCGAGGTGCGGCGGCAGCGCGATGCCCTCGAGGCGGCCATCGAGGCGGACGGAGGCACGGCGCCCGTCGAGACCCCCTACCCCCGCGGCACCCGCACCCATCCCCTAACCACACGGTACCCGAACCCAGGCACGGCGCCCGTCGAGGCGGGAGCCTTTTCGGTGCTGCAGCCTAGTTGCAACTGCGCATTCTTGTGTTCCAAGTAGCACTCGAGAGGTTCACTGTCTTCGCAGCCCCTCGTACTCACGCGGTGCTCTGAACACACTTCACAAGACCGCCTTCCCGCCCTGATGTCGGCGTACTCGCCACGTAGGTGCTGCAGTACAATGCGCCGTACGCCATCCCGTGGCGGCGGCGCAACGAGCTGGCGATCGTGGTGAGCGAGGTGGTGGCAGAGGAGGAGGCGGCGTCAGCAGGCGAGGCGGCGGCGGGCGACGCCGAGGTTGCGCCAGCAGACGAGGCTGCGGGCGAGAGAGAGGGGCGAGAGGGCGTCTCATCGTGGTACGACACGGGGGTGCGGCTCTGAGAGAGGAGAGAGGGTGAGGCGGCCGTGGGTGGTGCGCGTTCTCTCACGAGCGACGGGCCGCCTCTCTCCGTGTGTGTGCCGTCACTACCGCGTTCTTGCTCTTGGCCGTCTGGACTTGAGAGTTTACTGGTTGTGGCCGCTTTGTGGAGCTCTCTGCCGCGGCCGTGCGGAGCGGGGAGACCGGGACCGGCGCGCGGCTCTGATGTCTGAAACTCACCCCCCCCCCCCCTTCTAGAATGTGCGAGGGTATTTTTTAGTGAAGCTGATGAATCGGTGGCTATGCTCGTCAACATGGTCATCAACGAGGAGGCGGAGAAGCTCGGCGGCGATGCGAGCAAGGTTCGTGGTTCCCGCGTAGTGCGTGCTCTAGTGCGCCCCAGTCCCCGCCGCTGAGCTGACAGGGCACTCGCGTCGCAGGTTATCATCGGCGGCTACAGCCAGGGCGGCACCATTGCCGCCTCGGCCGCAGTACAGCTCAAGCCTTCGTTCACGAGCACGGCCTCCCGAAAAGGCGCTGATCGCGATCGACACGCTGCCGATGGCGTTCGCGCAGGTCAACATCAACAAGCACGAGGGCGATGGGGAGCCCGCACTCGTCGACCCCAACGCCACCGCGATCAAGGTCTTCTACTTTGTGGGAGAGAAGGACAACACCTATCCCGTGGCCAACCAGGACCAGGCGTGGGCCTCGAGGCGTGGGCGCGCTTCAAGAACGCAGGCTTCTCGGTCACGCGGCACGGCCAGCCGGGCGTCCGCCACGAGTTCGCGCTGCAGAAGGGAGGCCTCACGCAAACGGCCAAGTGGATCGCGGAGGAGTTCTTCGGCAGATGATGATCACGACTCCCACCGAGCCGCGCCGCGCTGCGCGCGCGCGCGGCTCACTCGCTACCACCGACACCCGTGCGTGTCTCACTAAGAGCCACTCTCGCCAACAACACCACCCCCACCCCCACCACTCTCCGACCCTTTTCAAGAGAGGTGAAGAATCTCAAAATAAAAAAACGCTGTCTGGCCGAGTCGGCCGCGTCCCAGTCCGGCCCGCTCTAGCTGCCTACTCTCGGCTGCTACGACGCGCTCCATTCTCCGCCGCATGGTCCTCGTCAAAGGCCTCGACCGAATCGACGGTAGTGTGCTGGCCGGGATGCCAGACGCGCTGTGGTCACGTCACACTGCCGAGCTGCGGCAGCGCTTTGAGAACCAAGAGCCGCCACCGCTCGGGTTTGGTGATTTCTGCGCGCGATTCGACACGGGAGAGCTCTCCACGCTCGCAATGAGGGAGCACACGGGCAGCGATATCGCGGGCGACTGCGCGGGTGTTGGTGTGGATGGCGCGGGCGGCAGCGGCGCGGGACGGGGAGGCCTGTGCGTGATTGGCCCTGCATGGACGCGCGGCGAGATAGAAAAGCCGGAGGGTGTGCGCATCATGGGCTCGTACGATGCGCTCTTCTACACCGAGGAGCAGCAGAGGCGGCTTGGGGTGGACGAGTCCGGAGCCAAGGTCGCGCGCGACCGGAGCAAGTTCTTCGCGCCCGAGGCTGCGCCAGCCGCGAGCGGCCGCTTCCCTGAGCACTGGGGGCGGCCGCCGCTCAAGCAGACGCGGGACCTGCGCCCGCTGCCCGGCGGGTACGGCATGGGGAGCGGGACGCTGGCCAAATGGGTGGCGGAGAAGATGGCGGTGGACGCGGCAGGCGGCGCGGGCAGCGGCGCCGGCGCCTCAGCCGCCCGCAGCTGGCCCGACCTGGTTGGCAGTAGCGGTGAGGCGGCGGCCGCCGCCATCCGCGCCGCGCGGCCGGACCTGTCAGTGTCGCTGGTCGGCGTGGACGACATGATGACAATGGACTTTCGCGAGGACCGCGTCCGCATCCGCGTCAAAGAGGACGGCACCGTCGACTCTGTCCCGCAGGTCGGCTGAGTCGGCCGTGCGGGGGCCTAGGAACGGGTGTGTCGGCGGCGCGTGTGGACCGTCTCAATCGGTGCCGTGCGGTGGCAGCCAATCCAACTGCCGCCTCTGGTGGTTGTGTGAAAGGCAGCAGGCACCGGCTCTCGGAGATCTAGCACTACATGTACGGGTGCGGCGTCTGTAAGGGGGTGGTGCGCAAGGGCAAGCATCTATGGGCTTATGGGTGCAACTCCTAAGGCTTATGGGTGCAACTCCTGTGCTGCGGTGCTGCGCGCGCGGATAATAGTCGTGCGCTGGCTGGCCTCTGGGTGGTCGGCTCGACCTGTAAAGCCGTAGACTCTGGAATCTCCACTCTGAGCACTGCGGTCTGTGACTGTGTTGTCGACCGACAACGAAGACACAGTGTTAGATACTGTCACGAAGAAAAATATACATTCGCGCACGCCCACCTGCACCTCGCGCGAAGCACGCGCAACTCTTGTGATGCTCGATTGTGATGCCAGCGAGGAGCGAGCCGGCGCCCGGCGGGTCTTCTGTTAGTTCGCCGCGCGCGGCCGCCGAGCGGTGGCAGCGGTCGGGGCGCGGTGCGCAGTCGACTTCGCGGCCGCCCATCCATGCACGAGCTGCGCGTGAAACACTGCGCGAGTGCAACCACCCACGTGAAACACTGCGCCTCTCACGTGTCACTAGCCCACGCGGCGGCGCGCGGCGACGGCGACCACGAGGGCGGCGGCGGCGAGCCCGACCGCGCCGAGCTGAACTCGCCGTTTCGCGATCGCCTTTGCGACGCCTGCGATTGCCATCAGCGCGCCGCGCCGGTAGTAGCCGTGCCTTAGGCGGTAGTGCAGGCCGAGCGCGGCGAAGGCGGCGTGGTGCAGCTCGACGGCGAACCCGCGCACCTGTGACGCGTGCCGCAGCGGCACCGGGAAGCGGACGAGCAGCTTGCGCAGCTTTGCCTCGCCCTCCACTGCCGCCTCAAGAGCAAACCCGGCGCAGCTCACGCCCGTCATCTGCGCGCCGGTCGCGCCCGCCACGCCGCAGAGGCCGCGTGCGTACGCGAGGCACGAGTCGGCGTGGTCGCCTAAAAGTGCTTGCCGTCGCCCGTGAAGGGTGACATGATGGTGTTTTCCCGCGAGGGGTTGCATCACGCCGTGACGGCACCACACACACAAACTAAATGCTAGCCGACACGCGCGGCGTGCAAGCCTCAGCCCTGCTCTCTCGGAGTGCCGCTGAATCTCTCGCGCCATGGTGGAAGGGACCGCAGGTCGCAGGCGGCCTCCCTTGGGCCGGCACCCGGCTCCCCTCTACGCAGCGCAGTCGTCCGTGGCTAAGCCTGGGAGGCTCAGGCGACGCAGTCGTGCCTGCTCGAAGGCCCACGTGGCTATCTCGCGGTGTGCGTCTCGCCCGGGCCGCACGCGCACCGTTCATGTGGCCGACGACGCGCGCCTATGTGCAACCCGGCGCCGTCTGACCAAGTGCAACCCGGCGCCGTCAGCGCGATCTTTGTCATCGCTATTGGCTCGTCCCCGAACGTGCGTGCGTGCGGCTTGGTTGTGCTCTTTGTGCGGTAGTCGCCGGAGAGGCGGAGGGCGGGCGCGAGCGGGAGAGGTGGGTGAACAGAGGTGACCAGAGGTGGTCGAGAGGTGGCCGAGAGGTGGTCGAGAGGTGGTCGAGAGGTGGCCGAGAGGTGGCCAGAGGTGGTCGAGAGGTGGCCGTAGGCGCGCCTCGCTCATCGCGAGCGCATCGGTGACGGACTTTGGGAGGAGGACGCAGCAGCAGGCGCCTTTGAGACTGAGCGGTCCCACGTGCGTGCCGCACGGCGACGGCTGCACCGCCACGCCAGGAGGAAACCATGCGCGCAGCGAGGAAAGCAGCGTGCCAGCCGCGTCCGTGTGGAGCAGCACGCCCCGGCAGAGCTCGCCCGCTGTGATGGGCGCCGAGACGAGTCCGTCAGACGCGACGAGCACGCCGATGAGCGTCTCATCCTCTGCTAGCTGCGGGAGCAGCGGGCCGAGCTCCGCGCCCGCGCAGCCGGCGAGTTTCGCAGACTCGTCGCCGGAAATCACCCGCGGCGGCGCGGCGCGGATGCTCGCGAGGGACAAGTACTTGCGTTCGCCGGAGAGGTGGAGCTCCATTGTCAGCCAGTCGGCTGGAGAGCAAGCGGCTGGGGCCTGGGGCAGGAAGAAAGCCGACGGTTTGGGGAAAAATCACAAAAAAGATGAACACGAAACCTCCGTGAAGGCACAAGACCTCGCGCTTCATTCGCGAGGCAGATGCTCGCGCCGCTTCTGATCGCCGGCGGCTGCGCTCTGCTGCAGCGGCCGCGGCTGCTGCAGGCGTCCGCGCCGCAGTCTCTCCGCCTCGCCGCCTCGCCGCTCGCGCAGGTCCCGGCGGCGGCGCCGGCGCCCGCAGCTGCACAGCCGCCGGCGAGCTCTGGCAAGAAGGGCAAGGGCAGGCTCAACATCCGGATAGACGACGAGTGGTACGACCTGACCAACTGGCGCGCGGCGCACCCGGCGGGCACCCACTGGATCGACGCGTACAACAACTCCGACGCCACCGAGGTGATGTACGCCTTCCATTCCGACAAGGTTCACCGCATCGCCACCGCCCGCCCGACCAGAGCCGCCGCACACCCGCCTCGTCGCCGGCGGACGCCTCGGCCGCCTCCGTGCCCGCCGCGCCGCCGGCCGGCGCCGCCCTCCGGCCCTCACCCTCACCCTCACCCTCCCGTGCAGGCCATCAGCATGTTCAAGCGGCTGCCAAACTCCAGGGCGCCGCCCGAGGGCATCGCGCCGCCGTCGGCGTCGACGTACGCGTTCCGCGAGCTGCGGCAGCGGCTGGTGGAGGAGGGGTGGTTCAAGATCCACCCGCTCGGCGAGCTGCAGAAGCTGGCGCCCTGGTCCGCCGTCACCGCCGCCGGCGTCTGGCTCGCGCGGAGATCCGGCTTTTGGTCTGCCTTTGCGGGCGTCGTCTGCCTCGCAATCGGCAACTCGCTCGCAGGGTGGCTGTCGCACGACTACGTGCACGGCCGGCAGCCGTTTGCGTGGGCGATGCGCGGCTTTGGGGAGCTGATCGGCGGCATGTCCACCACGTGGTGGTCCAACAAGCACAACATGCACCACGCGCTGACCAACGAGGTTGGGTACGACGAGGACATCGCCCTCGACCCCGCGCTGCACCTCTGGGCGCCCGACCCGCGGCACGACACGCTGCCGTGGCTGCGGCAGTGGCAGCACGTCTACTGGCCCCTCCCGTACTCGATCCTCTTCCTCTACTGGCGCTTCGACTCGATCCGGTACGTCCTCAAGGACAAGAAGTGGGGCGAGGCCGCGCGGCTAGCGGCGCACTGGGCGGCCTTCTCTGCGCTGGTGCCCTTCCGGCTCCTGCTCGCCTCGGTGTGGCTCTCGGGGCTCATCACGGCGACCATCGTGACGGTGACGCACCAGAGCGAGGAGATCTTCCTCGGCGACACGCTGCGCAAGTACGACTTCGTCGAGGCGCAGTTCCGCTCCACGCGTGACGCAAAGTGCAACAACTGGTTCTCGGACGTGCTCTGGGGCGGCATGCAGTGGCAGCTCGAGCACCACCTCTTCCCCACGATGCCGCGCTACCGCTACCCGGCGCTCTCCAAGGTGCTCGCGCAGTTTGCGTCGGAGAACGACCTCACCTACCGCGTCACCGGCGAGTTCAAGATCATCGGCGACAACGTCGCCCTGCTCAAGAAGATCGGGCAGGGGCCGCAGCAGCCGGGCAACCCGAACTCGGAGCCCCTCTTCAAGCAGGTCTGAGGGCGCCGCGCCACGGCACGCCGGCGCGGCCAGCCGCGCTCTCCCGCCCTCGCCGGTGGCGGGACGCGGCGCATGGTATGCGTTCGACGGTCGCCGGCCGTGGTGGAGGATGCTGTTGGGCGGGGGTGGGGGGGGATTCCCTCCTGGACTGTTGGTCTGAGTCGCATGCGATCATGCCTCATGTGGAGACGATTCGACGCATTCTCATTGTATGAGAGCGGGCAGTCCGCTCGCCCGAGTAGCTTGTGTTAGGTCTCTATATTGTTTTTGCCGCTTCAGTAACTACTAGGGGAGACATCTTGTCGTCGCGACTTCACCGCTGGGAAAAGTGAGACAAGTCCACACTGCACACGACCTCACAAAGAACCGACAGTGCAGCGGTCTCGGGTCTGCCACCACTGGCACTGCCAGTCGAGCAGTGCCCTGTGAATGCCTGTGTGCCGCCAGACCGGCAGACGAGTGGCGGGACGCGGCTCAAGTCTTCTCCGGTCAAGCTCAAGTGGAGCAGGCACTCTAGCTAGCGGTGCGCAGCTGGCACCCCCGCGCGCACGCCGCGGGGCTGGACGGCTGCGAGGCATGACCCGATCCGAAGACCCATGAGCCGTGGGTTGAGGCGGGGAACCCGCACTCTGTATATCGTCCGCCCGGAGACGTGCCACGTCCGCCAGAGACCAGAGGCGCAGCATGCGGTGTAGACCGGTAGAGTGCACCCGCTGTAGCTACACTCACCGCTGTGGCTACACTCACCGTCTGACCTCCAAAGCATTACGAGAGCGTCAACGCATATTCATTTGAAAGCAATAGCTTTTGTCATGTTCTGTCTGCATCTTTAGGCTCTTCCGCAGTGACGATGATCGATGATCGCCATTCTCCGCCTATCTCGCGGCGCTTTCCCAGTCTCGCGGCGCCCGCATTCGTCTTCCTACGGCACGCCAAAGTAGTGGCGGATTCTACGGAACAATCAGCAACGGACAACGGAGGAACGCCGCGCGAGTCATGAAGTCCCGAGTAGGAGCTGAAATCGGAGCTCGCAAAAGCAAGCATAGCCCATCTTTGCCGCCAGATCCTCACCAGGTGCCCCGGGGGCCATGTAGCATCAGCTGCGTGAACGTGAGCTTCATTCGAAGCCAACGAGTGCTGCAATCTCCAATCGCTACCTCACGCGTCGCAGTATCCTTTTCGGTGACGGGGCTGCCGCTCTCCCTAAACGGCTCCACCTCACCGACACCGTCAGCAGCAGCATCGCCCGGCTCCGCAGGCGCTGCCGTCGAAATCGAGTCGCAATCAGACGCGGTGTCAGTGGCGTCTCTAGGCTCGCCTTCCTCGAAGCCCTTGAGGTAATCTCGCGCCGCACCCCCTCTCCTGCGACGGTCGGAGGGCGGCGGCCAGCAGGAGGACCGGCAGCGAAATCAGAACCGCGACTGCAAGGGTTGGCAAGCGCTGGAGCGGAAGAGGCTGCCTTGGCGATGGTCGGTTTGGTTGCGGCGGGAGTCTTGGCGGCCGAGGTGGGGAGGGCAGCCAGGGTGGGGAGGGCGGAAAGGGTGGTTGAGGAGGGCGCGGCGGGTCAGGTGGCTTTGACGGGGGAGCGTTCAGGTTGCGAAGGCGGAGGTTGGACAGCCGCATATCTCGTGGAAGCGACCGCATACAACTTTTGCAAAGAGCACCTCAAGCACCGCGAACGTGTCCGTAGAGGGGGCAGAGATCGATACGGAGAAGGAGCTACCGTGACGCCGCAGCGCCACCGCGCGGGGGTCGACCTCAGGCGGCAGGCGATCGCGAAGCAGCGTGGTTAGCTCCTCCAGGGACAGCGCGCTGGCCAGCTTGCGGGACTCGTGTGTGTGTGGCACGGCCTCCGAGCCTCTGAGGGCCGGCGGCATGGGTATCACGTCAAAGGTGATCTCCATGAACCTCGCAGGCGGCGGCGGTGGAGAGAGAGGTGGCGGTGAGGGAGAAAGGCTCGGGAGGAGGAGCGGCGCCGCGATGATAAGCATGCACACAGTTGCAACAACTGCCAGCTTCGCACCTCCGCCAGAGCCCGACGGCCGGCCGGCCAGCGACCTTCCTGCTGCTGCTGCTGCACCCTGCTCCGTCCTGACCGGTTCTTTGCCTCGGCTGGCCGAGACTCTCTCCAGCTGCCTCGGCACCATCTGTGCTTGCCGCACGCCCTTTTCAAGCCACTGCCTCTGCACATCTTTTGGCGAGAGATGTGCGCAGGCTGGATCTGAGGAGAGGCTCGCCGCCTCGACAATCTGGGCCAGCCGAAACAGCTGCTCCTCACGACTCGAACGCGTCGGCGAAGCGGGCGAAAGCATCGTGGTGGAGGGGGAGCGGGGGGGGTCGCAGAGGTTCGTTCCGCGCGATTCATGTGTTCGCGCCCCCCCCCCCCCCCCAGCCGCGATTGCCGAAACTCGCTCCAATGGTCTCAATACAGTCCACCCCGGGAGCAGGTAGCATAGATCGCAGATGCCTCGCCGGCGCTGCTTGCGGCACCTCTACCTGTGCGGTCCGAGCGGCAGAGCGTCCGCAAGGATGGAGTACGCGGTGTCCGACGTTGGTTGGTTGGCCATGTTGGTTAGGTTGCAATCGTGGATTGATCCGAAGGCCGATCGTGCTATCCGCCTCGGTGGCGCAGAGTGCGCCGTTAATTAAAAAGTGGCTTCAGCCCGGCGCCGTTTTCTCCGCCGTTCCGGCGCACTCTCTATTAGGGTTGGCACCCAGGTGTAGTTTTTTGCTTTGATGAGATGAAATTCTGCCTGACCGGCCCTGCGGTGCCCCTACCTACCTACCTACCTACCTACCTACCTACCTACCCTACCTACTTTGCTACTTATGGGGGAAAAGAAATCATAGGATGGTTGAAGGTGGGGTACTATACCAACTAAAGTGATGGTTGGTGGTACTCTCCTGCAACCACAGTCCTTCCTGTGACATGGCAGGCCACTCTCAAGCCCTACAAGCACCAACCAGATCACCCACTTGGGGAGGGTTGACATCGATCATCGTGATTTCCGCGCAAAATTTCATTTCCTGCTGTGAAAATTCCGGCGTGAAGAGAGGGAAAACCCCGACGGGAGGGCCCTACCCTACCTACCCCGTCATGCTGTCCGCCCAAGCAAAAAAAGAATACACCTGTGGCACCCACATTGTGGTTGCCCCTTCCTACTGTGCCGTACGAAAGTGTGAACAGGTTGGAGCAGCAGCTCCTGGGCACGGCGCCGCAGGCGCCTGTTGATAGGTCCAGGTAACAGGTGAAATAGCCCTGGATGGGCAATGCATACGCCTAGTTGGGCCTCAGATCGCCCGACCGCGTCCCGGTGCTCTGCCGTCGGATTTGTGACTCCGCCGCACCGCGCCGCGGCCGGGGGCCCTCCGAAGGCCGAGGATGGCCGTGACGGACCGGGACGAGCTCTGGGAGGTTCAGTGTCAGTGTATATATTGTAGAGACCAACCATGTCCACAATATCTCTCAGTCTAGCTAAGCCTGGGAAGGCGATGCCGGGGCCGTACAGCAGCTTGTTGGTGCTTCGTTCGCCGGCGTGCGTCCCGGAGCGGTCCCGGGCGGGTCCGTGGGAGGAATACGAGGATCAGCGCCGACGGCGCTCTGATTCGACATTTAACTTCAAACAAAGAGTGGCACGCGCCGCAGCGCGGTGCATGCCACTGTCAGGAGCGGATCCGTCAGTTAGTCGTGGTCACGCCGGCATCGTGATCCTCACAACCGGCCAGGGTTGCCTCCGCACTAGTTCATCGAGGTAGGTAGGCTCGAAGCGGGCGAGCGTCGACTCCTGGTACGAAAGGCAAGCGCACCTCAATCGTACGTATCACGTGTGAGCCCGTCGTATCTGGAATTCTGGTCTCGTACTCCTTCCATAGCACACGTCGCATCTGTAACCATGTGGATTTGTCGATATAATTCCTTCTTTTCCACGCAGAAAGAAAGAAAGAAAACGGACAACCCAAGTGAGTCTTTTCCACGCATGAATAAATAAATGAAACGGGCACGCCAAACGAGGGGTGGGAGAAGGAGAGGGTCCCCACCTGCACGAGCAGGATCTTGTAAGGACGATCAGGGAGACACAGGGGAACGGGAGCGGGGAGCGCATCGCGACACGGAGTCATTCTGCAGCGCAAACTTCTTTTCCGACGTCCTGAAGTCTGCCAACGAGGCGAAGGAACACCTGTGGGTGGCACCCACATCTGTGGTTGCCCCTTCCATGTTCCACTGCAACGGCGACGAGTTGCCGCCGTCCCGGCCCGCAGCCGTCGAGACCCGAGCCGTGTGGGAGAGGCACGCACCAGCATCTGAGCCGATCGCAAACTCGCTGCTCGCCTCGCTGCTCCTGGAGGACCTCGTGCCCGAAGGTGGCATCCTCGATGTCGGCGCCTTCGACGGCGTTTTTGCCAACTTTTACGCGGAATTGATGCCCCACCGCACGATTTACGCCATCGACCCTTCCATGGAGAACATCAAGAAGATGCGGCTGCCCAAGCAGGCTCGCTCGTTGCCGCAGCAGTCGAGCTCCACAGCAGGCCGAAGCGGTTGCCCGCCCGCTCCTCAGGCCCGCAACCTCTGCTCGCTGTGGGGCGCGGTGGGCGAGGCGGACGAGGCGGCACAGGTGAATCTTACAGACGCGGAGGCGAATGGGTCGCAGCCGGTGAGGGACCGAGGGTACCACTACGTGAACGAGCGCCGCCGCCGCTTCCCCATATTCGCTCGACACCCTCTTTGCGCGTACGCGCATGGGCTTCCTGTGCAGCTCTCGACCTCTCGAGGGGCAGCCCGGGTCCGTAACGTCCACGACACGTCCCTAGCGTGCCCCGAAGGCATCTTGACCTCGAGGGGCACGAGCTACCGACCCTCAGCGGGGCCCGCCAGCTGCTGCAGAGAGACAAGCCGCTGCTCTCGTACGAGGTGGCGGTGCACAGGCACCAGGCGCACACCAAGGCGCTTCTCGGCTACATCGACTCGCTCGGCTCCTCCTCCACAAATCGAGCGGAGTGGTCCGAAGCGAGCTTGGCCCCACACCCGCTGCCGTGAACAGGCTACTCCTCCTTCCTTATCGAGGAGATCGCAGGCATGACCGCCGACGTGCGCAACGTGCTCGCCGTGCCGGCCTCGCGCCTGCGCGCCTTCACCAGCTCCCCCGCCCTCACCGCCGCTTACCTTGGCAACGTGCGCCGGGCCCCCCGCTTCGCCGGCTCCCCTCGCCTGCGTCGACGCCGCCCGGCCGCTTGCCCACCTGTCGTCCTGCGGCTGCACAGACCGCGCTTGCAAAGTCCACTCTCAGCCAGCTGCCCCCCTCGGACGCTCAGGCCCTCCTCCCGGTGGACGAGAGTACCATTCTGTTGCACGCCTTCCCCTGCTGCGCGCCCAAGCAGCCCTGCTGCCCCGGCGGCCGCAACGCCTGTTGCGCGCACTGGCAGGTCCACAGCACGCACGCACACCCACACACACACACTCTCTCTCATGCACACACACAATCACACACACACGCTCCCACACGCGCACGCGCGCGCACGCGCGCGCACCCACGCGCACCGGGCCTTGCACTTGAGATATGCGTACCTCACCTCACCAATGAGAAGCGCACCTCACCCTCCCCTCCCCTACCTCTGCAGGTCCACAAGTGGATCGGGTCGGTAGTCGCGCAGGGCGGGGCCGATCTGACCTTCTTCACGCGCCGGCGCTGGTACGACCAGGGCTGGAAACCGCAGCTGAGAGACCGCAGGGAGAGGACGAACCACGTCTGGCAAATAAGACGCCCGCTCAACATGTCGGGCATGACGAACGACCAGGACGTGCCGCGCGCTTTCGATGTGGAGGCGGAAACAACGACCGGGTCCGCGTTTACCCGTGCCGTCCGGGAGTCGAAACCCCGCAAGGTCAAGTCGAGTTAAGAGATTTGGCATCATTTTTGCCCAAGCATATTGCATATTTAGAGTTCCTGAGTATATGAATATTATTATCGGACAAAGAATTTTAAGCATTAAGCCAGATCTGAGATCTTCTTCTCAATATATCGATGTATTCAGCGAAGTCATGTCCATCCCGGGCTCGCAGACGCCCTAAAATTGCTCAAAAGACTAGTTGCAAATAGGGTCGCGTGAACATGATGAATTTTGATGTTTTTTTGTCCGTGTTGCTCCCAGCGCCCTCGCCCGGCTCCCTGAGGCCATGGCTGGTGATACTAGTACGGGGGGCTACCTGTGGCTACCGCGAGAGCGACCCAACTCGTCGACATCGTCCGATGATGGTGCCTCAAAGTCAGCCTGCCGGAGGCTATCGTCGCGTCGAGCCGGCGGTGGCCGTGACATGTGGTATCACCGCCCCTCGCAGGCTTTGCCTCTGACCGCCACCGTTCCCAGGCTGCCTAATGGGATGGAAAGGAAGGCTGGGCGAGCATATAGAAGCGTGCTCGACCTCGTCGTGGCAGCCTGCACGGCAGCGCTGGCAGGCGCGATGAGCGTCGTGCCACCTGACCCGAGAAGGGTCGCAGGCGTCGTACCGAGCGCGTCGAGACCGTGTCCTGATGCGCTCTGCACGGGTGAGTCACGTCGGCGTCAAAGGAGCGACGTGCGACCTGTCAGAGCTTGGTCTCCGATCTCAGCGGCGCCGAGTCGCCTTCGGTGGCGACAGCTAGGATGCATCTCCTCCGTCGTTTTTCGCGCGATGGCCCTGGGAAGCTGGCGGCGCACGCAGGCGGACCTTGTGTGCAACTAGTCAAAATGGGCCCAAATCGCTTTTCAAATTTGCTCGGATCGCTTCAAAATCGCTTGGAATTTGCGAATAATTCGATCTAATTCGATTTCAGCCACCATCTAGGCGACGTTTGGGACTAATGTGTCGACATTTTACGCTTTTGGAGGTGAACATCAGTGATCAATACCTCAATATATTGTCAATAGTTAGAGGGGATGCTGTCAATAATCAATATCAATAGTTACAGTGGCGAGAATCAATCTTTCTCGACTGCCTTAGGCGACGACTTCCTACGGCTTCTGAGGAAAGCCGTCGCCCGCACCTTGCCTGTCGCGTGAATCGTCCTGTGAGACCGCATTTCGGGCGCGACACCGACCGAGGTCCAACCTTGGTATGTGCCGTAAGCAGCTTGTTTTTTGTTTGTTGATAATGTTGTGCGTGCGTGCGTGGGTCGGGGCACCTAACTGCTCTGTCTCCCCCCACAACTGCCGCTTACATATATCTGGTGCCTGATTGGGTAGTAGTACAAAGGGGTATTGGATCCACGGTCTCGGACAGATGGCTTTCTAGGCTTTCTAATACAAATTCTAGGCTTTCTACAGTGGGTTGCGGGCATTAAGAAAACGTACCATTAAGAAACCCTACCAAGCGATTTCCGCAAAAATCTAAGAAATCACGGCGCGCCGCAGGCGCGGCCCCGAGAAAAGGCCAGACACGAGTGTGAACGGGAGGCCCAGCTCAAAATTTCTCTTCGCCTGCGGCGCGCGCACTTGTCACTTTCCAAGTCTGCGGTGTTCTGAGTGGATGGAGTGAATGGAGGCGTGTGTGCGTCTTCCCGTCATCCAGTATCCAGACAGAGAGCCGACTCGGCGGCAGACTCTGGCATCGCCCTCGCGGACCGCAGCTTACCTCTTACCTAAAAAATCCTTCGGGCCGGCGCTCTGGCTTGAGTGCCCCGGCCGGAGCTAAGAAACCACGGCGTGGGGTGGATGAGGGCTGTGGAAAGGCTTAGAAACGGCGGCGTGCCGCGGAATCCTGTTTTCTTAATGCCCGCAACCCACTGTATGATGGCGATAGCAGTTGGGAAGGTGGGGCAACGCAGGTCTTTGCGGCGCCGACATTGACCTGCGGTAGAATTTGCTGCCAACCCTCGCGTCCCCGTTGCCCTCGTCTGCTGCACCGCCTTCCAGCAAGCTAGGCACGAGCCCATGGCGATGGCCTCGACCACTCTCACGCCTCCAGCCGGTATAAGGCGACGGAGAAAGGCGCACGACGCCGCGTTCAAGCACAAAGTGGTCCAAAACGCTCTCGCTCGTCCAGTTGGGGCAAGGATCAAGCCCACGTGCCGCGAGTTTCCGGGGGTTGAGCCGGTACGCTGCGGCCAGCGACCCCGCCCACCCCATCACATTCCTGCACGTTACATCCCAGATAAGGTGTCTGACCTCGCCGAGATTCCATCCCCACCCCCATCCCCAGGTGCAGCTGCGGAAGTGGATCAAAGTCTACCGCAGCGGGGCTCCGCAGCCCCCCGGCGTCGGAGTCAACGCTCCAGATCTCTACGTCCTCAACCACGGCGTCCTCAACCAAGGTGGATGGGCAGTAATTGCAAAGCTTCACGACGTGGTCAACGCAACCTTACTGCACAATGCAGCCGTCCCCCCTTCGCGCGGCGTTCCCATTGGCGGGTGGGGCAGCGTCCCATCGCCCCCACTTCTCGCATACACCGCGCTGCCGATCTGGGCTGGGGCATTCGGTCTCTGCCATGCAGCAGCAACTGGCGCACCTGATCTCCGGGTGAGCCCCGCCCCCGTCGCCCCCCTCCTTGCTAGGTCACACTTAGCCCCCGTAATCGGGTCAAGCTTGATCGACAGTCACGTGAGTCGTCCTGCTCTTTAGGCCGCCCGGAGTGGCTCAGCTCAACACGCTAGTGCCGGTTGCGGTGGCACATCCTCTTCCGAGGCTGATGCACGGTCCGGACGCGCGCGTCACGGCGGCGCAGGAGTTGCTCAAGCTCTCGGCCTGAGGCCGTGAGGGTGCCACGGCCTGAGCGACAGCCTGAGGCCGTGAGGGTGCAGTCGCCCACTCCTCTTCTGGGCCTTGGGACGCCCAGGCCCGATCGCGCGGCAGTAGGCGCTGTCACGTATCATTCCACGTACGCGATGCTCTCCAGTCTTGAACTCGATCCACGCACTCAGCCCCCACCGAATGGTCCAGGCTCTGGGGGTGTCTGTTCGAGAGCTCTGGTCGCTTAGCAGTTTACGTAACCACCGTTTCTTTTGTCGTTCATGATTGCTTGCTTATTTTAGACACGTGCCCGCTTCCCGACGACTCTCTCTCTCAAGCACACCCCCGACTCTCTCAAGCACACCGCTCTCGCAAAACCACAAACCTACCTCGCGCGGGCGGGGCCGCGCGGCGGGGGACCTCTCTATACCCGGCGGCGCGAGAGAGCTCCCCCACAGCCAGCGAGGCCCGCGCCGCGCGCGTCGCAGCATACGTAGTCATCTAGACTGGCTGGGGGCTGGGGGGGTAGGCAGACAGGCCTCGAGACAGGCCGACCTTCACAGTTCACAGACTTGTTATTGAGAAAGGAGGGGATCCCCTGGAGAGGGAGGGCCGGGGCGCGGTGAGGCGCGGCGCGCTGCGGAGGGCGGGCGGGGATGGCGAGGGGTGTGCCGTGTGAATTCCGGGGCTGTGCGTTTATGTGAGGCCACAGGAGAAAATTCTTCCGTGCGCTCCACCCCAGGGTTCAAACTTTTTCCGGGGTATGGTATGGTACCCTCGGCCAACCCACCTCGAGACCATACCCCCCCGCCTCTTGGAAGACCTGCTTGGGGTATGGTAGGGCTAGCCTTGGGCGGTCAGGACCATACCCCCCCCCCCCTTTGGGCCGCCGAGATTAACCATACCCCAGAAAAAGTTGGAACCAGCAACCCCAACCTCTTCGGCAGCCCCGCCGTTTCTCCTCCTGCGCCTCTTTTTACGCCTTTCATTCGAGAGGGGGGGACGAGGTCTCATCAACTTCGAAACCGCCTTTGAAAGGGGGAAATGCGTTCGTCCCTGAGCGGGTTGAGGCGGGGGTGGTGTGGTTTCACTGCGGAGATCTCTTCCAGTGCGCAGTGGAGTACTAAAACGATCTTACGCGTTACGGCTTTAAAGTACAGAAGTGTGCGACGTGTGTGTGTGCGTGTGTGTGTGTATCCACAATCCAGACTCGTGTCGCGCGCGCGTTCGAAGCGACGTTTTCCTGTGCCTGAGTGAGAGCCCTGAACACGACATCAGCAGAATCCAGAAAGACTAGGCAAGGCTGGCACAGCACACACACGCATCACAAAAGCTTCAAGAGTTACAAAAGTAAACGCCTTGAGCCAAGTGCTCCAGCGAAGCCCACACACGGTCACAAACCCACATGACACGCCCGCACTCCGGCCTGCAGAACACCCGCAGCCAGAGTGTGCTCGGCCCTCTACAATTCTACACGTCCAAGATCTGCACCCCTGCCGCGCCCCTGCCGCCGGAGCCCACCAGCTGGCCCGTCCGCACCTCGTTTGGCGAGTCTGAAGACTGGCGGCGGCCGCCGCCCTGCCGCCGTCTCCGACAAGCGCGGGGAAAGAGCGCGGTGGAGGCCGCCACGAAGGCAGCCCCCACCAAGAAGCCTAGCCCCGCTGCTGAGGCGCGCCCGCCCACGTCGTACTCGAGTGAGAAACGCTCGCCCGGCTGCGGCGGCGGCAGCCGCGGCGGCGGCGGCGGCGGCGGCGGGTGGGCGGCGGGAGGCACAGCGGGGTCGCAAGCTCCCTCTGCCGGCTGGCTGCAGCTGCGATCGGCGCTGCGCACGAGCCAAGCGCCTAAAGAGCTAAGTACTGGACCTAAAAAAGAAATACAGCCTTCCGCGTTGCGGACGAGCCAGGCGCCGTCGGTGTCGGCGAGGCGGGTGGCCGAGTTGTCCTCTCCGTAGTGCGTGCGCGTGAAGCAGTGGCGGTGGTCCCAATCGACGTGGCCCTCCGCCGCGTCGAGCGAGGCGCACGCGGCGCGCGTCCAGTTGAAGCGCGCCTAGAGACAGACACATCGCGCGCTGTGTTTCTTCTTTGAGGGGGGGGGGCTGCCGCCAGAAGCGCGCCTAGAAATAGAATTTTACAACGAAGCTCCCTCTCACGACACTGGGCACGGGACTGGCGCTAGAAAGAGAAACATTCAGGCAGCAGGGATGATGGGCTATACCTCGGCTATATCTCGGGCTCTATCTCGGCTATATCTCGCGTGCGTCTCGTTGACGAGGGTGAGGAGGCCGACCCCGAAGGAGGACTCGCGGAAGGCGGACCTAGAAAGCGACGTCGCCCCGGTTGTATTTCTTTTTCAGCCGACCCCGAAGGAGGACTCGCGGGAGGGGCGGGCCAGGCTGGCTGCGGCTCGCGCCACGGCACGTACGCGCTCTCCCGGTTGCCGCCGTCGCCGAGGTTGAGGTAGACGGGGCCGCACCTACAAAAACAAAGATGGGCCCGCCGCGCTTCTCTTTCAGCCGTTACCCGAGGTTGAGGCACACGGGGCGCGCACGGGTGGGAGCAGCCGTCGTAGACGGGACGCGAGCGCTCGTAGGCGTGCACGTGCCTAGCAATAATCCAACTAGAACAGATTAAGATTTAACAAGAACTCATGGAGCGGCTCGTAGGCGTGGAGGTGCCTGATTGTTCACAACGAAACAATGCACGACTAGCAGCCATCGATGAGTGATGACTAAGCCCTCGCCGCACTGTTCCCCGAAAAGGACGACGGCTAGTGCTAGTCCGACCCGTTGGGAGGACGACCCCGGCCAGTCCGCACCACCCCCCACAAACCGCCCCTCGCAAAGACCGCATATGGGGGGGCGGGGGACTGCTCCTGTGTACCCATCTCCTGGCGTCTCTGTTCTTCCGTAAGGTTGTTTGCCCCGAGAGGACGAGGTCGACGCCCGCCTCGAAGAGGAGCGGCTCCATGTCCCTGCGCATCAGCTCCGCCTCGCCCGCGTGCCCTACACCCAAGGACTGCCTGTGAAGCCATCGGAGCGGCCCCTGCTAGCTCCGCCCCGCGTCGCGCGGGCCTACAACCCATCGCCACGCGTGACTCGCAGCTCGTGCACTAGTCGCAGCCCCGCGTCGCGTGGCCCGAGTTGGAGTTGTACCTGAGTTGGAGTTGTACCACGGCGCGTGCATCATCACGACCAACCACGGCGTGGCGGCGCGGTCGACCGCCGCCAAGTCGCGCACCAGCCATGCGTGCTGGAGCGAGCCCGCCTGCACGGTCAGTGGACTGTGAACCGCTGATGACTAGTGGACTAAGGCTGGAGTTAGCCCGCCTCTGTCGCGGCGTACGACGACAGCGAGATGAGGTGCAGCGGCCCGACGGCGCGCGACCACCACAAGTTGCTCGGCGAGCCGGACGACCTAACGATGAATGATGCGTCATTCGCAACTAACACCACACACAAGTTTCGGCGAGCCCGGGCGACCTAATGACTGATGGTGACTGATTCATCATTCGTCAGCAAAACCAGCACACGTCGAGCCGGACCCGGACCGGTACGGCATCGGGTAGCGCGTGTTGTACGAGACCCACGCCTCGGCCGTCCCAACCTGAAGTACCAACGAGGAACGAGTAGCTGCTGCTGCCCCTCTACGAGACCACGCCCCGGCCGCCCCAGCCTGTTTATTGATGATGACTCATCATTGACTGCTCTTGCCGCTGTACGAGACCCACGCCCCGGCCGCCCCAGCCTCGTGGTTCCCGCCGCAGCTCATCACGGGCACCGTCGCGGCGAGGGGCTGCATCAGCCTGGCGTAGCTGTCCCACCGCGAGTAGAAGCCTATCGGAAAAGAAACACGTCGTCGAAAAAAGAAACACGCCGCGCGTCCCACCGCGAGGAGTAGCCGTCGGCGTACGAGAGGTCGGCTGTATCTCGGCTGTATCTCGGCTGTATCTGGGCTGTATCTCGGCTGTATCTGGGCTGTATCTGGGCTGTATCTCGGCGACATCTCTGCTAGGCTCTGCCGTCGGCGTACGAGAGGTCGCCCGCAAGGAGGACGAGTGATCCGCTCCCTTGCAGCCTGACTCACTAGGGCTCAGTAAGTACTTGGAGGAGGACGAGGGGAGGCCGGCCCGTCGCAGCCTCGTCCGCAGCAGCTCCGCGTTGGCTAGCGACACCTCCGTCTGGCCTACCGTAGAAGAAGAAGCACGCCGTCCAAAAAAGAAACACGACGGGGGGCCAGCGACACCTCCGTGCTGGCCGAGGTCGGCGGTGAGGCCGATTGTCCACGGGTAGACCGAGCTGCCGCCGCCAGAAGCCGCTGCCTTGCCGTCGCCGGAAGCGTCGCCGCCATCGCCGCCACCGCCATCGCCGCCACCGCCGCCACCGCCGCCGCCGCCGCCGCCGCCTCCCTCTGCCGATGCTGCGGAGCCCGGCGGGTACGTGAATGCGAAGGTTGCGCTTGACCCCGCCACGCGGTACTGGTAGGCAACCCCTGGTGGTGAAGGCGCGGGCTCATGCGGACCAGGGAGGGGCATTGCAGTGAACGCGGGGAGGGGCATTGCAGAGGCGGTGCAAAGGCAGGGGACCAGGGATGGGGATGCAAAGTGTGAGAGGGAGAGGGAGGGCGGGCGGCGCTGCGTCTCGACGCCGAGAGAGGCTCCCGCAACACACAACACCCTGGGCCAGGTCACACTTGGCGATCACCGGGCGAGAGGACGGCCATATCTCGGCTACACCTCGGCTACATCTCGGCAGTATCTCGGCTGTAGCTCGGCCATATCTGGGCTGTATCTCGGCGGCATCTCGGCGAGGCTCACCCGGCGAGAGACGCGGCAGCGGTACGGTGTGCACGAGCGGAGAGTTGTAGTACCTGCGGTGTGAATGCACCAGCGATACGAGTTTTGGCTCGCCTTCCCTGGGACCGCGTGTTGCGTGTCTGACTGTCACTGTGCTGCCGTGCGATCCGGGCCTGGGTTGTGCTGTGGTGTGAATAAACCCCGCATCAGGGCGGGGATGGCGGCGGCAGCCTGGCCGAGTGTCTTGTGAGTCTGTGTGTCTGCGTGTCGCTCGCGCGTGTCGTCCTCTTCTGTCTAGCGCCCGCCCATACCGCGCCGGTGTCCAGTCCCAGCCTCTGGCTGCTCTTCCCCTCTCTATCAGGATGTGTGGAAGCCCAGCTGGCGGAGTGTCTTGTGTGTGTGGTGTGTGTGTGTGTGACTGTGCGTCCAGTCCGAGTATCTATCTGGTTGTAGTACATGGCCGGGTTGTTGTACTCGCCCAGGCCCGAGGTCGGGCGCGCCGCTGCGGCATGGTACGACTGGCTCCGCCCGAATGGCGCCACCGGAAGGTGCGACGCCCACGACGTAGTGTCCTGCAGCGCCATCAGCTCGGACGGCTGCGCGCCGGCGGCGCCGAGGGGCGGGTCGGTGAGCGCTCTAGCCTCGAGCCACATAAGCTGCGAGTATGCGGAGCTGCTGCCGTTGGCGACGAGGACCAGACCCGGCTCGTCCGCCTCCCAATAGGCCACGGACGAGTCAACAGACTCGTCCTGGCTGGTGTAGACGACCACCATCTCGCCCGGCCCGCCCAGCTGGATGTGGACCTGCTCGCTCTCGCACGCGGCGTCGCAGCTCTCGTTGAGCGAGAGGAGTCGGCGCGAAGGCGTACCATTGCGGCGAAGCGGCGAGGTGTGGCCCGCAGCCGACTGGGACATCGTGTTTGCCTAGGTGCGTAAAAGAATTCTACGAGCGCCCTCTCACAGCAGACTGGCACGAACTAGCACCACAAAAGGCACAGCGTAAAAGAAGAATTCTTGCAGCACTGTCTTTTCTTTCTTTCTTTTTACGTCCCTCCCTTGGGTTTTCTGTTTTCTTTCTTTCTTTTCTTCCTTTTTACGGCCGGGCGGAATGTGTTTCGCCTTCCTAACTACCTAAATAAATGTGGGATGGTGAGGTCAGGTCAGGTGGTGTAAGCAGTAAGGTAAACTTCTGCAGTCACACTCACACACTCAAGGTGTTACAATATGCACTTGGGTGCGTTTGTTGGGTGTTTGTGTGCGCACGCGCGTGCTGCATGTCATGTGTGTGTCACAGTTTCTCGCCGAACTATGAAAAGTTGCGCACGAGTGAGCTCATCTTTGATGCCAACGAATCGGTGGCCGTGCCCGTCGCGCGTCGGCGAGCTTTACGCGCTCGCCTGTGAGCGCGCTCTCTCGGCGGTGCCAAGGCTGGCTCCGGGCCAGCGGGGGTGCTAGCGGGGTCAGGGGCGGGAGCTCGCCGCGCACACAAACAGATTTCAAGGGCGTTAAAGGAAATTGCGTTTACGAAAGTAGTAAACGAGATGAACACAGCTCTGCGCTCGCACCGCGTGAAACTTCTCGGGGCAGTAGCTGAGGGCTCACCTCGGGGAACTCGGCTAAACTCAATGGACGAACTCTTCGAGACGACTAGCTGCCATCCGCATTAGCCGAGCTTTTGGACTTCCGTGCACGATTTCAGCCCAAAGTCCTGGATGCCACCGGAAAGTGTGATGAAGTAGACGCAGGAAGAGGTCTCGTGGACGTCGATGCTGAGGGAGCCCTGAGTGCTGCTCTTAATGTCCAGGTACAGCGTGGAGTGCCGAGGATAATCGCATCCGTTTGTTGAGCCGTCCGAATACTCTTGCTCATTTCCCTCAAAGGGCTGATCCGGCGCAATGGAGCCATAGATATCGGCCGCGTTGCTGGAAAATGTAGCGTCGTCACAACTGCCGTCGTTGCTAACGATCCCTTCAATCGTTTGGCCAATCTCGACCCGGAAGCAGTGCTCACTGAGAGGCGTCAGAGCATCGACTCTCTGAGAGGCCACCGACGCGTAGAAAGTCCGACCCTTTGTCGCCTCCAACACATGCTTTGATGATGGATCCACACATTCGTCCCGGTAGTCAGTGAATGGGGTCCCGACGGCGAGCACGATGTTGCGCCCGCCATGGTACGATTTGCTGGTCGCGAAGTGCAAAACCACGGACCACGTGTCTAAGTAGACGAGCGTCACAGCTCGAGCGAGTTGGGTGGGAGTGGGAGGCCCAGACCCGGGAGTGGGGTGGGATGTCGGGTTGTCGTACGCGCCTCCCTTTTGCGTTGCGGTGAAGATGGCGCCACCTCCAATGGGCTCGATCTCAACCAGCGTGTCTGTATCCAGAAGGTAATGATCGAAATGGTGCGCCACGATAGACTCGACGCCATCCAAGTTGACGTCGTACTCCATGTCGAGGTCATAAACCGTAATTACAACCTCGTGCAGCGCGGCGTGATACTCGCCCCCGGGATAGAAGAAACCGAGCTGCAGCTCTACAGACTTGTCGGGTGCGAGGTTGATCTGCGCGAACGCCCCGTTGATCGTGTTATAAGCAACATTGCCCGGGATGTAGGCGTCCGATTGCGACCCAATAACCTCGATCTTCATGTCAAAGGGGGTCCCTTGGTCCGTGGTCCCGACAGAGGGCAAGTACATATGCGGCTCGCCAGTCATCGGACCAGCGCCACCCAGGTTGTTGTGCACCCCGCCCCGAGTAGCAATGCCCATAGATCGGGCAAGCGGGGAAAGCAGGCCCGAGATGGTGTCAAACGCATCGAGGTGCTGTGCTTGCTGGTGGGCTAGCGGCAACGCTGCTAGCCCAACCAGAAGGGCGACGCCGGCCAGCATTCCGACTCGGCGGCAGGACGCGGTAGGACTCCCACGACTCCCGGGGTTTATGTCCATCTGTGGGAGTTGGGGGCGCGTCGCAACCGACGCCTGCTGCCCGACCAGCCGAAGCGAAACCCATCTCACGGACGGATCGAGCTCTAGAGCTCTACTCATCAAATGTACTTTTAGCTTGGGAGAAAAGCTGGAGTTATTTTCTCATGTACGTACTTATAGCTTACTGGGAGAAAAGAGAGAGGGGGGTTGTGTTCTCTAGGCCCCTAAGGGCCCTACGCGCGGCGTGAGAGCTCGGAAGCGAGCTTTGCACGGCGATCGAGGATGGCACGGTTTACCCCCTTCACCGAGGCGATGGAGATGCGTTCCGCGTGGTGTGACACAAATGAGAGGCGGGAGTGGGGAGGGTACGCGGTGCGGTCAACGCCCGAGCGTTGAGCCTTGCGCGCAAGGCGGTTGATCTTTGCAACTGCTGGCGGCGAGAAGCCGTCGCCGAATGTCTCGTGGAGAAGCAGGTTGAACTTGTTGCGTTTGGTGAAGATCCCATCATGGTAGTGGCCTCTCTCATGTATGTGGCTCTTACGTACATTCCCAGTTTACAAAAAAACTCCCTCGCACAACACTGGGCACGGGACTGGCGCGCACTGTCACAAAGCGACTCGCCCGCGAGGGCGTATTCCGTATACGCGGTACTTTTAGCTTACCTGGGAGCAGGGAGAAAAGGGAGAGGGGTGTTGTGTTCTCTAGCGTCTAGGCCCCTAACGGCCCTACGCGCGGCGTGAGAGCTCGGAAGCGAGCTTTGCACGGCGATCGAGGATGTAGAGTGGCGCTTCGGAAGAGGTTCCTCTTTCCGCTCCCCCTCCCCCCCGCAAGCGAGCCTGGTAAAACACAGCGACCGTGTCTCTGACTCCCCTCTGACGCTAGCGCCTTTCAGCGTTTCAGGTTCAGCTGCTCTGGACCGCATTGGAGCCGGCGGCTGCCTGTGAGAGCGCCATGTCGTCGAGCTCCTCCATGAGCGCCTCGATGTTGGCGTAGCCCTGCTCCTCGAGCGAGCTCGCCGACGTCGTGCTCTCGCCGTCGCCGCGCACCTCTCTCTGCGCGGCGTGCAGGCTGCGCAGGCCGGCGGCCGCCTCGTCCTGAAGATAGTGAAGACATCAAGGCGACTCAGGGTGCGAGAGTATCCACATCGGGGTGCACCTCTCGGCTGTGTCTCTCGGCGGTGTCTCTCGGCGGTGTCGCGGCTAAGTCGCGGCTATGTCGCGGCGGTGTCTCGGGCATGTCTCGGCGGTGTCTCGGCGGTGTCTCGGCGGTCTCTCGCCTCGTCCTCTCCGAAGCACTCAGCGAGGGCCGTGTCGCCACTCATCACGTGCACGCGCGGCCGGTCGCCGTCCACCTAACCACACCTCACGCTGTGAAGAGACGCCGTTCACAGCTCACGCCGCCGCGCGGACCGGCCGTCGCCCACCCACAACCGCTTCACGCGCCGGATGCGGCACCCGCCCGCCTATGAACAGAAATCCGCGCGTGAAAAAGAAATACGACGACAAACAAATATGGCGCGCGTCGCGCCAGCTCGAGGGCACGGCCGCCGGGCCAGCTGCCTGCAGCCATGGACACGATCGGGGTGAACCGGGGATGTGCTTTTGCTTGAATACCCTCTCGTGCCGTGCATGGGGTGTAGCATCGCATCAGATGTATTTAGGTAGCATCGCATGAGAGGTAGCATCGCATCAGATGTGGCATCGCCACAAGGGGATGCAACTGCAGCGAGTACAGCGGAGTACAGCCGACCACAGCTGAATGCGTGTCCTCTCGAGCGCTGGTTCGAACGCGTATTCCGCTTCTAGGCCCAGCCGCCGGCGACGAACGCCGCGGGCGCGCCGTCGATGAGTGTGTCGCTGAGCAGCGCGCGCGAGTTTTCGGCGAGGAGTAGCGCGGCCTAGTCAGAGCAACTCATCAGAGTATGAGGATTCAACTGGTGAGAGGTGTCTCGGGAGGAGTAGCGCGGCCTAAGAACGATGAGTCATCATACTATTAGAATGATAACTGGTGAGAGGTGTCTCGGCGATAGCGCGGCCTAAAAGAAGAGGCATCACAATTGAGAATGATATAACTGGTGAGAGGTGCTCGGCGGTAGCGCGGCCTCAGAGCAGTGCGACAGCGTGCAAGCCGTGCAACGTAGCCGCGCCTGGGAGATATGGGGAGATCTGGGGAGATTGCAAGCCGTGCAACGTAGCCGCGCCTGGAGATATGGGGAGATCTGGGGAGATAGCCGTGCAACGTAGCCGCGCCTGGGTGGGTCAGTCAGTGTGACACACTCCCAGCACGGAGGATGGGGCACATACACACTCGCGAGCACACGGGGGCATTGCACACGAGGCGGTGTGTGCGTTCTCAGGGAGAGGCAGCACCACGCAGACATACGTGCAATCTTCAGAGGGGCAGCGGTGGGGAACTCGCGCGCCTTGTTCCGCAGCCCCCTCCCCTACCCCACAGGACCCGAACCCACCCTCCCCTACCAGCCGAACCCACCCGCGGCGCCTTGTTCCGCAGTACCAACGCGTAGCACGCCTGCAGTGTGGACACGCAAACCTCAGGGCGGGAGGAGGCCGTCTGTCTCTCCCTTCTCGACTGTCTGTGCTTGTGCGTCTTGGGCCCCGGGGTTGTGTTTTTGCGTGAATTCGAAGGCAACGCGGTCCTCTCTCGAATGCTGATCAGAATGCAACTCTCGTCTCCAGTTTCTCTCGGGTCGCAGGCCGTCTTTCGGATGCCGGCCTCCTGCACCGACCTGCGAAGGAACCGGGAAGGGGGAGCGAGGACTGCGTCGGGAGGGGGGCCAGTCGTACTACGCGATGGAGGGGAGCCAATGCGCTACTCTTAAGTGGTTGGAGACTCCTCGGAGGCAGCCGCGACAGCTCAGAGTGTCGGCTGTCTTCTGGAGGGGAGCCAATGCGCTACTCTGAAGTGGCAGCCGCTTATGGAGGAGGGCCAGCTGAACTACTCGAGAAGGAGCGTCTGTGTTGGGGCCAGGATGCGAGGAAGGCTGTTCAAGGGCTCGTGCGTACCCGTAGGCCGAGAGCACCACCACGCTCGTGCCCATCTCCTGTTGAAAACAATACGCGCTGCAGATGCGTGCTGCCTGCTCCGCGTGTTTCTTTTGCGGCTGACTCCTGCTCGCTCTCGCCGCCGAGCGTGCACCGCTCCAGCGTCACCTGCAGTGCAAAAGTGATATGCATGCATCGGGCGGTTGGGGCACGCACGCGCAGCACACTCAGGCGAGGGACTTCAGCACACTGCAACACACTCAAGGCGAGGGACTTCAGCACACTCCACGCCGTGGGGCTAGCACGCACGCATGGAGCAGGTGTGGGGCAAAGACGGCCGAAATATGCACCTGCGCGCCGCCGCTCAGCCGCAGAGCGCAGCCGTGCGAGCAGCGCAGCCTAAAAGAAGCCGCGCCGTCAAAAACAGAGACGGATCTCTTCGAGCGCACCCGTCAGAGCAGCGGAGCCGGAGCCGCGCCAGCAGCCACTGGCCTCCCACGCACCGCAGGCAGTCGCCGCCTAAGGACATGTCTCGGACATATCGTGGACAACACCTGGACCTGTCACCTCTACAGGCAGCTGCCGCCGGCGTCGTCGAAGCGCACGCCGTGGATGGAGCCGCCGCCGGCGCCGAGCACGAGCGTGCCTCGAACGACCGCGCCCACCTCGCCTCGGATGGCGAGCGGCAGAGCGCTCAGCGGCTGCAGCGCGGCGCCGCAGTCGATGTGGTGCTCGCCCCGGCGCAGCAGGATGCGCTGCCCCGGCGCGGCACGCGCGATGGCTACGGCCAGCGAGGGCGCGTCGTCCGGCACGATCAGCTCTATGAAGCGCATGATGCAGCGGAGGAGATCGGCGTGCGACGCCACCAGCCGGAGGGGAGACCTCTCGCCGAGCCGCTCGTGTGAGGCCATGCAGAGGGTAAGCGCGGTCGTCGACCATGCCCCCGTCAACCATGGCGCGTCAGGCGACGCCATTGGCGCAGCGACGCGTGAGCCTCACTGACTGGCCCCTACCTCGACGAGGCCCGATGGACGTACCAGCCCGCAATCGAGTCTTCTGATAAACGCACACGTAGTGAGAGAGAGAGAGTCCGTACGTAGTACATGTACACGTACGTACATGTACCACTACTCTCTCTCTCTCTCTCTACATGTACGTACTTTTTTTCTCTCTCTCTACATGTATGGAAGATACAAAGAGACGGAGGAGCAACGAGCGCCCTGGCGTGAGCCAAAGACACTCCCTCCGTAGACACTGATCACACACGGGTGGGTGGGACAGGGTGGGTCACAACGAAGCACGAGAGCGTGCACGACAGAGCGACGGCGCAGCGCACTGCCGTCCAGCTAAAAAGCGGCGGCCGACGGCTGCTGCGCAAAGTGATCCGTTCTAAAATAGGTGCCGGGGCCCAACGGATAGATGAATCCGGGGCACCCTCCGCTCGAATCCCTGGCCATCGCACGGAACTCCATGACGGGGCTGTCACTCGGGAGCCAACCCGCAAGCGGAATAGACGCGCAAAACGTGTCGTGAAGCACTCACGCAGACGGGGGGGGGTCCCGTACCCGCCATGCGGAATCGACCCTATCCAGTGCTCAAGTGCTCAAGTAGAATGCGCCACGCTGCCCGGCGTTTCTCACTTTCCGGGAACAGCAGACACTCTTTCTTTTACTGGAAAATTCTTCGTTGGGCGTTGCCGTTGAGAGAGAGAGAGAAATCTCTCTCTCTCTTTTGCCGTTGGTAATTTGCAAAAATGCTAAATGCTTGGGCAAATTACACATAAAATCAAGCTTGTGTAACGCGCGCTGTGCCACTGTAAAATGGACGAACTAGCCTGTCACCGAACACCGACAGTTGGAGTTGCAGTTGGTGGGAATTGAATAGCTCCGCACACGACATGCTTGGTCAAGACAAGAACCACATAACGAACTAGTAGCACCCCCGCCCCGCCCCTGAACACACATCTGCTCCTCTCGACCACAGGAGGGGTACGACCAGGCCGAGATGGTAAAGCCCTAGCCCGAGGCTACTGCGCCTGCGCACTCCAACCCCAGCGCCCAGACCGAACACCCGCGCCGGGGTGGGCCCTCCGGCGGCTCGACGCCGCAAGCACGAGTCAGCCGCCGCAGTCGTCTTGGAAGAGGAGCGCGGCCCGCTAGTCGTAGACGTCAAAGCAGACCTGTCGCCTCTTCTTGGGCGCGTCGTAGTCCTTGACCACCGCCGCTGCCAGCGCGCCGCCGCCGTCTTCGCCCCCTGCCGCGGCGTTGGCCTGCTCCAGCGCACGCTTGCGCGCCTCGCTCTGCTGGTTGAGGCAGGCGGGGTTGAACATGATGTAGCGCGCGCTGCCGTACGAGAAGTCGTCGTCGGACTCGGTGCCTAAGACAAAAGAAAGCGGACTGCCCGGTGTGTGTCGCGTTCGTGAGCAGCCGTCGTCGGACTGTTGTGCAATCGGTGTTCGGCGTGCCCGCCATCCCGCAGCCGCAGTAGCCGTCATTGCCCTTGTCGTGCTCGAAGCCGCGGCCGCACTCGCACTTCTTGGAGACCGCCTCGGCGCACGCCTGAGAGGTGGCGGAGAGGTGGGCAAGGGGTGGCAGAGAGGTGGGCAAGGGGTGGCGGAGAGGGTGGCGGAGAGGTGGCGGAGAGGTGGCCTCGATCCCAAGCCGAGACGGGGTGGTGGTGGGGTGGGGGGAGATGTGGCCGAGATCGCGCCTCGAGCGTCATCCCGTTCCCGAGGTGCAGCCGGTGAATGTCGCCCGCGCCGCCCGCGTTGCTGAAGCAGGAGCTGTCCTCGGCGACCTAAGGCAAGGCAAGCTCCACTTCCTTCTCCACACACACGAGGTGGTGAGGCAAAAGGCCAGGGCAGACCCTCGCGACTCCACATCTAAAGTCAGGAGCCCCACGGCAGTCAGGCGCCAAACCCAATGTGCGTGGGGAGAGCGGAACCCAACCCCTCCCGGCTAGGCGTGCGCACCAGCTTATAGCTCAGCCCGCCCGACGGCTTGGGCGCCTCCGCCTCGAGCTTCTTGAAGAGCTCCTGGGCCGGCGTCGCCTAGGAACCGGTGTGCGCGCCGCTTCAGACAGGAGCTACACCCGTCACGGACGCCAAGGCTGCTGAGCGGGCCACAAGTCTCCCAAAGCAGGCGTGGGGTGCTAGCACTACGGGTGTGTCGAGGCAAAGGCGCACAGCAGACCACTAGAGGCGGCTACACAATCGCGTGGGCGTCGCCTTTGTCGCCCGGTGGCTCGCCGTCCAGCCTTCCATGTGCCTAGATTAGCCGAGACGAGCCGAGATGAGCCGAGAGTAAAACCAGCCTTCCATGTGCCGAGATGAGCCGAGATGAGCCGAGATGAGCCGAGATGAGCCGAGATTACGTCCAGCCCTCCACGTGCCTGCGCGTGCCGTCGAGCGTCTCCTTGCACCGCTGCATCGCTTGGTCCGCCTGCGCCTCCACCAGCATCGCGCCCTTTCCCGGAAACTTCCAAAAGACGCCGGACTCGACGAGGCGCGAGAGCGCGGCGCCGTGGAACCTTTGCATTGGGGCCGAGGAGTCGCGACCAGTGGAGGAGGAGTGTGTCGGCCGGCGGGAGTCCGGTGGTGGTGCCACTTCGTCATCTTGTCAACCTGAGCCCCTCTGCTCTGCTCTTCTCTACTCTTCTCTTCCGTTCTCTTCTCTTCTCTCTACACCCTGCAGTGTGCAATACACTGCGAGCAAAAGACACTGAGGAGGGAGCGGAGGGAGGGACGCGCCCCTTCATCATCTCGTCGAGATGTGGGGAGATGTGGGGAGATGTGGGGAGATGTGGGGAGACGCACCCCTTCATCATCTTGTCGACGGCCGCCACCGCCTACTCAATCGCGATCTCGCGCGATCTCGCGCGATCTCGGATGATCTCGTTGCCGACGGCGGCCGCCACCTCGTCGCGCAGCTTCGCGTTGTCTGCCGACTCCTCGCGGTACCAGTAAAACTTGGTGCGCAGCTCTTCGTTGAGGGTGGCGCACCTGTTCACAGCTGCAGGTGTGAAGAGACGCTGCTCACACCATCGTGCAGCTCCTGGTTGAGGGAGGAGCAGCTGCGAGGGGAGAGGAGGCCGACAGGAGGGCGGGGAGGCGGGTGTTGTGCAGCAGGTTGTGCAGAGTACTCGGAGCACCGCGTGAGTACGAGGGGAGGCGGAGACAGTGAGTACAGCTGAATACGGTCGAGTACAGCGGAGTGCGTGTCCTCTCGAGCGCGAGTTGGGGTACACGAGTCCGTATCCCGCTTCTAGGGAGGCGCACTGCTCGTCGAACCACTTGCGGTTGCGCTCGCGCAGGCGGTTGAGGGTCTCGGCCTCGTCGGCCGTGTCGAGCTCGAGGTCGGAGCGGTCGAGGATGTATCCGTGCTTCAGCCAGAGGGAGACCTGCTCTCGGGAGGGGTGGGGAGGTTTGTGGAGGTGTGGGGAGGGGTGGGGAGGGGTGGTGAGGGGTGGGGAGGGGTGGGGAGGGGTGGGGAGGGGTGGGGAGGGGTGGGTAGAGGTGGGGAGAGGTGGGGAGAGGTGGGGAGAGATGGGGAAGGTGTGGGGAGGTGTGGGGAGAGATGGGGAGATCAGGGAGATCTAGGGAGATCTGGGGAGGCCTGCGCGACAAAGTCGGTGCCGACGAGCGGCTGCGGCGTGCACTCGGAGAGGGTGAGCACTGTCCCCGCCTAGTACCATACCCGCCAGAGTCTCGAACCCAGTGTGGGTTCGGTCCCGTGGCTGTAGGGTGAGCACGGCCCCCCGCCTCCTTGCAGCGGTGCACCGCCTTGAGGTCGTGCATCGCCGCCGCACGCACCTGCGCGGGTTCGGGTTCCGGGGTGGGTTGGGGATCCCAGCCCCCCCCCCCGAGAGATCTGGGGAGATTGCAGCGGGAGAGATGGGCACTGTCAGAGTCGACGAGAGGGTCTACGAGAGGGCATGAGACGGGAGTGGCGGCGCGCTCGGCGCCCCGGCTCTCCCCTGCAGAAGGGGGGGGAGAGGCAAGAGAGCCCCGGCGTTCGAGTGGACCTGGTCGGCGTCGTGCAGGGCCCAGGCACTTCCCAGGCACTTCCCAGGCACTTCCCAGGCACTTCCCAGGCACTACCTAGGCACCACCTAGACACCACCTGGTCGGCGTCGTGCAGGTAGTCCGCCGACAGGATCGTCGAGTTGTACTTAGCCAGGTTGGCAACCACTTCGTCCGAGGCGTGCGGCCGCCGCACCTGCGCGCTGAGTACGCCGACCTCGGGGCGGGAGGGCGGACTCGCGCAAGGGATTCAGGCGGGGTGTGAATACCAGCGACACACAAGTCCAGTTCAATACCGCGGACTACAGCGGAGCACAGTCGAAGACGCCTCCTCTCGTGCGCTGGTTGGGAAGACAAGAATGCGTCCTCCGCTTCTAGGGCCGCCGCACAGTCACCAGCTCCTGCTGCTCAAAGAGCCGCTCGACGAGCCAGGTGGAGGAGGAGGCGGCCTCACCTGGAGGGGTAGGGTGGTGGCGGAGGGGTGGGGTGGTGGCGGAGGGGTAGGGTGGTGGCGGAGGGGTGGGGTGGCGGCGGAGGGGTAGGGTGGTGGCGGAGGGGTGGGGTGGCGGCGGAGGGGTGGGGTGGCGGCGGAGGGGTGGGGTGGCGGCGGCGGAGGGGTGGGGTGGCGGCGGAGGGGTGGGGTGGCGGCGGCGTGGGCGGCGGAGGGGTGGGGTGGCGGCGGCGTGGGTGGAGGAGGAGGAGGGAGGGAGTGCCTCCCAAGACAGCGATGCCCGCGCCGGACGCGCGCGAGGCGTTGCGCAGCGCAGCGAGCAGGTCGGTCGCCGCCATGCCTGCAGGAAGGTTCCGAGAAGGTTCGTGGACGGCTCCGCGCCGCGAGCGGCTCCGTCGCCGCCAGACCCGAGTTGTGCAGGTTGTAGATGTTGAAGGATTGGATCGACCAGACGAGCCGCGGCTTGGCCTAAGGCAAGGTGAGGTCAGGTAGACTCCTCCACACACACGAGGGTGGTGGGGCAAGGGCCGGGCAGCCCCTGGCGACTCCACGTCTAGACGACAGGAGCCCCGCGGCATTCAAAGTGCAGGGCCCAGTGCGCGTGGGTGAGCGAGTGTGAGAGTGCAGATTGGCCTGCAGCAGCGGGGCACTTCTCAGCTACCCAGGCGCCTTTTGCACGAGTTGGCCGCTGTCGGTGAGGGCCTGCAGCATCGACAGCGCGTGGCTCGCGTGCGCGTTCAGGCTCGCCACCGTCGACGCGTCCACCGGGAACATCGTGTTGAAGATGACGACCGAAGAGAGCAGGTAGACGAGCCCAAACAGGTTGGCCTCGTACGTCTTGGAGGTGATGCCGCCGACGCCGCTGAAGCCCTCAGTGTCGATGAAGAGCACGCGCAGCGTGCTCCCGTCCGCCACCTTCACCTCGATCGGCTGGCTCGCGATCCACACTCCGCCGGTGTGCGACGTGACGCCCGAGCCAACCTCAAAGATGTTTTCGTGCTCGCCGCGGAAGAAGGCGCGGCCGAGGATGGAGCTCTTGCCGGTGCGCGTGGGGCCGACGGCGCTCACGATGGCGAAGGGCTCCGTCTGCGCCCGCAGCACGTTCAAGCCTTCCTCGACCAGCTCGAGCTGGCCGGTGGACACAGCGGGCTTGCGAAAGAGCGGCACGGCGTGCCACCCTTGGTCGCCGGAGAGACCGCCGAAGGCCAAGCCGACCTCGAGGAGGGCGAGGAGGGGGAGGATCGCCCGCGTGCCCATATATGCTGCTGAGGTGTGGTCGAAGTGTTTACGTGAGCAACCACAAGGCTTTGGTTCGAAGCAAGCCCGAGCCGCTGACAAGTTCACGGTTGGGAAAAAGAATTTTCACGTCCCACTGGCAGCCCTCCCTTGGGTTGCCCGTTTTCTTTCTTTCTTTTACTGGGCACGAAAAAGAACATCCACCAAGACATTTTGACTCGCAGGACGAGGCAGACGAGAGCGACGCGACAGAGGAGGAAGGAAGCGACAGGAGGGAGGGAGAACGACGAGAGTGGGACGACCGCGAGGTGGCATGAAGGTTGCAGCCGAGGAATCGGCGAGGGACTATGCGAAGGGAGATAGAAAGAGGCAGACGACCAAGGGTTAGGGTGGGCGACGGCTAGCACCACACTCCTCTCCTTAAAATCCCTGTGTGGTGGGGGCGTGCCGTCCTCCCATCCCTCCCTTGGCTTGTCTGTTTTCTTTCTTTCTTTACTCGGAGAAAAGCCCGATGACTACCTGAGGGAGGGTGTAGAGGATGTAGAGTGTACCGGATCTGGCGCATCCTCGGTCACCATTTTGTCGAGCAGTACGGCGACAACAACGTTGATGAGCACGATTTGGCAGATGACGATGAAGGAGACGTAGAAGAGCGCCGGCCCGAGCGCCATTTTCATTGAAAATATGGCCGGACGGGCGACCATCTCGGACCACGACTCGCCCGTCAGCACTTGAAAGAGCGTGTACAGCGCGCGGAAGAAAGTGCCGTAGTACTCTTCGCCGTACGTGAAGCCACGTGCCGTCTCGGACGAGACCGTCTGATTGAGCGAGCAAAGGCCGGACTCGACCTCCTCCTCGGTGCAGACTCCGCGCAAGACGTTCTCGTTGTAGGTGGTCAGGGTGCCATCCTCGCCCGTCATGTGAAAAAAGTCGACTCCGAGAATCGCGTAAATGCACATCACGATGACCTGGATCACAAAGGCGTTGAACACGCCGGGGATCGCGGTGCCCAGCGATGTCAGGATCTTGTTGAGGCTCTTGACCCGCTTGAAGAGGCGGAAGATGCGAAAGGCGCGAAGGTTCCTAATGAGAGCGAGCTGCGGTGGCATGAAATTGCCGCCGATCGCCTCCGCCATGGAGACGCAGCCGATGCAGACGACAAGCAGGTCGAAGATGTTCCAGCCTGGGTCAGGGTGGGCGGCGGTGAGAAGACTGGCTCGGGGCAGGGTGGGCGGGCTGCGGGCCCGAGCAGCACCGGGGTTGTGACGCCAGAACGCAAAAGCGAGCCCGTAGAAGTTAACGAGCAGCTCGATGAGGAAGAGCATGTTGAATGAGAACTCGCCCCACTTCCAGACTGCGGGCGTGAGCTGGTCCACATACGGATCAAACTCCTTCTCGGCGATGTTGAAGATAAAGTTGGAGACGATGAGGACGGCAGTGGCAATCTGTACCGGCTGGCTCTGATAGGCCTGGTAGACTTGGAGCTGGCGCGGGAGGCAGAAGACGACTCCCTTCGGAGGAGGCATAGCAATGTCTTCCCAGGTCAATGCTGTCGACTTTGGGGCGGGCTCGGCTGCCGCATCTCCACCGGCCTCTGACGGAGCATAAGAGCAAGCGCTCTCCGACGGCGTGCTCTCTTCGCAGTCGGTGTCGGAGCAAGCAACTTCGCGGTTGTGAGCCGCGGCCGCAGCCTGTGCCTGGGCCTCCCTCTTGCGTTTGCGGGCGGCGTGGATCGCCGCGATCATATGCCTATTGTTTGCGTTGATCGGGGTGGGGTGCGCCCCACGCCCACAGGCCCACGCCCTACCCCTTCTGAGCGGGCCGCACTCTCGCGGCGGCTACAAGGAGTGACCCAGGTTGTTACGGACGGCGCGCGAAAGTATAATTGCAAAAAAACAACGGGGACGCACAACTGGAAAGTGAGGGGCGAAGAGGAGTCAGGCGGAGCGGTACACAATCAAACCTACCGTGCTGGATGCGCCTCCCGCCACTCTCGGATCATCCGGCGCAGGATGTGGCTCGCGGGAAGAGACAGATAAAGCTAAGGTAAGGTAAACTTCTCCAGACACACGAGGTGGTGGAAGAGACAGATGTGCTCGCGCAGTGAAAACGAGTGCGGTGTGTCTAGTTGGCGTGGGTAATCTTGGTGTTGGTGATGACTTGAGTTCCCATGCGTCTCCTCTTACACGCGTTTATTTTGACCGGTCATGTGAGACCGGTATACGCCTGTCCGAAAGCGAAAACCGAATCCCAGATCCCACACCGCAAAAAGAGAGTAAAAGAGAATTTTTGACTGAGCCACGATTTGGCATGGCGCAGGACTCGACCAGACGCTGCTATCCGCGTGCGTCCAACTTTGTTGTGTGTCGCTGCGTCCGTCCGTGGGCAGCGTGGCCAGCGTGTGCTCGCGTGTGCGCCCCCCACCAAACGTCACCCTCTGGACGCCTGCGTACATCCTAGAGCCGCAAGTTCTGCGGCCGCAAGCGCAGCTGCTTCCCGCCGTCCAGCAGCGCGAGGTAGCGGCCGCTCGACTCCTCAAACTCGAGCACCCGCGCGACGAGCCCGTTGTACTGCGCGGCGCCCTGCAGCCCGTCGACGATGCCGTGGGCGCCGTCCGCAAGCCGCACGTTGGCGTACCCCACCGGCAGGCTCTGCCCGCTCGCCAGCTCGACGCCGTACATCTCCGCCTCTGCGTTCCGCTCGAAGATGGTCCCAGTGGCGCCCTCGTGCTCTGCCATCGACGCCGCGAGGCCGACGAGCCTCACCTGGAAGAAGAAACCAGGATCGATCTGTGTTTCTTGTCTACAGGCCTCCCATCTCGAGATCCCCCGAGATCCCCCGAGACTCCCCGAGATCCCCCGAGACTCCCCGAGATTCCCCGAGATTCCCCGAGATTCCCCGAGATGGCCCGAGATGGCCGACGAGCCTCACCTCGGCCATCTGAAGCAAGTTGGCGAGCTTGAGCGCGAGCGCGCCGCCCTCGCGCAGCTTGACCGTGTACCGCCCGCTCCCCTCGTCCACCCCCTCCACCACACCCACCGCGCCATTCTTCTCCGGCTTGCTCACCAGCCCGACCAGCTTGACGTACGTGTGGCGCGGCAGCCGCACCCGCGCCGCCGCCGCCGCCGCCTCCGCCGCCGCCGCCTCGCCCGCCGCCAGCGCCTCGGCCGCCGCCTCCGCCGCCACCCGCTCCTTCTCCGCCTCGGCCGCCGCCGCCACCGCCGCCGCCTCCCGCTCCTGCTCCGCGCGCCGCTCCGCGACGACGGCGCCGAGCCGGACAGAGCGCTCGATGTCGACGTCGTCCGGCATCACGCGCTTGCGGTGCCCGTCGTAGAGGCTCGCCTCTAGCTGGCGCTCGTCGTAGTAGCGCCCGCTCATGCTGTCGACGCACGCTGCCGCCGCCGAGGAGGCCTCGAAGCGCAGGACGACCGGGCACGCGGCGTCGGCGGCGAAGCACTGCACGCGCTCGATGCGGCCGTGGCGCGCGCACTCGAGCCACGCCTCTTCTTCGATCCCTCGGATCATCTCTTTCGCGTCGGTCGACGTGGAGAGCTGCTCCTGCGTGACCATGCCGCAGTAGGGTTAGGGTTAGGGTTAGGGTTAGGGTTAGGGTTAGGGTTAGGTTAGGGTTAGGGTTAGCTGCTCCTGCGTGAACATGCCGCAGACGACGGCGATCCGGCCCCAGTCCGACTCGGCCACCTTCGGCTTGTCGTCGAACGTGGCCGGCGCGACCGAGAGGTGCTCGCCGAAGAGCGCCCACTCGCGGCCCGGCTCGAGGGCCGCCTATTCACAGCTGCACTATCCATAGCTGCACTGTTCACAACCCCACCCGCGGCCCGGCTCGAGGGCCGCCTTGACCGCCCCGCCCGAGGCAAACGTCACGATGCCGTCGCCCTTGTTCTCGCCGCGGCCGTCCTTGTACAGCTTGACGCGCTTCACCTCGCCCGCCTTTGGAAGGGGAGGCGGGAGGCGGCGGGTGCGAGGCGTGACGGGCGAGGAGGAGAGGCGAGATGCGCGCAGCGGAGGCGAGGGAGGGAGCGGCACGCGCAGGCGGGCGATGCCGGCGAGCTCTCGCGCCTTGGAGAAGAGGTTTTGCACCGCCGTGTGCGACACCTCGGTCGGGATGCCGCACACGTACACCGACCAGTTGGCCGCGTTGGCCGCCTGATTCGCCGCCTTCTCCTTACGCTTCTCCGTCTTACGCGCCAGCTTGCGCGCCCGCGCCGCCTCCGCCTCGGACGGGCCGACCTCCGACTTTTGCGCGTCGAAAACCTGCAGGTAGAGGAGCCTTCTCGGTCAGAGCGCGCTCGCGGTTGGTGGTCGCGACCGCCGCTCGCACACCGAGTCCCAAGCCGACTCGACATCATCGTGCGCCTCGCCGTGCACTGACGCTTCGTGCAAGCTGCGCTTGCGCGCGGCGTCGAGCCGCGCCTGCTCGCGGGCCATCGCCGCCTGGTACGCACTCGGGCCGCCATCGGAGCGCGACATCACAAACAGAAGCGAGCGACCGTGGGATGAACCCCTGCGGGCCCTTGCGCGCCCGTACTAACAAAAGAAATCTTGGCTCACGCCTTCGACCACTCAGCGGGGCATGGCTGGGCATGCAGGTCCGCCAGTCGGCCCGGCCTCTGACGTGGTGCTGCCGCTGCATTCGCTGAAGAAGAGAGGTGCGACTTGATTGGAGGCACTGGAGGAGGCGAGGGTGGGGAAGGGAAGGTTGGGCCGGGCCGTGAGGGGCTGATGGCGCTGGCCAGCGCGGGGTGTGAGATGTCGTCGTCGTCGTATACTGCTGGCCCTCGAGTTGCCCAGGGCTGTGGGCTGCAGAATTGGCGTCTGTGGCGTCTACGCAGGCTCTGCAGCGTTAACTGGGCACGAGCCAGGAACAGGCTGGCCAGGCCGCAGGTGGCTGTGTGGGTGTGAATCCCGGGATTAGTCAATGGTACCGCGTCGCCTTGCGGGCAGAGCCCTGAGCCACCCTTTGTCTTGCGCGGTCAAAAACGACGAAGTGCGCGCCCACTACTAACAAGAAATCGAATAAAAACCTTCGGCGCCAAACGCCTTCGCCTTCGACCACTCAGCGGGACCATGCCGCCCAAGAAGCAGAACGCACCCACTTCGGACGCCGCGCCCGCCGCCGCCGCTGTGTCGGGCATGAAGGTGCAGGAGCTTCGCAACAGTCTCTCCGCGCTCGGCGCCGACACGTCCGGCACCAAGGCCGTGCTCGCTGCCCGCCTCACCGATCTGCGCAAGCGCGCAGCCGCGCCTGAGGACGAGCCGCCCGCCAAGGTGGCCAAGCCTGCCCCGCCGGCCGCGGCCGCGGCCCCGTCCAAGTCGATCCGGACCGCGATTGTCAAGGGGCGCGCGGCGGTCGACTCGTACTGCGATGTCGCGGCGACGACGCACGTGTATGAGGGGAGCGGCGGAGAGGTGTTTGACGCGCTGCTCAACCAGACCGACATCGTCAAGAACGCCAACAAGTTCTACGTCATCCAGCTGCTCGAGACGGACGCTTCCCCGCCAAAGTACTACACGTGGACCCGCTGGGGCCGCGTGGGCGAGAAGGGCCAGTCCGCACTGCTCCCGCCTTCGGGCGCGCGCCCGCCCCTCGCCCCCGCCCGTCCCGCCCCCCCCGCCCCCCCCTCCTCTCGCCGCGCGCCCACCCCTCGCCCCGCCCGCCCCGCCTTCCCCTCCCCTCGCCGCCCCTCTGCTGCGCACACCTCCGCGCACAGCCTCCGCACCTCCTAAACAAGACGCCGCAGCTGCGCCCGGCCGGCTCGGGCAGGCGCGTCGCTGGACGCCTGCCTCGACTCGTTCCACAAGAAGTTCCACGACAAGACGAAGAACAGCTGGGCGCAGCGCGACACCTTCCGCGCGGTGCCAGGCAAGTACACCCTGCTCGCCGTTGACTATGGCGCCGACGAGCCGGACCCCGCGCCGAGCGCGCGCGGCGGAGGAGGAGGCGGGAGCTCGTCCGGCGGCGAGCCGCTCCGCAGCGGGCTGGACGAGCGGGTCGGATCGCTCGTCTCCCTCCTGTGCGACGTGAAGATGATGGAGGCGCAGATGCGCGAGATTGGCTTCGACGCGGACAAGATGCCTCTCGGAAAGCTGCAGCGCCGCACCATCCTGCAGGCGCCGGCAGCCCTCGCCCGCCACCGCCCTCGCCCGCCACCGTCGCCGCCGTCCGCCCCCCTCCGCCCCCTCCCCACCCCCTCTCCGCTGCCGCCGAGCCGCCGCCGCCCAGCCCGCCGCCCTCGCCTGCCGCCCTCACCACCGCCCGCCGCACCATCCTGCAGGGGTACGAGGTGCTGCAGCATCTCGCCGAGGTGATCGTTGGGCCGGCGGCCTCCTCCGCCTCGGCCTCCTCCTCCGCCTCGGCCTCGGCCTCCCGCTCCGGCGGCGACGGCGGTGCGTGATACCGCACCACCCATGGAACTGAACCCACACTGGGTTCCGTACTCTGGAGGTATGGGACTAGGTGCCGCCGGCGGTGCGAGGGTGGTGGAGCTGTCGAACCAGTTCTACTCGCTGATCCCGCACGTGTCTGTGAGCGAAAAAGAAAGAGCGGCGCAGCCAACCGGTTGCGAACAGCCTCTCTTCACACCCGCTCTGTGAATAGGTGAGCGAGAAGAGCGGCGCCGCCAACCGGCTGCAGCGGCTGCCGCTCATCGACACGCCCTCGCGCCTCAAGGCCAAGATCGAGATGGTGGAGGCGCTCGGCGAGATCGAGCTCGCCTCGCGCGTCATCGACACCAAGGCGCCCGCCTTCGACAAGCACCCGCTCGACCTCAAGTACGACCAGATCGGCGCCACGCTCACAGCCTCCCACAACCTCCCGCAACCTCCCGCAACCTCCCGCAACCTCCTGCAATCACGGATAGGTGCCAAGCTGACGCCGATCGACAAGGGGTCGGCGACGCACCAGCTGCTGCAGCAGTACATGGCAAACACGCACGCCGCCACGCACGGACAGTACTCGCTCGAGCTGGAGCAGGCCTTCGACACACACACACACACACACACACACACACACACACACACACACACACACACACACACACACACACACACACACACACACACACACACACACACACACACACACACACACACACACACACACACACACACACACACACACACACACACACACACACTCCCACACACACACTCCCACACCGCTCACCCACGCACGCACACCGCTCACCCACAGCGTACTGGGCCTTATGCCGAGGGCTGCTGTCTTTTTAGACGTGGAGTCGCGAGGGCTTTCCCGGCCCTTGCCCCGACCCACTTGTGTGTGGAGAAGCTTACCTTACCTTAGGCCTTCGAGGTGGAGCGGCCCGGCGAGGCGGAGCGCTTCGTCGACAAGGGCAACCGGCAGCTGCTGTGGCACGGCTCGCGCCTGACCAACTGGGCGGGCATCCTCTCGCAGGGGCTGCGCATCGCGCCGCCCGAGGCGCCCGTCACGGGCTACATGTTTGACAAGGGCGTCTATTTCGCAGACATGGTCTCCAAGAGCGCAAACTACTGCTTCGCCTCGCGCCAGGCGCCGACGGGCGTGCTGCTGCTGTGCGACGTGTCGCTCGGCGACCAGTACGAGCGTCTCCAGGCCGAGTACCGCGCGGGCGCGTCGGCGAAGAAGGCTGGAAAGGACTCCACTTTCGGCAAGGGAGCGACTGGGCCGGACCCCGCCGGCACAGTGCCGCTGCCGTCCGACCCGGCCGTGCTCGTTCCAAAGGGGAAGGCCAAGAAGACAGCCGTGGCGGGCTCCTCGCTGCTATACAACGAGTTTATCGTCTACGACGTGGCGCAGGTCCGCCAAAAGTACCTGCTGCGCGTCAAGTTCCACATGCAGTGAAGCAGTGGTGGACAAACTCTGGTGAGCAAATGGTCCGGAACTCAAGGCGTTGGTCTTCAAGGGCTGGGGTGGCTTGTGTCTTGCGGCGCGCGGCTCGAGCATCTTTTCCCGGCACCGCGGAGCTGGGACTGCTTGCATGGTCGGGTGCCACCGCTATCTTGCGCCCTCGCTTTCTCTCTCTCTCTCTGCGCATCGCTCTCTGAACTCTGCACTGGTCGACTGGGGTGGCTCCTGGACCCTGGAGCGTGGAGGGGGCGCTCGTGTCGGGGCGGCGCTCTCTCTTGGCTCTCTCTCTATTGGAACGTTGTACGTTGGCGTGTTGGACTGATGCATGCGTCTCCTCTTTTTACGTTTGAGAATCACAACGCCTAGAAAGTCAAAGATCACAAAGCGGGCGGGCGGAGGGGGACCTGTTCGCTGGCCACACACCTCTCCGCCGCGTGACGATGTGAGTCCGATGTAGAGCGATGTAGAGGCGCGCTCTCTACAACGTGAGAGAGAGAGTACAACGTAAAATCTCTACAACAAACTCTACACCATAAGCGGCGAACGAGGCACGGTCGCTCTCCGACATGAGGCGCGTTGCACTTGCCAGTGCTGCCCTGGCCTTTTCTGTCTGCCCGCCCAATGGGTGGGAGGTGCCTCTGCTGCTGTGGCATGCCTCACGGCTGCCCTGCGACTGGCCGGCGCCTCGGCGCGTCAGCTCGGCTAGGTGTAGCGATAGTGGCCAGCGCAACTCCTCTCGCCTGGACTCAACGCTCAGCCACGGAGCTCCCGCACGCGCTGGCGCGAGGCATGGCGCATGCAACGCGTCTGAATGCTCGCCTCGCCTCACGCAAATGCGACCGTCCTCGCAGCCGACAGTCCACCGCCTGCTGAAGGAGCACACTGCGACGAATGCGGCACCGGCGACGCATGGCAGGCTGGTCATGACGCAGTTATAGGGTGTTGTGTGCTGTCAGAGTGACTCTCTGTGTGTCAGGGATAGTCAGGGCCGTCCGTCAGAGCTCCAGTAAGCTCAGAGACACCCCATTAGTGCGACTCGACCTCTTTGAGTCACTGCCTTCCCGGCGGTTTGGCTGTAGAGCCTCTACAACAAACTCTACAACAAAATCGCGCTCTACATCGCTCTACAACGCAGGCGCTTCGTCCCGCGGCGGATGTAGAGCTCTACAGCTCTACAGCACTCCAGAGCGCTCTACATCTCTACAACTCTACAGCGCTCTACACTCTACATCCTCTACACCCTCCCTCAGGCCTTTCGGCGCAGCTCCGCCCTCCTGGCTGCATATCCTGGCCCCTCGAGTCTATCGAGCTCTCCTCGAGCAAGGACGAGTCTTCTGACGCCCACTGCTATCATTTGCCGCCCAGTCATATCATTGCTCAGGTCCACTCTCTCTTCGAACACTTGTGCCTTCACGGATGATGCCGGCGCTGGGGTCCCCTTCCGAGGGTGCCACTCAGTCAGTTCTTTGACACCTCTACTGTGAGATGGGTAATAAGAAGGCCGAACAGGTCCCCGCGCGCCCTTGGCCTTGCGATCTTTGTGCAGGGTAGAGGGTTCTTTGTGGGTGTGGTCGGCGACTAGCCGGGGTCGTCCTCCCGATGGGGGACTAGCACTAAGCCGTCTTCCACATGGTCCCTCGGGTCCCTGCTGCTCCTAATCTCTTCGTGCATCCTCCTGCTTATCTCCGCAACGTCCTGCTCCCTCCCCCTCCCCCCTCGTCTCGCCCTCCCCTGCGCGACTCCGCTGTTGGTGTCTTTCGCGTTTTTGCCTATATTACCCGTCTCTCAGATACAGTCACAGACACTCAGTTCGTGCGGCTCGCGACAGGTGTCCGTTTTTTTGGTTTATTTATTTATTTTATGTTTATGCTCCACAAGAGCACCAACAACTGTCTTGAGCGACTGCAAGCCCGCGCTACAGCAGTCGAGGCGGCGTACCGAAAAGGCTCTCTCGAGGGAGACGTACTGGACCGGAGGACTTATTACGCCACACGCGGCCACACGAACGAGTGGGTGCGAGGACGGCTCGGCGAGGGGCTCACGGCGGGGTCGCACACGGCAGGGGTGACGGGGCCGCTGTGGAGCGATGTGGTCAGGGGAACGACGAGACACAAATGGGACAAGCGCCAGCGGATCAAGGATCAGCACGGCGAGCGCGAGATTGAATTCGCCGACGTGGATGATCATAACGTGGTGACAAGACCGTCATGGGAGCGCGTGTGCGGCAGCAGGCGGGGGTGCCACACGGAGCGCACCACGAGAGGATTATGCGGGGAGAGGCGGGGAGAGAGACCCCGGGCGCCGCCACAAGGAGCGAACTCAGGGGCTGCCTCGTCTGTAAGGCCGCGAGGGACGCGGCGAGGAGGGCGGCACTAAAGCGAGACCCGCTGTGTCCGATCGTGCGGAAAGCCGCGCAGCAATGGACCGAGGAAGATGAGAACCCGCCTAGAGCGACGATGGCGCACTTGCTTAGCGGCGCCTGCCTGGGGAATAGGGAGCAGGCCAGGTGGTTCCTCAGAGTAGCGCGAGCGCAGACGGGGACGGCGATCAGCAAAGTAGCCCAGGCGGCACCCGACTCCAAGGATACGCTGAAGACGCTGAGGATAGCGCATGTCGCTCCGCTGAAGGGCTCACGCTATAGGGTGCTTGATGAGGACGGGTACGATGCACTAGCCCCAGCCGTCGGGGGGGTGTTGCCGGCGCTGGTAGATGACTCGGAGAAGAGCCGGAGGGACCTTGGCGCCGGGGTCACGAGGAACTTGCAAGTCGTGGCCGAGGCGGCGACGGGCGCGGTGCAGAGGTGGATCCAGCTCAATGATGAGGCTACGGCGCGCATAGTGAAGAGAGAGGAACACATCGAGTGGCTGAGGAAGCTCTTCACTGGGTGGAAAGAGGCTCGGCCGGCCTTGAGGGAGTCGCAGAGGAGGGATAACGCAGGCAACGCAGGGACGGGCCAACAGCCAGTGGGACGAACGAGGGCCGCGACGGCGGCTCAAGCGGGAGGGAGCGGTGACAGTGGGCAGCGAGCGAAGTGGGTGAGACTGATGATGCTCCTTCGACTTAGGGAGCGGTTCAGCTGCTGGGCGGGCTTCAGGATGGTGCTCACGCGAACAGGAATCGACGCGATGTACAAAGCAGGCGGCGGCTTCTCGCCGCCTGCAGTTGCAAAGATCAAAACTGCCTTGCGCGCAAGGCTCAACGCTCGGGCGTTGACCGCACCGCGTACCCTCCCCACTCCCGCCTCTCATTTGTGTCACACCACGCGGAACGCATCTCCATCGCTTCGGTGAAGGGGGTGAACCGTGCCATCCTCGATCGCCGTGCTAAGCTCGCTTCCGAGCTCTCACGCCGCGCGTAGGGCCCCTAGGGGCCTAGAGAACACAACCCCCTCTCTCTTTTCTCCCAGTAAGCTAAAAGTACGTACAAAAGTAGAGAACACAACCCCCTCTCTCTTTTCTCCCAGTAAGCTAAAAGTACGTACAAAAAGGGGAGAAGGAAGAGGAGAGACGCCGGTGAGGACGAAGCAGAAACTAGCGCAGACGAGAGCAGGGCAGACCCGGGGACTGGGGAGCCGGAGCAGACGGCATCGGCCGCCGAGGGAACGTTGGGAAGAGGCACGAGGAGGGCGGCGACCTCGACCGACTATGGAGGACCCGTCGCCAGACGACGCAAGGCAGAAGACGGTGAGGCGGAGCAGACGCGCAGGGCGAGACGAGGGAGGGAGCAGGACTTTGCGGAGATCAGCAGGAGGATGTACGAAGAGATTAGGAGCAGCAGGGACCCGAGGTACCATGTGGAAGACGGCTAGTGCTAGTCCCCCATCGGGAGGACGACCCCGGCTAGTCGCCGACCACACCCCGACAAAGAACCCTGCACAAAGATCGCAAGGGCGGGGACCTGTTCCTTTTTACCCATCTCACAGTAGAGAGGTGTCCGTTTTTTATTTATTTACCAACAACTGGCGCGTGGCGGGACGATGCTGGGGCCGGGTCGTGCTTCACACACAGCCCGCTGACCCACGACTGTCCGCCCTAGAGCGTCCTGCCGCGTTCGCGCCGAGAGGGAAATCAGGGGAGCTGCGCGCGGCGGCCGAAGCGGTCGGCGTTGACGTCTCTGCGACCGACGCCGACATCGACGAGCTCTCTGCCGGCGCGCGCGCGGCGTCTACGAACTACCCCCCCGCGATCCAGCCCTGGACGCCCAACTGCTTGACCGAGGGCGAGAAGGTGACCTGCGTCTGGTGCGTCAGCAGGTGGAGCAGCTTGGAGTTGTGCGGCTGGTAGAAGCGGCCCAGCTTGGTGCGGGCGTCGCTCGACATGCCGCCAAACACCTTGATCGAGTCGATGTTGGACGGGTGGCGTGCGGGCGAGGCGAGCTCGGCCGAGCCGGTGAGGAAGTGCGAGACGTCCTTGACCACGCGCTGTGTGTCCTCCTCGTAGGCGTCCGTCGACGTGAGGAGGAAGCGCTTCGGCCCGAACCGTTTGAACCAGTACTCGAGCTGCGCGTGGTACACGCCCGCGGCCACGCCCTCTATCGCGTCTGCGGGGAGGGAGCGAGGCCAGGCGTGTGCTGTCGCGGGCGCGTCGGCCCGAGGAGCGGCGCCGGCAGGTCATATCTCCACATCTCCCCACATCTCCCCATACCTCGCTGCGTGTCGTATCTCCCCGTATCTCCCCATATCTCCCCATACCTCGCGCCTTCGTCGCAGTGGAAGGTGTCGGGCGGCGGCCAGAGGTCGTCGCCGTGGTTGCGCTGGCACTCGCGTACCGCGTCCATCGTCACCTTGAGCCAGTTGTCAAAGTTCTTGACGCCGGTGCCAGACAGCACGAAGGCGTCCCAGTACGCGTAGAGCCGAAGGGCGGGGTCGCGCAAGATGACGACGAACTTGAGGAGCGGCTGCGCGGCGCCAGGCAGCGTGGCTTGGAGGCGGTCGGCGACGATAGGCTTCCGGAGGTACGCGGGGGTCGCGTCGACGGTGAACTGGTACTGCGGGTGCGCGTTCCGGCCCGGGCACTCCGGAAAGTGGTCGGCGTAGAAGCCCATCCCGCGCGACCAGCTGTCGGTGGCGTAAAAGTGCTGTTCTCGTGCGTAGTAGTCGGGCTCGCCGCGCAGCGCGTGGCCGGAGCGCGCGCCGCGGATGCTCCCGACGATATCCTCGTAGAGGCTGTTGCTGCCGCAGCGCTGGCAGCCGAGCAGGAAAGTCAGCGGCACCAGCTTGCCGCCCAGGCAGAAGGTGCCCGCGCGCGAGATGTCGTGCGCGACCAGAGAGCGACCATGCGTCACGTTGGTCACTGCCTGGGAGCTCGTCGCGGCGGCGGCGGCGAGAAGGGCAGATGGCATATACACACACACGTGTATACACAAACGTAGCGCACACAGGCAAGCGCTACACCACAGCGGCGCCGCGTTCCGGAACGTCGGAACGTCGACCCTCGACCCTCCCAGGGGTTCCGGCTCCAACCCGGATAGGGGGTCTGCGCGCCCTCCCTCCCTACCTATCCCCAGGCCGCGAAGCGAAAAAAGATGAAAATGTTCCCGGGCATTCACACTATGTTCCTGAGATTTGGATTGGAGATTCGTGTTTCGGCGATGAGGCCTCTGCCTAGCCTCCTGCTTCTATGCGGGAGCCATGGCGGGACCGCTATCGAGTATGGCTTATCCTCCGGACAGTACCTCGACTATTGCATCGCCGAGGCCGACACCACCATCGACATGACAGCGTTGACCGCCATGGCAGCTCCAACGTGTGCGCTGCCATGGACAAATCTTGCACTCTATATGCCAGCCACCACCTGGGCGCCTGGCATGTGCGAGCACAACCCCAATCGAGCCGAAAGATCTGAACAATGGGGTCCAGTCGGTCTCTTCGAGCACGTTCGAGCCTGCCGTTTGCATCGACAATCCATTTCTGAAGGTTTTGTCGATAAAGTTTGAACTTTGGCCAGAACACTCCGAGGACATGTCTTTTGTTTGACATGTGTGCCTCGCCCCACACGACCTCTCAGGCTATAGAGCACATGCCACAGCCTGCCCCTGAGGCGTCATTCACCCACAGCGGCCACTTTGATTTCCGGCGCCTTCGCAGCCCGCTACATGTGCACTCTTCCCCCAACAGTCGACTCGGCTCGACGGCTTTAACCATCATGGGGCACGGACCTTCTGCGACAACCCAGCCCCCTAGTGGGCCTGCGACACACCTTTCGCCGCCAACTCTGCTGGGTGAATGCAACGGGAACAAATTCCTTTGCCTCCAGAGAGAGAGTACGTACGTTGCCTCCAAAATCGTAAGAGCTACATACACTGAAAATGTTTCACCATGGAATGCAACAGTTGGGCCTACCCCTTCGTCGGCTGCACGACCCGAGGAGCACGTGGACCGCAAGGTGCATGTGGTCGAAGAAGCGAGCCTCGGGCGTCTGGTGCGAGCGCATGAGCGCCTCGCTCACGCGCCGCTTCGCCCCAGAGAAATCGGAGAATGCGGCCGGGCGCTCACCCGGCGGCGTCTCGGCGAGTAAGCTCTGCCCGCGGCGCAGCAGGCTGACAGAGATGTGCTTGTCCAGAGCGGCCGCGAACGTGGCAAGCTTGTCCGAAGGCAGAGGGCGTCCAGATCTGTCCAGGCGGAGTGGCCGCTAGATCGTCGAATAGAACGTCGACGTACCGCTTCGTGGGTGGCAGCGCTGCCACGGCGCCGCGCCACGCGGACTCACTGGGATCGAGGAGCGCCGCATTGACGAGGTACAGCGAGGCTTCGACAAGGTCGTTCCTCGCCTCAAAAAGGCTTGCCTGGTGCTTAAGCATGCGGACCACCTTGCCCGTTGTGATCAGTGTGGGCACCAGGTTGTCGGCCTTCACGAGGATGCTTTGAGCCTCGTTGTAGATGAAAACGCGAGTCGGCAGGCGCCCGCTCTCCGGGTCGAGGCGCGCCGCCACCTGGGCGAAGACGCCATTGAGGTCGGGTCGAGAAGTGAGGCCGGTTGCACAGACATAGAAAGGCATGCGCAACGCGAGGCCGATCTTAAAGGTCTCGAGCTGCTTTGCTCGCATCTCCGTCTTCGGTCTCCTCAGCGTCGACCGCACATGCGAGCTGAGCAAAAAGCGAGCTTGCAACAAGGCCACGCCGGACAGTGGCCTCGAAGAATGCGTGCCAGCGCTCATCCGATCGTTACACCGACGTCGTAGAAGGCAACGAAGCTGTCGTCGACGACGAGCGGCATATGTGAAGCCATCTTGCACCCGACAACGGTGCGAGCGTCGAACGCGAGGGAGTGGACGGGCGGCCGCCGGCGGGCGCTCATCAGACCACAGTGTTCGCGAAACGTGACTGCTTGCAGCACCATGGCGATGGCGCTAATTAAGAGATTCCTCTTCCCCCCCGCCCCCCCCCCCCCGGCAAGGCGCGCGATACACTCTACTTCTAACACCACGATGGCGCGCACTGGCATTAACAAACCTCGCAGACAGCTGAGTCCAGCAGAGAGTGAGGGGGGCGCAGGAACCAGGATGGGTCCGCGGCTCTGGCTGCACGCTGGGCACACTGTGAGAGTGTGAGAACGCGCTAGCCTAGGTAGGACGCAGACGTGAGCACCATCGTCCGTCCCAGACGACGCTGTCCTTCCGGCTTGGGTCAGCTCTCAACGCGGAAGAAGTCTGGCGTGCAGCTGCAGGGAAAGCCAGCCGCAGAGCCTACCAGCGTGGCATCCACATTGTCCGAGTCCTCGCCAGGAAGATCTCTGTGTGGCCTCGAGCAGCCTCGTCGCGAGTCGGAGCGAAAGCGGGCGGCTCTGGTGAGGCTGCGCTGCGCAAGCACGGGCGGGAGGGGTTTCTCCTGCGGAGTCGCTCGCTCGGAGTCCGTCGTGCGACGTGCGTGCGCGGGGCTCCTCTTTGCGAATACGGTACTCCCTACATACATCTCGTACCCGTTCTACCAGAGAAGGTGATGTCTGGACTGGACTGCATATAACACATGCGCGAAACGGTCGACTAAACTATGCACATGACTCAGCTCAACCTTGCGACCTCCGCGCGGAGGCGCCAGCAGGCGATGACGGCCACACGCACATGCCACACAATCACAAAACAACAAAGACAGTAATGATATAATGATGTAATAAGCATGATCACAGCACCTTGCGCACCCTCTCGTACGCCGCGTTGAGCTCATAGACACCCGCGCCCTCCGCGTCGGGAGCGGCCGCTCGCCTACGAGGAAAGTTCCGAGAAGCTTCAGGGCAAGGGCCGAGAAGAGCCACTGAACCGCTGCCGCGCGCCGGCGGAAGCCAAAGGAACGCGTGTCGGGGTGGAGCTCCCTCGAGCGCGCGCGGAAGGCGTCGCGCAACCGCCGCGGAGTCAGCCGCTCCTCGCCTTGGGAGGGGGGCGAGCAAGTGAGTGGGGCAGAGTGGCGGTGCCTCGGAAGCGTCTCGGAGATATCTCGGAGATATCTCGGCAGTGTCTCGGAAGTGTCTCGGAAGTGTCTCGGCCTAGCTCAGTCAGGCCGAGGACGGCCAGCGAGGCCTCGAGCCCGGCGAGGCGGTCCCGCTGCTCCCCAGCGGTGAAGGCCCTGCGGTGGTCGGCTCGCGCCCCTCTCGCCCACGACGCCACCCCCCTCGCCCACGAGCGCACCCTAGACTGCGGGCCCGCGTCGTACACAACCTCGGCGGGCCTCGCCCACGAAGAAACAGTCGACTGCGGCGCGTCATAGGCCTCGGCGGCCGCCACAGCGGGCGTCGGCTCCTCCTCCGGCACCGGCGAGGGCGGCAGCTGGAGCGGCGCGACGGCCTCGGCCGCCGTCTCCGCTGCAGCGGCGGCCGCTGCGAGCACCGTGTCAAGCGCCACTCCCTGCGCTGCTTTCGCCACCGCCGAGGCGGCTGTCCGCGCCTCGGCCGCCATCTCCTCGCCAGCCGCTATCCGCGCGGCGCGAGCCTTGGCGCGCGCCGCCGCCGCGTTCACCTTGGTCTGCGCGGCCTGGTCGAGCTTGGTCCACGACAGCTCCTCCACAGCTCCGCCCGCGCTCTTTCGCTGCTCATCCGCCTGCTGCTTGATCGCCTGCGCATCGGCGATGAGGGCCGAGATGCGGGCCTCCTCCTTGTCCGGATTGATGGCGCGCTCCCGCGCGCCGGCCACCCAGTCAGCCGCCAGAGCAAGCGCCGTCTTGGCTGCCTTGCCGCCCACCGCTCCGGCAGCCTTTTTTGCAGCATCGCTGCCGAGCGCGGCGACCGACTTGGGGTCCTCTTCACCGGCCATGCGGGCGGAGAGCGCGGCTCGGCCGGGGAGGCAGGCGCGGCTTTGGAGTGACGCGGTCACGTCGGCGGAGGCGCGCACGAGAGAGGCCGCTGCCCGCTCCCGCGCGGCAGCCGCGGTCGGCAGCGGCCGCTGCGGTGCGAATCCGATCGCCAGGAGCGGCAGCATATCGAGGTGCGAAAATGGCTCCGGGCGCTCAGTCACCGTTGTCGGGGTAGCTCAGACCCTCGCGTCTCCGCGTCTCCACGTCTAACGATGGGGGGGAGGGTTTGGAGGGGAGGGGGGGGGGGGGGGTCGAACTCGCGCAATTCAACTTCAAATATCGAAAGACAGGGTGGTTGTGCGCCTGCTCATCCCAGCCCTCCTGTATTCAGCCCCGCCAGCAGCGCCTGCCCGAGCGAGCCCACGGCGCCGGCCGCGCCGGCCGTAGCGCCATCGGAGGCGCGCTCGTCGTCCTCCCTCTGCCGCACCCACACGGTGCAGATCCACTTCTCGCCCTCCCCGGACGGCACGGGGAGCGCGGCGTGGAGCGAGTCGGGGCAGGGCAGCCCGTCCTACGTGATGAGTACACCATCATCGGGGCGGGGAGGCGGTCTTGTGCAGAGTCCTCAGAGCACCGCGTGAGTACGCAGGGCTATAATACAGCGGAATACAGCGGAATACGGCTGAATACAGCTGAGCATGTGTCCTCATGAGTACGGGTTGGACCACAAGAATACGTATATAGCTTGCTTCTAAACCAGCCAATCCTCGCTCGCGGGGAAGAAGACGAGAGCACACCCCCGCCGCGGCCGCACGCGCAGCCCCAGCCGCGGGAAGTCCGTCTCACCTAGGTGAGACGAAGTACGGAATCGGGAATTTCGCCACAACACACAAAGGTGGTGCAGAAAGGGCCGGGCAGCCCCTCGCGACTCCACCTCTAAACGCCAGGGGCCGCACGGCATTCAAAGTGCAAGGCCCAGTGCGCGTGGGTGAGCGGTGCGTGGGGGCTAGGTAGGATCCCATACCCACCAAGGTGGGTGAACCCTGCAACTAACGGGGGATTGCACCACACGGGACCAGACCCAGATCGTGTAGGATGGCAGACCTCCGCCTCGCGAGGCTCGATTAATTAGTACTGCGCTCCGAATTAAAACTCAACTCGACCTCCGCTCGCGAGGCTGGTGAGGTAGACGAGGACCGTCGCGAGTCGCAGGCCTGGGCCAGCAGCGTGCCCCGCCTGCTCCAGCTCCTCTCGGTGAAGACTCGAGAAGCCAGCCATTTGTGATGGGTGAAGGGTGATGGGTGACGAGCGTGCCCCGCGAGCAGCTCCAACCCCAAACACCGCCCTCTCACGCCCTCTCACACATCCACCTCGACTCTCGAGGTTCGATCCGGCCAATCTCGTACAATCTCGCGGCAATCTCGGGCGATCTCGCGCCTGCTCCAGCTCCGGCCCTGTGGTGGGGGTGTCGTAGTGCTCAGTGTACCTCTGGCCGGCCCCGTACCTACAGAAGAAAAAAGACACGTGGCAAAAAGAAATATGCACCTCGCCGTCCCTCTGGCCCGCCCCGTACCGCGCCAGCTGCGGCTCCTCCATCCGCGAGCGAGGCAGGCCTGCGTCATGAATGCGCCAACGTCAGGGGCGGGAAGGCGGTGTTGTGCAGAGTCAGAGCACCGCGTGAGCACAACGGAGCACCTTGGAATACGGCGGAATACGTGTCCTCTCGAGCGCTACTAGGAAGACCTTAAGACACAAGAACACGTATTCAGCTTCTAGCGGGGCTCCGGCGGTTTGCCTGTGTTAGTGCTAGCACGCGCCAGTCCGCACCTGTGTCGAGCCTCTCCGCCGTGACAGGGAGTGTTGTCTGTAAATTCTAGCGAAGGGCAGGCCCAGAAAGAGGCGGCGCACGCGCGCGAGGAGCGACGGCGCGCACGCGTCGGCGCAGCCAGAGGTGAGGAAGATCGAGTCGGAGGTGCGGCCGGCGGACACGCCGCCATCGGTCCGCGAGCGCAGCAGCAGCGGCACGCCCGTGCGCGTGAGCGCCGCGCACTCGGCGGCGGGAAGAAAGCCTTTGACCAGGTAGACGGGAGGCGACGCGTGCACGCGCCTCAGCCCCGGGAAGTCCTCGTCTAACGCGAGGCGGCGGCTGCCGGCGGGCAGCGGCGCGGGCGGCGCGACGACGCGCGAGCCCGGCCCGGGCGCGACCCGGTAGCAGCAGGCCTCGTCGGTGGCGGCGGTGGACGAGGAGGCGGAGGCGGGATCGGCGAGAGCCCTTGCGAGCGCCTGGGCATCAGCCTCGCCAATGCCGATCTCGGCAAGGCAGCTGGACACATTCGACATGGTGCGGAGCAGCCGCACGGTAAGCTCCTCGTCCAGGAGGGCCGGCGCCAGGTGTGCGAGGCTGTGCGCTGAGAGGAAGTCGCGAAGGACCTCGTCGCTCATATCTCGACGGTCTCGGAAGGCTCGAAGAGAAGGCTCGAAGAGGGCCGTTGGAAATTGTTGGCTGCCTACCTACCCGCTTTGTCGCTGGGAGACTGCCGCGAGCGAGCCTAGGAGTGCAAAAAAGAGAGGGCGCACACCCGCGTTTCTTGCCAGTTTCTTTTTTGTCCTTGTTAATAAGAAAATAAGGTGCGCTGAGGCGCTCCCATTTCTCTTTTTTTGCGCCTTTGTTAATAAAAAGCACGTCGACATCGCTGCATCGCGGCCGTCTCCTTTCTTCCACGCCTCGCTCGCGGAGGAGGGCATCTGCTTGTGTGAATTATGCTAGTGTCCCAAGAAGCAACGAAATACAGCTATAGTTCTATAGATAGGGAATGCCATAGCGGGCGGCCTCGTACCCCAGACCCCAAGACTCTGGGGCCTAGCCACGTAAACGGGCCCGCCCTCCGCCCATGGCGGACGCGCACGCCGCACTCCACTCATGCGTGGCGATGTGGATGTGGCATGTGCGCGCGAGCCGCGAGCGACACTGCTCGGGGCGACTGCCAGCACACTGTATAGCGCTTGGTCGAATCGGCCCCCAGAGGCCAGATCCTTCTACCGTACGATGACCCCAACCACTCACTTAGGTCACTTGTCAACCGCACTCGCTGGCGAGCCGAGCACAGGACCAGGAGGGCCCGGCGCACAACCCCTGTGCAACTCTCCCTAGCGTGACGCAATGAAAAGCGCGCACTCCATTCCTTTTCTTTCCCCCGAAGGGTCCCCTCAGCCTCACAAAGTACATACACACAATATTCATGCACGCGGCGTAGGTAGTGGGTGTCTGTGTGCCTCAGCGCTCAGCTCACTATAAGAGAGAACACACCGGCGCGTGGCTATCGGTCTACTGCTCCGTCTTGACGCGCACCGCCGGAGGCGCTGGCGGGTCCGCGTCGTCGTCGTCGCTTCCCGAACCGCCCAACTCGACCGCGTTGCTAGGGACGGCCGCCTCATCCTCCGAGTCGGCAATCTCGATCGTCTCCTCGGCGTCGCCCGTCAGGTCCTCGTTCGCGGAGACCCAAAACGCGGGGTGGTGGCGGAGGGCGCTCTCCTTGAGGTACTCCTCGTAGGCGAGGAGGTAGACGTACAGCGCCGGCCTGGCCAGCTTCTCGTCGCCGAGGTCCCGCCGCGCTCGCTTGCTGAGGTCCTCGAGGATGCGGTACAGCGAGCCGTGGCGGTTGCGGCACATGCGGCGCGGGATGGTCTTCTTGCCGCCGCGGCGGTCCATCTTGTGGCGAGGGCGCAGGTAGAACTTGTGGAGGCGGTCAAAGTCCTTCGCGTCAAAGGGGGCGCTCAGGTGCTTGTCGTAGTAGGTGAAGTAGAAGCGCACGTCGTCCATGAGGGGAGGGCGAGGCGGCAGGGAGGAGGCGGCCTCAACCTTGACGGCAACGTCGGCAGCGGCCGCCGCCTCCTCCGCTTCTCTGGCCTGCTCTGCAGCGATGCGTCCCTCCTGCGTGTGCCCGTCTGTGGCATTGGCACAGGTCAACTGCTGCAACTGCGCCTGACGCGCCGCCTCCGCCTCCGCCTCCGCCTCCGCCTCCGCCTCCGCCTCCCACTCCCCCGAGAGCGGCCCGCCCCCGCCCTGGCGCTCGCCCTCGCCCCCGCCCTGGCGCTCTTTCACGCTGACGCCCGTCTTGTTCGCGTACGCCTCCTCCTCCATCCTCCGTAGGTCGATGAACCATCTGCTGCTTGCCTTGCGCAAATATTGGTGACTGCGCTCCCGGTCGTATTTCTTCCAGTGCTGCGGGAGCTCCCGATAGTCATCAAACGCGGCCAGGGCGGCCGCCCAGTCCACCCCAGCGGCGGGGTTGCACCGCGGATCGGGCGTGCCGCAGCGATACCAGCCTGCGTGGGCAGCCAGGGCGGCGGCGACGGTCACCAACCGCCTCGGCGCGATGCTTGCGCTCTGCGTCAGCGTCCTCTTGCTCCCCGTGGTGTCACCCCTGAGCAGCGGCAGCGCCTCGAGGAGGAGCAGCACGCGCTCTTCGGATATGAGATTGGTGTCGAGGTTGTACGGATCCGGCCCGCCGAGGCGCGTGAGCTCGTACCCGTCCGAGGGCGGGAGGCGCAGCTGCTTCGTCGCCACCTCGTCGGCAAGGGAGGCGGCTTGTTCGGTCGAGAGGCCGAGCACCCACTCGGCCAGCGGGATTGGTGCCGGCGGCGGGCCATCGGCGGCGGCGGTGGCGGCTCGGTCGGCATCGGACGCCGCGCCGTCCGGGAGGGTGCTCGCGCACTCGGTTGGCGGGGCCGGCGCCGGCGACAGGCCAGCGGCGGCGGCTCGATCGGCATCGGGCGCCGCGGCCGCGGCCCCCGCACACGCGCTCGCCGGGGTCCTTGCCATCTGCAGCGCGTCGATGAGGGGCAGCAGGGCGACCACCGGTCTTCTACCCGTGCAAGAGCCGCCGTCGCTGAACGCCGTGACCGCGATCGATGGGGAGCAGTCGAATCGACGACGCTCTATGCGGGGTCCGGTGTAGTAGCCAAGGAGCATCGCGAGGCAGCAGGCCACGGCCCCAACCTTCTCCTCTTCCTGCACCTTCTCGTCCGGCCCGCTCGGAGCTGGACCGAGTCGGGTGTGCAGCTCGCGCACGTGCGCTTGCACACGCAGGCCCGTCGCTTGCGATGCGTGCAGCGCTCGAATCCTCCCAATCAGCTGCCGGGCGTCCTCCCGCGCGAGGGCCTTCTGGCCATCGTCGAGCGCGAGCTTCGGAGCGCTTGCGGGGGCGAGCCTGGTGAGCCCTGGGCGCGCTGGAGGCGGCGTACCGATGCCTTGTGGCCAAGCGCACGGCGGCGGCGGCGCCGACGCGAGCCTCGCCGCCAACATCGCCGCCATCTCCGCGGCTCTCCCTGCCTCTCCCAGCTGCGGCGGCTGCGGCTGCATTGGCTCGAGCGGCTCGGAGGGGATCTCGGCGGGCGCAGTAGCAACGGCAGCATTTAAGATGGCGGCGGAACCTTCTGTTTCAGTGATGGACGCGGACTCTATCGAAGATGCCTCTCGCGGCTGCGGCGGCTGCGGCTGCATTGGCTGCGGCTGTAGCTGCGGCTGAGGCTGCGGCTGAGGCTGCGGCGGCTGCTGTGATGGCGGCTGAGGCGGCTGAGGCGGCTGAGGTGGCTGCGGTTGCAGTGGCTCCGATGTGGACAGCTGCGGCGGCCGTTCCAGGGGCGGCACTGGTCCTGCAGAGGCAGCCGCCTGGCTGCCCGCTGGAAGCGGAAACCAGATGACGAACTGGATGTTGCGGGGGGCGGCCATCACGTAGGTACAACCAACCTGTGTGCCAATCTGGCGCTTGCTGCCGCCATAGTACGGGTTCAGGTCGATGTATATCTTTCCGTCAGCGGTGAACAGGTGTCGGCTTTCGTCTGAGAGGAGCTTGTCGGCTGGGCTCGTTGGTTTGTCCATGTTTTCGATCTTCCATTGTAGTGAACCCCGTAGCCGCTGTAGCTCAGCCGCCCCGCCGACCTGGAGATGGTGTTCGCTCGAGCCAGGTCCGTTCCTCGCTCTGTCTGCAGCAGCCTGGATCTGCGAACGGAAGACATAAAGCCTTGCGTCGCCCTGAAGATCCACCAGGTCTTGGGCGTCGGAGCAGGTCTGCCCGTTCTGCCGGAGCAAACTCCATCCCGTCATCCCGGACCACACCTGCTGCGCACCTGCGCGCTCCGAGCACCTATACAAGCAGGGTGCGTTCGCGCTCTTCGCGAAAAGAACGGCCGACGCGTTCTTCGCGTTGCGCGCCGGCGCGAGGATGACACTTTCGACGATTTTCTTTTTTCGGGAGCGGCCAAAGGGCCCCTGTCCGAGCCTGACTGTTCTTCACCTCAGATTCTTTTCAATGGTGTACGGGGTGTGGAGGGTGAGTTGACCAGGGGGTTGTGCGCCGGGCCCTCCTGCTCGGCTCCAGCCGGTATCATCAACAGAGTAGATGGATCTGACCTCGGGGCCGATGTGACCAAGCGCTGGTAGCGTGGTTTAACCTCACACCCATGCATGGTCTCACAGTGTGCCGGCAGTCGCCGAGCAGTGTCGCTCACACAAGCCGCAGCACAAGTGACTGAGGGCCAGTGAGGGCGAGCCCATCGCTGTCACAGCTGTGGTAGCCGCACAGTAGGCTGTGCCAACTGTGCAGAGCGTGTGAGCAGCAGAGGAGCTGCTCTCCAGGCTTCTGTCGCAAAGAGCTGCATGCCACCGAAAGCGCTGTCGAGGTTCGCCGAGCGTGGCGCAGGTTGGAGGACACCGTCACCGACGAGCGCGTTGGACTTTTCACTCCGGACAAAGACAGTGGCACGCACCGCGCCTTAGCGGCGCGAGGCGCGGGACCGTCTGTGGCGAAGTGGGTCGCGTCCTCCGATTTCCGTCAACTCAGCATCCACACCCTCTACCTGTGTTAGTGCCACTAATTATAGTGCCGAAAAGGGGTGCGCGCCAATGGTCCCGTGCCTAGAAGTCGTGTGTTGTGAGAGAGAGCCGCAGGCGTGGTTCGGCGTGGTCCGTGGACGTGCGACGGCGTATCATTCACTTTATGCCACCGTTGCATATCCGGATATGCAACCGCGGTGGTATAAAGTGAATGATACACCGTCGCAAAAAACACTGCAGGATGTGCGCAACGGTGGCATAAAGTGAATGATACACCGTGTCCCGGCCGTCGCAGGACGGCGGCTAAATTTTCTTTTCAATCCAAAGCGACAATTCCTAAAATAAAAAAGCACGTGCGCCACACGCTTCAAGCGCAGCGGCCGCGCGGCGCAAGCGAGCGAGCGCGCGCCGCCACAGACAGACAGATTCAGCGACACCGACCCTCACAGCTCAACCTTCTCCGAGGGCTCGTACCGCTCTCTGAACTTGGGCGAGCGGTAGCGCCTGCACGGCGCGCTCTCTCTGCGGCCCGCAGGCGCCTCGGCGCACCACGCATCGTGCATCCGCCACACCACGCTCGGCGCTGGCGGCGGCGCCCCGGCCGCCACCTCGACGCCCTCGCTCTCCCACCGGCCGCACTGCGCCTCCACCTCCACCGCCCCGTCCCCCGCCTCCCACGCGCCTCTGCCGTCGCCGCGGCACCACCAGAGGCGCATCTCCGCCGCGGCGCCGTCGGCATCGGCATCGCCCTCCTCCTCCTCCTCCTCCTCCTCCTCCGCCGCCTCCGCCTCCGCCTCCGCCTCCGCCTCCTCGCTGTCATACGCGCCACCCGGCCACGGAGAGCTCCTACTCACATCAACCAGTGAATTGACTGACGAATCCATTCATCAATTACGACTAATTACGCCGCCCGGCCGGAGAGAGCACTGCCGGCGATCTGGACGCGCCGTCGCGGCGCGCAGTTTGGCGGCAGTCTCCGCTACTCTTTGCTACTCGGCTACTCTCGGCTACTCTCGGCTACTCTCGGGCGCCAGTTGGGCGGCAGCGGAGGTGCGCGTTCCGCGGGGTTGATGGTGACGCGCAAGTCGCAGCCGTGCGTGTTAGGGCCGCGAAAGTCGAACTGGTGCAGCCACAAGTTTGCGGCGTACTTGAGGCCCGCGAGCGGCGGCAGTGCCTCGTGGTCTGTGCGCATGTCGGAGGCGCCGAGGTCGCCGTTCTTGACGTTTGGCCAGAGCAGAGCCTGTGCCGCGCGCCGCGCCGCGCTGAGACGGGCCGCGTGTTTCTCTTCTCTCTCGCTGTCTCTTGTTCTCAGACTCGCGGTGTTTCTTTTTCTCCGCGCCGATCGTGAGCTATCTTGTGAGCTGTGATCTGTGCGTCCAGCAGTCCGGACCCAGTGACACGGCCGGTGGCAGTGTGGCCTCGTGTCGGCTCCCGAGCCACTCGTGCGCAGCGTGTGTGTGGAGTAGTGTGTGCGCGTGGGCCCGTCCTCTGTGCTAGGGCGTGTGTAAGACTGGCTGACTGACTGACTGGCGGCCTTGTGTGTGTGTGTGTGTGTGTGTGTGTGTGTGTGTGACGGGCTAACTGACTGAGCCGCGCCGATCCAGCGACGGGCTCGATGGTGATGTTCAGCTTGGGGAAGCGTGTGCCGCCGCCGCCCTCAGGCGCGCGCAGGTAGATGAAGAAGGTGAAGAGACGCACGCCCATGAGCGAGTTGGCGGCGGCGTTCTGATCGTGGAGAGGGGGGGGGGGGGGGGAGGAGGTCAGGAGAGGAGATGTGAGGCGAGGCGAGGCGAGACGAGGCGAGGCGAGGCGAGGAGAGGAGAGGAGAGGAGAAAAAAGCAGGGGACAGGAGGCGCCCTCCCCACATTCGACCACATGTTGGTCGCGGGCCTGGCCGTGCTAGAAGATCGTAATGTAATGGAACGCGGGCGCCTGGTCGTGGTGTTGCCGGTAGAACTGCCCCGGCTCGTACTTGAGCACCTGGGACATGTCACGGACATGTCATGGACGTGTCATGGACGTGTCTTGAGCACCGTGAGGCAGCCCAGCCGGCTGAAAGTGTCTTCACCTGGTAGAACTCGGCGTTCTCCGCCGGCACGCCCGTCACGTTGACCACGCGCTCGTGCACGCGCCGTATGAGCGGGTGGCGGTAGCACGCGTCGCTCAGTCCCGGCTGACACCACGCCTGCTTCGAGGTGCGGACGGGGGAGACGACGTCGCCTGGGGGCGGAGAGGTCCGGGAAGTGTCGAGGACGCAGTCTAGGACCGGGCGGGAGAGACGGCGGCGCCTGCGGGAGGGGCGGCGCGGCGGAGGAGGGAGGGGAGGCGTCTCGGAGGTGGTTCGGAAGAGTCTCGGAAGAGTCTCGGAAGAGTCTCGGAAGGCGCCGGCGAGCGAGCGCTCAAAGTGGTCGGCGGTGGTGTCGATGAACGCGTCCGCCTCCGCCTCGGAGATGAAGCGGTCAAAGGTCATCACCCACGGGCCGTGCGGTGGCCGCGAGTGCACTGTCGCGCGCAGCTCTGGCCGCTTTGCCGCCGCCTCGAACATCGCGTCGATGCCGCCCGTCTGCTTTGCGGCGGCGACGTGGCCGGCGCAGTGCGGGTTGACCCAGCCGCACGAGCCACACGAATGCTGGCACTGCGAGCGCATAAAGCCCGGGTTCTTGTCGCACTCGCCCACGCCTGCCCACTCCGCACACCGCTTGTCGCTGTCGGCGCACTCTGAGGCCGGCCGCCCACCGCCTCCTCGCATAGAACCTACAGGCCTGCCGCGCGCGATGCCGAGCAGGGAATAACAGACGATACGGAGCGGCAGCTTCTCCGCGCGGCGACGGGAAGTCATGATGGCAGCCAGAGGCGCGGAAGTTTGGGTTTTCTTTTTACGTGTGCCAGTCCGCGAGTCCGCGCCCTTGTCGTGCCAGTGTGCTGTGAGAGAGGCTTGTGTTTTAAGAATTCTTTTTACCTCAAAATGTTTTTCTTCTTCTCTCGCTCCCTCGGAGTTTGCGGGAGAGAAAAAGAAAGGTCTTTGGTTCGGGAAAGATCATTTTCTTTCTTTAGCTTTCAGTCAGAGATGCCTCTCAATTCTGGCCATCTCGCGCCAACAAACACGCGCTCGAGGCGGACGCTAGCCGTCACAGGTGTGTGCGTGCACCGAGTCGCCCACGCACGGCCTTCCTCCCACTCTCCTGCCGCACTCGAGCTGCCGCACACTCTCCTGGCGCCGTTCAAGCCACTGCCTCGCCTCACCACATCGCGCGTGCCACCACACGGGGCCGGCGCCGCCCAGAAAAAGAATTTTGCGAGAGAAAAAGAAATTTGCGCGCCGCAGAAAAAGAGTTTTAAGCCAACTCTGGCACGGGACTGGCGCGCACTGGCACTAACACGAATTTAAGAAAACAACTCTATCACATGGCACTACAAGAGGACAAAGAGGTTTTCAAAAATGTGCTCCTTCGGGAATGTAGGGCCCTTAGGGGCCTAGAGAACACAACCCCCAGGCTCTCCCTTTTCTCCCAGTAAGGATCCACGGCGCGCTCGAGCACGTTTGGCACCAAGAGGCTTTGATTCTTACGACCCTCACCCGCCAAGGCAGGTGTGCGCTCTGCTAGTACTTGTGTGCTCACACCACGACTATACACTGTGGGGGGTGCCCGAGCATGATGTATGTGCGCGTCTGTGCGTGTGTGGGACAGATTGTTGTCCTATGCGCGGGGCTTCCCGCGGGGACCGAAGACGTAACAGCAGCGGCAGACTTACCGTGGGCCTCAGCTCTGGGCCAGAGTGCAAAGGCCAAAGCCGGCGACCTCTCACAGCGCACTCCGCGGTCCGAGCGCGGGCTGGGGCACCAGGCCACGAGATGCTCGAAGTGCGCTCTCCGTTCGACCAGTCGCTGGTCACCACCGTCGCGGCCGCAAAGGCCGCAGACGTGGATGTGGCGGTTGCGGCGGCGGCGGCGGCGTTCGCCGACGGCCGATGGTCGGGCCTGCAGCCCCGCCAGCGAGCTCGCGTGCTGCTCAAGTATCCAATCCGAATCAGGCGAGGTCTGGATCCGAAGGCACTCACCCCTACCCACGGGGGGTACCCGAATCACACTTCCCTACCCCACGGTACCCGAACCCTGGCCAGCTAAGGCAAGCTCAAAAAGAAGAAGCTCTGTTAGTGCCAGTTTCCCAGTCCCGTAGTCTTATGAAAAAAGAAAACGCGTTGACACAAGCGGCGGGGAAGGAAACGCCAGCTGAGGGACACCGAGGACAATCGCGGCGAGCAGGGAGCAGCAGATTGCCGCAATCAGGACGGCCCACATAGTAGCCCGGAGGGTGGTCGCGTGCGGGAGATTGCGGGCGTCGGAGAGAGGTAAGACGGAGTCGACGTCGCCAGTCCGCCCGCCGCGCAGAAGGCGCATCTTACGTTCTTTCTTTTCTCGCGGGAGTCGCTTAGTTCGCCGCTGTGTGTATCTCGAGACCTCGAGAGAAGGCCGCCCGCAGGCCCGACCGAGGGCCCAAGTCAAGAATTGGCTTTCTTTTGGCGGGCAAGTCGCTTAGGCGGCTCCCGTGGTGTACCTGTGTTAGTACCAGTGCGCGCCAGTCCCGTGCCCAGTGTCATGCGAGGGAGATATGTAAAATTCTTTTTTGACACGATTGTTAAAATAAAATCGCTTTCTCTGGGAGGCTCTACCCTGCTGGTGCGAACAAAATGACCATGCCTTCTTCAGCTTCCTTCGATGCGACCTCCTGGCTCCTCTTCCTGGCCGTTTTAGTCAACCAATCGGGCCGCGTGATGGTCCCGTCACTCAAGACCTCGGTCCTCGCCGACCCAGACTTTGGCGAGCCGTTTGCAGCCGTGGTTGGCGGCCTGCTCTCGGGCGTGTCCATCGTATGTCTGGGCGGCAAGCTGCTGGGCGCCGCCTTCACCGACCGGCTGGGTGGCTGGCTCGTCCTGGTGACCGTCTTCGTCATGTGGCTCGCGGCCACCGCCGGCGCGATCGCCGCGCCGACCGTCGACGTCTTCGGGTACATGTGGCTGCTCAATTCGTTTGCGTACACCGTCACTTGGGGCGCGGCGGTCCAGGTCGTCGGCGCGGTGTACGGCGAGAAGGAGCGGCCCGCGCAGCTCTCCAAGGTTGCCTCCGCATCCCGCTTCGGCGCGACGCTCGGCGCTCCTCTAAGCCGAGACCGGGACGAGATCAGGATGAGATTCGCCCGAGATCATGTCTCAACTCCCGAGTCCATCGAGTGCGGTAGGCAACCTCTTCTTCGGCCAGCTCCTCTCGGCCGGCTTCGCGTGGCGCCGCGTCATGATGCCGATGGTGCCGCTGCAGGCCGCCGCCGCCGCCGCCGCCGCCGCCGCTGCAGCAGCTGCCACTGCAGCCGCTGCAGCGGCGGCTGCTGCAGCGCGCGAGCCGCGTCAAGTCACACGGCTGCGCGTATGCGAGCAGGCCGCGCTGCTGCTGCTCTGCACGTACAAGTACTTCACCGACAGCGGTCTCCGCGCGTCGGCCGCCGCCGCCGCCGCCGCCACCCCATCGGCGGCCACACGGAGCAAGGTCCCCTACCCCCCAGTACCCGAACCCTGCCCTCCACCTCCACCCCATCGACGGGTACGCGGAGCAAGGTCCTACCCCATCGCACGTCCCCTTCCCCTCCCCCTCCCCGTCGCCTCCATTCACTCGCCACCCTCGCCCAGCCCCTCCCGCCCACCACCTTGCATCCTATCTCGTCCGAACCCCACCCGCATCGCACCCTGCCCTCTCACTTTGAATGTTGTGCCGGCTCCTGCCCGCGTGTCCGGGGGTGGAGATGCGAGGGTTGCCTGGCCCTTGCCCCACCACTTTGTGTGTGTGGAGAGTGTGTAGTCCTGCCTGCCTACCGAGTGCCATAGGCCAAGGCCGCGCCGGCGGCAGAGGAGGCTTCTTCTCCTAGCGCGCTGGCGGCGATGGCGTCGCTCGACTTTTGGCTGATGCTGCTTCCAAAGGCGATACTCGTCACGTATCGAGGTGCACTTCCTTGTCGTTCATGGCTCCTTCCTCTTGCGTGTGACAGGCGATGCTCTTCACGTACACGCAGTTCTTTATGAACTACATCCCCCAGCTGCTGCACGCGAGCTACGGCTACGACCACGGCCAGGTGGCATCCCTGTCCGCTCCTCTGTCTCTGCGCTTCTCGCTGTCTTAGTGAGCGTGAGCTCCCGGTCTCCCCAGTCCTTGTGTGTGGGTTTAAGCCACGTCCCCTGTCGCTAGTCCGTGGCATAGGGGTCAGGCCTTGCAAGCAAGGTTGCCCACTACACTGCTGCTACTAGGCGGCTTCGCTCGGCGGCGTGGCGCAGGGCGGCAGCGTGATCGGGCTCCTCGTCGTCGGAAACATGATCTACAAGGGGCTCGCGCCGGGCGGCAAGGTCAAGCTCGTCGCGCTGCTGCTCGCCGTCTGCGCTGCGGTGCCGCTCGCGCTCTCGCTCGGTCCAGAAGTGCTGCCGCGGCCCCTCGTGGTGCCTCTGGCGGTGCTGTGGGGGCTCGCGTACGCCCTCCCCTTCTACATCCCGCCGGGCGAGTTTGCGATGCAGATCGGCGGCAAGTCAGCGACCGGCCTGTTCTCGAACCTGTTCGACGCGGCGGGGCTCGCCCGTCTCAAAACAAGACAGGTGGCGGCGGCAACGATGCATTTGTGGTTGCGGCATTCCGTTGGTAGGCGGGCGTCGCCGCCTTCTTGGCGCTGCGTCCCGCTTTCCTTTCTGAGGCCGTCTTGCTTTTTTCTTTTTTTTAGGCGGGCTTCACCTTCTCGGCGCTGTGGAACCCGTGGGCGTCGTCGCTCGCGAAGGATGGCGACTTCCGCGTCGTGCTCCTCTCGCAGGCCTCCTAGACATTTCCGAGACACTTCCGAGACACTTCCGAGACACTTCCTAGACACTTCCGCGTCGTGCTCCTCTCGCAGGCCCTCTTCGGCGCCCTCTCCCTCGTGGCGATGCCGCTGTGCATGCACCGCCAGGCGGCGCGCGCCGCGTCCGCGAAGAAGGTGGCGTGAGCGCGCGGCAACCAAACCCAGACCATTGCGCGCCGCCGCATCGTTGCCGCGAAGGTGCGGAGTGAGAGGATTTGCGCGGCGCAGCGGGCCAGCGGCCGCCTCATTGGTTGAGCACAAGAGTCCGAGCATCGCAAATCCGAGCATCGGTGTGCCGCTTGACCCCATGGCGATGATATTTGTCGGCCTGTGCGCAGTATCTTTCTTTTCTCTTTCTTCTGTCTTTCATCCCCGCCCTTCATGCCATGAATGGCATTCCCCCCCGATCCCCCTGCAGACGTTTCGGATATCGTTTTACTAGCGTGGGACCTGCGGCGGTACCCGTCTCTGTTGTTCGGGCAGTGAGAGACGCAGGATCTGCACGCCAAAGTGGGCCACTCCGCATTTGCATTTTGGTTTTGGGTTGTCGGAGATCATCCATCAGACGACCCCGACACACCGACACACCACGCACAATGGGAGGCTATCGCGCACGATCGGGCATCGCGCCGCAAACAACTCGCCGCACAGATGGGGGGGAGGCAGAATCCCACACACACCGGAGCAGCACAGACACCTTACACGTCAGCGCTCGCTCGATGTGGCCGGCGCTCTCCCCTCGGTCCTATCTCGCCTTTTCAACGGCGGCGTGCGGCCACGCGCCGCGCCGAGCCGGTCTCGGCGGGAGACCTCGGAGCCGCACGCGATGCGGGCATGCGCGATGGCTCCGTTGGCTCCGTGCCTAAGGCAGATCGATTAGTGTGTGAGCTGGGCAGCCACCGTTTCTGTACCCGCTCGATCACGTGCAGGCCGTCGGAGGCCGCGCTGGATGGCCCAGGGCCGGCGGCGGTGAAGGCGTCCGTCGATGAAGGGATGTCGTCGAGGGAGCCATCGTCCTCCGCGGCGGCTGCACCGATCCAGTTGTCGGAGTCCGAGATCGCAGTCGAATTGGAGACGTTCGGCCCGTTGACGAACTCACGGAATGTGAGCGACTTGGTGCACGCTGGGTCGAGCATCATGACTCGCACCTCATCCTGGGCGAGGAACTCGCCCAGGGACCAGCTGTTGGCGTCGCCGTTTTGATCGAGCTGCATCCACTGCATGGTTTCGTAGTCAAGCGTAAACGCCCAGGAGTTGGTGCCTGGGTGACTTTGCTGATGAGAGCGCCTTCCAGGCGGGTAGTCGTGCCCCTCACCTACGGTCATACGGCGGCGTCAGAGGGGGGGAAGGGGCGCGAAGCGTGAACATGGAGGCAAGCAGGTGGTCGCTGCACCTGGCCAAAGCCGGCGACCTCGAAGTTGTCGTAGCTTGTGCGGATATCGCTGAGCGTGAGAGGGACCGGATCGGCAGCAGCATGGGCGGCCGCGTCAGCGGCCGGAGAGGCCGGAGAGCCATCCGACGGAGGCCGGTCGTGCATCGGCGCGTCAGCCGCAGGGGGCGGGGGGGCGGCGGCATCCATCGCTGCGGGTCGCTGGGGGCCGACGATTGTGGACTGATCGATCGTGGCGGGCGGATTTCGGCTGGGACGTTCTACGTTAAAAGAGCGTCGGCGCGGACACGAGAGACTTATAAGGGTAGATCCCCCCCCCCTTAATCCCCCCCTCGCCTCCTTGTCCACGTCGCCCTTTTCTCAATTCATTTCTTCTTTTCGTATTAGGGTTTTCTTTTCTTTTCTCTGGTCGATGGTCGTGTCCAGACGGGTCCAAAAAACTGTGACATTTGCCATGCTGCCCAGACCGCCTTCCCTGCGCCCACCATCCGCCTCCCTTGCGCCCACCACTTGCCTTCCCTGCGCCCACCAGACCGCCTTCCCCACGGACACACGCTTCGCGACGCTGCCCAAACTCATCGCTCGCCCTGATCCTTGGCAGGCATGGACAACGACTACAATGATGAGAACGCCGGCAGCCTCCCTCACAATCGTGATGGCGACGGCCAGGCAGCTGGTGGCACTGAGCCCGTCGAGAAGCAGGGTCTGACAGAGGCCATCGAGGACTTCAGCGAAATGGGCCTGCGTGACGACCTTCTCCGCGGCATTTACGCCTATGGCTTTGAGCGCCCGACCCCGATTCAGCAGCGTGCGATCAAGCCGCTCTGCGCTGTGCGAGACACCCTCGCGCAAGCCCAGTCCGGCCAGGGCAAAACTGGCGCTTTTACCATCGGCACCCTCCACACTCTCGACCTCAACGAGCGCGACTGCCAGGTGATCATTCTCTCAAACACGCGCGAGCTGGCAAAGCAGACGGCGGAGGTCGTCGCGGGCCTCGGCCAGTACATGAACGTGTCGAGCATGGCCTGCATCGGCGGCCAGGCGATGCGCGAGTCCATGGAGGCGCTCCGGCGTGGGGTTCAGGTCGTGGTTGGCACGCCTGGGCGCGTGCTCCACATGATCACAAACGGCGCGCTCCGCACCGGCCGAGTCCACTACCTCATCCTCGACGAGGCGGACGAGATGCTCAAGGAGGAGCGCGGCGAGGGTGGCTCCTTCAAGGACCAGGTCCACAGCATCTTCGACACGCTCCCGCCCTCGGTCGCGGTGGGCCTCTTCTCTGCAACGATGCCGGACGAGGTGGTCGCGCTCTCCAACAAGTTCATGCGAGAGCCCATCCGCATTTTGGTAAAGCGCGAGGCCGTCACGCTCGCGGGCATCAAGCAGTTCTACATCCACGTGGGGGACCGCGAGGAATTCAAGCTCGAGGTCTTGCTCGACCTGTACGAGACAATCACGATCACGCAAGCCATAGTCTTTGCCTCCTCCCGCAAGCGCGTCGAGTGGCTGGCCGCGCAGCTCAACGAGCACGACTTCGCGTGCAGCCAGATGCACGCCGACCTTGACCAGCGCGAACGGCAGGCGACCATGCGCGCGTTCAAGACAGGCGCCACGCGCATCCTCATCAGCACCGACGTGCTCGCGCGCGGCATCGACGTCCAGCAGGTGTCGCTCGTGATCAACTTCGACCTGCCCCGCGACCGTGAGAACTACATCCACCGCATCGGGCGCGCCGGCCGGAACGGCCGCAAGGGCGTGGCGGTCAACTTCATCACCACCGACGACGTGCGCGCGCTCCGCGAGATCGAGCGCTTCTACTCGACAGAGATTGACGAGATGCCAAAGAACATTGCCGAGATGATCGGGTGAGCGCGTCGAGCGGCGAGGCGTGGACGCGCGGTGGGGCTGGTCACTACGAGTGCTTGCTTGCAGCCTTGCACACCTCACTCTGGGCGGCGACACCTGCGACTTGAGCTAGTGCCTCTTCGTGCGTGCGGTGGGGCCGTGGTGTTGTGCTTGTTTGTGTGACAGACTCGCGTCGAGCTAAGTCAATTAAATTGTTGGTGTCCGCCGCGGGCGCTATCTTTAGACTCGTCGGTGTGGGGGGCGGGGGACCGGGGACGGGGCGGGGGGGGGGGGGGTCACGTCACTCTGCATCCTCTCTCAACGCCGGCGGCGCGCGCGGGAGGCCGAGACCGGTGTACTCACTGATGGGAGCAGTCCTATACCATGATAATACGCCGCAGATCTCGAAAAGTGTTACATTTGCCCAGACCAAATCCATAAGACGGAGGCATGCCTGTGTCTACTCACGCGCGCCGTCACGGTCAGGCGCCTGGGTTTTCCTGTTCCGCGAGCTGTTCAGCGGTGCTCTCCCCTCCAGCCCCGCCAGCCTCGCCCTCGACCGCGAGCCCTGCCGCGTGCTCCCCGACCGCAGCTTGGGCCGTGCGCCACCTGGCCTGGGTCGCGAGGCTTCTGCCGGCAGCCCGACCGCCCTGAGGAGCCCCGCCTGTTGTCCCGGCCGCTGGACCGAGCTGCAATCGCGCTTGCCCTTGCAGTGGCACGCGCCGACGCACGCGGTCGGCTCGATGCGCGGTGGTGTGCGGATCCCGCAGCCGTGCAGCGCGTCGGCGAACTCGGCGCCGTACTTCATGCACACGTTGAACGGCTCGCCGACGCAGCCCGTGATCTGCTTCCAGCGCGTGCGGTCCGTCGGCATCGCTGCAGTGAACATCGACCGGCGGAAGGTGCGGATGCGGGACAGCACGCCCGCCTCGGTGTAGCGGCGCGCGGCGAGCTGCTCCGGGTTGCCTATGGGGCATTCGTCTCGGGTGAGTCTCGCGTCACACCGCCGCGATGCGATCTCCTCTGGTGCTGCCGCGGAAGCCAAAGTACTTTTCCGGCGTGACGACGACGGGCTGCAGGATGTCGAGTGTGCCCATGAGCAGCTCCCTCGGCGCGACTAGCCATCGGTCGCACATGTAGTCCTTCTCGCCGCGTGAGGAAGGCATATGGACGTAGCGTGGGTCGAGCGCCCCGAGGTCGAGCCTGCACACATAGAACTGGTCCGTCCGCGTCACGACGAAACGTCCGTACGCCTCGAGCAGCCCGTGCTCCCGCACCTGTTGCATCGGTCCACTCGAGGTGCGGCGCAATCTCGGCGCAATTAAACTCTGCGCAATCTCGGCTCTATCTTCTCCATCTTCCACACCTTCCGCATCAGGACCCACTTCAAGTATGGCACAATCACGCCATTGCCCTGTGGCGTCGGCGAGGCGCCGCCAAAGACAAGCTGAGAGCTCTTTGTGTTGTTGGCCGCGATCCTATCCACCGACTGAGCTTTGATAAGCGTCTCTCCCCGCTTGGGTGTCGTCGCGTTGTCGGCGGTGAGTCCTGCGCCATGCGCCGTTCCCGCCCATTGAGTCGAGTGCGACGGCCCAGTCTCTGTACTCCTCCACCTCCCACACGTACCTGGGGCGCAAACGGCGAGGTGGTGTCACACCTCTTGACATGTGAGCGCGTGGCCGGACTTGTCGGGCCTCTCTCGACTGAGTTGTGAGTGAAAACCCACCCTTCCCACAGGCGAAAGAGCACCCACACACCTGGCGTGCCGGTAGAGAGATATATCCTGCTTCTGCTGCGCGGTTGCTGCGCCTGAGTAGTGAGATTGCCGTTTTCATCGAATGATCAGAAGAACCACGCCAGAGCGATTCGGCGACTGAGTCGGACAGCCGCAGTGCAACGCGCGCGGGCGGCGGGGCGACAGGCAGACGCGCCGAGCAGGAGGGCGAGGTCGGCGCGGTTGGGCTCGAGCAGGTTCTTGTACAACGAATCCCACGTGCTGCTGCCGCCCCGCGCGTTCCCCAGCAGACACACAAGCGTGCCGCTCGACGCTGTCGTGTCGGCCATGTGTCGGTGCTGACGCGGACGACCGCGATCTTCAAACTTACCGGTAAAGCGGCCAGGTACTTTTAGGCTGCTGTGGGAACAGCTGAACGCTGCTCGCCAAGGCTCGCCCCAGCATCGGGTAAAACAGACAACGAAGGGAGGGATTCAACGGTATTTCTTTCTGCCTCGCACCAACTCATGCCATGGTTTCTGTTTTACCCGATGCCATGGTTTCGAGGTTGATGCTCCGCGAGCAGCAAATGTTCGGCGGCCCGCTCCCTATCACTACGCTGATCCCGGGCAGCGGGCCGGGCACCACCTTTGACGACACACGAGCGCCAGAGCCAATGGTGACGGTGCCGGATGGGCCGGAGCACGGCTGGAAGCGCGGCCTGACGCTGCCTCGCTACGTGCTCAACACTTCGGCGCCGCCTCGCCGGGCGGACCCCGTCAACCGCTACTTTCCGCGCTCCGACGACGAGCGGGCGCCGCTGCTGCCGGAGCTCTTCATGCCGGGCTTTCCAAAGTGCTCGACGACATGGCTGTACAGCTGCATGTCAGAGGTGTGGAGCCCCGACTCAGCGGGCATCGGCTGCGGCAAGAAGCCAGACGGGTGGGGCGCCGACCGGTGCGGCAAGCGGTACCTCCTCGTCTCGCTCTCCACAAACGCGAAGGGCGAGACGCGCCCTCGCAAGGAGACCTTCTTCTTTGGGGGCACTCACTAGCCGAGCCTACCCGAGATTAGCCGCGACTAGCCGCGACTAGCCGCGACTAGCCGCGCCTAGCCGCAGCCGAGACTCGCCGAGACTCGCCGAGACTAGCCGAAGCCGAGGGAGATCTTCTCCCGACTCGAGAGGCCAGACACTTTGCATTCGGAGAGCAGCAGCAGCAGCAGAAGTTTCACCAGCGGCGGATTTCATGCAGAGGTTGACGTTCGCAGGCACGGGCGTCAAGTACTGGGACGGCGACTTCCTGGAGATGCACGGGCCCGACCCGCGCAGCGGCAGCAAGGCGGACGCGCCGCCGCTGTGGCTGTGGCAGGAGACCGCGAAGCGGCTGCGCGCGCAGGCGAGGCGCGAGCTCGAGCCGAAGAGGCTTGGGCACCGGCCGAGCCGTCAGGACCTACACCTCGCAACTTCCCGCGCGGTGCGGCACCACATCCAAAACCTCGACGAGTTGTGCGGCGGCAGCAGCGACCGAGAAAATGTCGAGATGTAGCCGAGAGGGAGCCGAGAGGAGCCGAGAGGAGCCGAGAGGAGCCGAGAGGAGCCGAGATCTGCCGAGATCTGCCGAGATCTGCCGAGATCTGCCGAGATCTGCCGAGATATGCGGTGCCAATTGAGCGCGGGGGAGGTCGGTAGCAGCGACTTCACACCGTCACAACTGTGAACAGGTCGCGGCACGGCCGAGCTCGCGTGCGTGCGAGTACGTCGCCGCCGCATCGCACAACGGATCGGCCGGCGGCGGCGGCGGCGGCGGCGCGGCGGCGGAGGGAGAGGCGGCTGGGGCAGTGGCGCGGGCGCGGGCAGAGATGCTCGAGTCGGCGCGGTCTCATTGCGCTGCGCGGCTTGGAGAGGAGGCGCGCTGCTCCGCTGTCGGCACTGGAATGCTGAGGCACGTCGCGGCCATCCCCGGCGGCGGTCCGAATGGCTGCTCGCACCCCGGCTGCCACCGGATCGCAAAGGGCCTGCCCGGCTCGTGGCAGCCAGTCTGCCAGTGGCTTCCGGAGCTGGACGCCAAGCTGAACCTGACCGACGCGCACTGCATCCGCTCGATCACGCCGTGGGTCTCTTCTCGCGAGCTCAACCTTTCGTTGGTCGATTTCACGCCAAACTACCTCTGCGATGCGAAGGCGATGCAGCGCATCCACTTCTCCAGCCTCGACCCGTCGCGGCCGCGCTTCATTGTGGTGATGCGCGACCCGGTCATGCGCGCCTTTTCGGAGTGGTCGATGTTCGCGCTGGCGTGGAACTGGGATGCGGAGCGCAACTTCACCTCTGCGATGGAAGGCAAGCTCTCGGCGCTGCGGCGCTGCAACGAGACGCTCTTCGACCAGCCGCTGCTCCTCGAGACGCTGCCGACAGAAGAGCTCGCAGAGTACGTGCAGAGCTGCTACCGGCAAGGGCGCGCCATGATGTACCCACAGCTGTCCATGTACGCGCCCTGCATCCTGCACGCGCTGCGCTACTTTCGGCGCGAGCAGTTCCTCTTCCTGCGGTACGAGGACCTGATGAAGATGTCGGCCGAGGCGATCGTCCGGCTGGTGGGCCACTTCAGCGGGCTTCACCTCGACGCGGAGCTCGTTGCGCAGGCCGTCGAGGGCGGAAAGTGCCAGCCGTCGCACCGCGAGCACTCGGCGCCTCCTCCCGGCTCGAACCCGCCGCCCGCGTAAGAATTATTCACGGTCAACTGTTCACTCTTGTTCATCACTAATAGGCTCGAACTCGTCCCGCGGGCCGGTCAAAGGGCGGCCGATGTCCTTCAGCGACACGTCGCCCGACGCAGCCGACTACCTCGCCGACACGGGCACGCGCCCGGAGCGCTTCTCGGAGAACCTTCCAGGAACCTTCTAGGCACCTTCTAGGCACCCTCTAGGCACGCACCTGGAGCGCTTCTTCGACCCGTACAACCAGATGCTGGTGCGCGCCATCGGCACGCCCTTCCGCTGGAGGCGGCGCGACCACCGCAAGCGGTTCCTCAACGCGACGGAGAAGGAGGCGGCGCGTGTGGCGCTCGAGCAACGCGACGCGCAAAAGGCGGAGAACAAGCGAGACCCGCCGAGAGTGGCTCTAGCGAGATCGGCCGTGATTGAGGGAGATCAGTTCCGCTCGCCGCGCGGCGCAAAGGCGGAGGAGGCCCCGCGGGCGCAACGCGGAGCGGAGGACGGCGTCTCTTCACAGACGCCGGCGTGTCACAGGCGGAGAACAAGCGCAAGCGCAAGGCGAAGCTGCGCGAGCAGGTGAAGGCCAACAACGAGTGGGCGAAGAAGCAGAAGCTGAGGCGCCAGGCGAGTGGCCGGAAGGCGAGTGGGCGGAGGGCGCTTCGCGCCGCCATGGCGGAGGCGCGAGCGGAGGGGGGCGGCAAGCTCAAGGCTTGATCATCAGTTGCGACCGTGCGACCGCCGAGGCGAGGCATCACGTTGTCCAGTCAGAGTAGTCATGTCCGAGAGACACACTGTGGAGCGGAGTCCAGTGTGCGATGTGCATATCCATATGCGGTCCCAGACTCAGAGACGCGCGCGAGCCGGCTGTCCGCTGTATCGTGTATGTACATATTTCTTATTTGAGCGAGCCGAACGAAAAACTACTTAGCTTCTTTCACAACAAAGAACCCTGCACAAAGACCGCAGGGCGGGGACCTGTTCCATTTTACCCATCTCCTAGTAGAGGTGTCCGTTTTATTTATTTATTTACAAAAGCCTCTCTCAAACGCACGCACGATTCACACGGTAGGTTTTTTCTGGGGACGTCTTGCAGCTGTCATCCTCACAGTATCGCTGCGATCGTCCGCTCCGGGTGCGTGTACGTGTGGTACGTGTCCTAACTCGATCCGGGAGGTGCCGTCACCGCCGATCCCCCATCTCCCCAAACACGCCCGCTATTGCCGGCTGCAAGCTGTGCGTTGCGGTCGCGCCTGCAACGGGTTTTTATTGTCCCGGAAGGACAAACTAACTGCGGCCCGCGCCATGCGTGCGTCTGCGCCCCAGTGCCGGAGGAACTCCAAGAGGCCAAGGATCCCGAACCCAGCAATCGGGTGCGGTTGAGAGTGAGAGTGCTGCACACAAATGCTCGCCCTCCTCCCCACCCTCCACCTCTCGAGCGCCGCGCCACTCACGCTCGAAGGCAGCACGCTCCGTCTCGCCGGCGCCGGCGGCAGCGTCCTCCTCGAAGGAATGGACCGCTCGCTCCGCGCCTCGCCCAGCGGGACTGGCGGTGTCTTTCTGCATGGCGATTTCCGCGAGCCGATGGCCGCCGCGGACGTCTCGCTCGGGACGCTGCACTGCGGACGGCTCCTCTCGACGGCACGCTGCACGCGCTACTGGATGGCGCCGGCCGTGGGCGACTCGGCCGCCGACGTGCCTCTCGACTCGCAAATGGTGCTGCTCGAGTTTGCTGCGGCTGCGCCGCGGGTGGGCGCGGAGGCGGCGTGCTACGCGCTGATGCTGCCTCTCGTCGACCGCGAGGCGCGCTCCTCCCTCTCGGCGGCCGGCATGTCGCTGCCGCGCTTTGTGCGCAGGCTCAGCCGCCGCCTGCTGCCCCGCCTCCTGCCCCGCTTCCGGCTCGCTCGCGGGCTGAGCTTGCACGTCGAGTCGGGGGACGAGGCTGTGCGCGTGCCTGCCGGCGCCTGCTTGCTGTACGTCGCCGCCGGCGCCGACCCGTACGAGCTGATCGCGCGCGGCGTCGCCGAGGTGCCGCAGACACACTCACACCGCTCACCCGCGTGCACCGGGCCTTGCACTCTCACCTTATCTTGCCTCACCTTAGGTTGCCGCGCGCCTCGGGACCTTTGCTCCCAGAGCCGCCAAGCCGGTTCCCCCCTCGGCGGACGTGTTTGGCTGGTGCACGTGGGACGGCTTCTACTCGCGCGTCGCTCCAGAGGACGTGCTCGCAGGCGCCGCCTGGCGTCGGGTCATCTCGGCTCATCTCGGCTCATCTCGGCTCATCTCGGGTCATCTCGGGAGCAGGCGCCGCGTCGCTCAACGAGGCGGGCGTGCCGCCGCGGCTGATCGTGCTCGACGACGGCTGGCAGACCGTCACGCCGCCCCCGCCGCCCGCCGCAGCCGAGCCTGCTCCCGAGCGTGCGCCGGCGCCTGCACCCGTCCGGCCTGCACTGGCAGAGGCTGCGGCGGCCGAGGAGGCGGCGGCTGGGCAAGTGGCGGTTGGGCAAGTGGCGGTTGGGCAAGTGGCGGTTGGGCAAGTTGCGGCTGCAGGACCCGCGCCGCCGCCCGCGGCCGAGGCGAGCGGTGTGGTGGAGAGACTGGCGGGCCGCGTCTCGCTCCAGCTGAGGCGCGCGTTCGCCGTCCTCGCCGCCGCCGCCTCGCGCGGTCTGCAGCGGTGGTATGAGCGTGTCGTCTCTCGCAGCCGGTACGGCTCGCTGCCTGTGCGGGTGTGCGGACGCTGGCGAGGAGATCAGCCGAGATCAGCCGAGATCAGCCGAGATGGCACTGGCTGCAGGTGTGGACGCTGCTCGCGACGAGGCTGCTCCGCTCGACGATGGAGGAGCAGCTACGAGAGCGAGAGGGGCGCTAGCCTGAAATGGAGGACGGGGAGGATGAAACACAATGAAGAGGAGTGGTGCGAGAGCGAGACCGACTTTAGCCTGAGGAGGAAGCACAGTGGAGTAGGAGTACTACGAGAGCGAGACTGACTTTGGCCGCCAGCTCGGCGCCTTCGCTCCAAACCGAAAGTTCGAGGCTTCGGCGAGCGGCGAGGCGGCGGAGCGCGCCGGCGGCCCCACGCTGGCGAGGCTCGTGCGGGAGCTCAAGCAGCGGCACGGCGTGCGGTACGTGTACGCCTGGCACGCCCTGCACGGCTACTGGCGAGAGATAGCCGAGACGTCGCCGCGTCTCTCGGAGCGGCGTATCTCGGCTATATCTCGGCTATTTCTCGGTCAGGCGTGGCGTCGCCGCGTCCCTCGGAGCGGCCGAAGGGCTCGAGGTGCAGCAAGTCTTCGCGAGCCCGTCGGCGCACCTTCAGCGAGTCGAGCCGCAGGCGACCTCGCGCGATCTCGGCCGATCTCGGCCGATCTCGGCCGATCTCGGCCGATCTCGGGCGATCTCATGAGCCGCAGGTGCGGTGGGACGCGATGACGCTGTTCGGCACCGGCCTCCTCCTCTCGCGCCCGCAGCTGGACGCCTTCTTCGCCAGGCTGCACGCGCCGCTCGCCGCCGCCGGCGTGGACGGCGTCAAGGTCGGCGTGCAGTGGGGGCCGGCCTCGCTCAAAAAAGAAACCACGTCGGCCTGAAAAAGAAACGGCGGGGCGTAGGTCGACGTGCAGTCGGGGTTGGCCTCGCTCGGTGGCGGGGTGGGGGGCGGGCCCTCGCTGGCTGCGCGCTACGTGGGCGCGCTCGAGGCGTCGGTCGCCACCACCTTTGGGCCGCACCGCATCCGCTGCATGCCATCGTCGTTCGTGATGAGCCATTCATCGTCCGTGAGTGATCGACTAGGCCGCGCCTCCCCCGCTGCACGCCATCATTTCTGACCGATCCTGAGCCTCTCCTGAGTGATCACTCAGGCCGCACCTCCTCCACTGCATGTGCCACTCCACCGAGAACCTCTACCGCTACACCCACGGCAGCCTGCTCCGCGCCTCGGACGACTTTTACCCGAGCCGGCCCGCGTCGCACACGATGCACATCGTCAACGTCGGCTACAACTCGCTCCTCCTCGGCGAGCTCGGCGTCCCCGACTGGGACATGTTCACCTCGCTCAACGAGGCCGAGAGACAGCCGAGAGGCAGCCGAGAGGCAGCCGAGAGGCAGCCGAGAGGCAGCCGAGAGGCAGCCGAGGTGCAGCCGAGGTGCAGCCGAGAGGCAGCCGAGAGGCAGCATAGAGGCAGCCGAGAGGCAGCCGAGAGACAGCCGAGAGGCAGCCGAGGTGCAGCCGAGGTGCAGCCGAGGTGCAGCCGAGAGGCAGCCGAGAGGCAGCCGAGAGGCAGCCGAGAGGCAGCCGAGGTGCAGCCGAGAGGCAGCCGAGAGGCAGCATAGAGGCAGCCGAGAGGCAGCCGATGAGGCAGCCATCGCCGAGCTGCCGCTCGAGTGCCCCTCCCTCAGTGCCCGCCGCACAAAGAGACCGCACACAGAGCAACACGCCCCACGCCCCCACGCCCACCTGCCAGGCCGCGTCGCTGCACGCCGCCGCGCGCGCCATCAGCGGCGGACCCGTCTACGTCTCGGACGCGTCCATGGTAGGGTCCATGACATGTCCGAGACATGTCCCATAGGCGGGCCCGTCTACGTCTCGGACGCGCCGGGGCAGCACGACGTCGCTCTGCTGCGCAAGCTCGCCCTGCTAGATGCGGCGTACAGCACCCGCGTGCTCCGAGCGCACTGAGACGCGTGAGACGCTCCGCTGTCTTCCCGCTATGCTGCTTGTGCTCGTAGCCCAGCTAGTACTCACGTGCTGACTCGACTGCACACGATCTCCCCACCTCTCCCCACCTCTCCCCACCTCTCCCCACCTCTCCCCATCTCTCCGGACCACACGGCACGAAACCGTCCTCCACGCCCGGGACGCTGGCGTATCCTTCGCACAGGCTCGTCCTGCCCGACGGCGCCACGCTCCGCGCCGCCGCCGCCGGCACCCCGACGCGGCGACTCAGCGGCGATTGCCTCTTGACAGCGTTCTCTTGATTGCCACATGGCGTCTTCTTCAGGCCGCCCGACGCGCGATTGCCTCTTCGCGGACGTCACCTCCGACGGCGTCTCAGCCCTGAAGCTCTGGAACTACAATGGCAACCACAATGGCGAGTGCAACGGCGAGTGCAATGGCGCCGGCACCGCGCGCCTCCCGCCGAATGCGCGGAGCCTAGATGCGGCACTCTAAGGCACAGCCCCGGACCCAAGATCACGCAGACGACCGTCGAGAGCAGACAGGCAGCGACGACAGTCGGGAAGGCACACTGGGCCCCAGGAGGGCGAGCGTGAGAGCGGCCTGTTATGCTGTGAGCTCTAGCTGGTGAGTGAGCTCCAACGCAGCTCGTCGCTCGCTAGATGCAGACTCTCACACTCCAGCTAACGCTCGATCGGACGCGTGCTCGGCTGTCTCGCAGGCTGCGTTGCAGCTGTACTCGCTGTATTCGCAGCCCGCGTCTGTTCGCACTGTGCTACTTCACGCCCTGTCTACCCCGCAGGCGGTGGTCGGCGCCTTCAACGTGCAGGGCGCGCGGTGGGATTTCGAGACGCACGGGCCGGTCGCCGCAGCGCAGCCGCCGCAGCCCGTTTCGGCGCTGGTTCGGCCGCACGATGCGGATTGCTTGCGGCCGCACGGCGGCCGTTTCGCCGTCTGGTCGCACCTCGGCTCGCGTCTCGAGGTGCTGCCGTCTCCCTCGAGCCCCCCTCCCTCCGTCCCCCTCCCCCCCCTCCCCCCTCTTCTCTCCCTCCCCCCCTCCCCCCATCTCTCTCTCTCTCTCTCTCTCTCTCTCTCTCTCTCTCTCTCTCTCTCTCTCTCTCTCTCTCTCTCTCTCCCTCTCCCTCTCCCTCTCTCCCTCTCTCTCTCTCCCTCTCTCTCCCTCCCTCTCTCTCTCTCTCTCTCTCTCTCTCTCTCTCTCTCTCTCTCCCCCCCCCTCCCTCCCTCCCTCTCTCCCCGCCGTCTCTCTCGTGTCAGCGGGATTGTGAATATGCACCTCCCTCCCTCGCCCCCACAGGTGCTGCCGTCGGGGTCGGCGGCGGCGCAAGTGACGCTGCAGCACCGAGAGTGGGAGGTCCTGACGATCGCGCCCGTCCTGGCGCAAGGCCGCGTCGAGTGGGCGCCCCTCGGGCTAGTTGAGATGATCAACGCGGGCGGCGCCGTCGTCGCAACCACGCTGACGCGCGCACCCGCTGACGACCACGACGCGGAGGCGCGGCTGACGTCGCGCGCCGCCGGGCGCTTCCTCGCATACTGCACGCCGCGCCCGGCCTCCGTCTGGCGCGAGGGGGGCGAGCTCGGGCTGCCCTTTAGCTACGACGACGCCACTGGCCTTCTCGCGATGCAGATCGACGAGGCGACGGCGAGCAAGCCGGCGGAGCTCCTCGTGCATTGGTGTGAGGGTCGTGCAATTTGGTAAATAAAAGAAAGGAAACAGACAGCCAGAGGGCGTAGGGCGAGCGGCCCCGAGGGATCTCTGGACTCTGGGAGAAGTCAGAACACAGAAGAGGGGGGATCCGACCGCGGGAAATCTTTTTAATTTTATCCATCCGCCCCTGTGAGACCATGTGTCCACGGCATGGGTTACTCTTACCAACGGTAAGTGAGTTGGTCGGCGAGATAACCGAGATCCTCTGGAAGGTTGAAGGGCGGCGGACGTGCTGCAGAGAACAAGCTGACGCGGTGCACAGAGCTAAGTGCCTCGCCGTCCTCGCAGGAGTCGCTTAGGCGGCTCCCGTGGTGTACCTGTGTTAGTGCCAGTGCGCGCCAGTCCCGTGCCCAGTGTCGTGCGCGTGAGTGAGTATTCTTGATACGAAACCACGACGACACACACCACGAGTGACCAGTCGACTCGCATCGGTTGCCTCCATGAACGGCGGAGCTATTCTCGCACACACACACACACACACACACACACACACACACACACACACATGTAAAAGAAAGAAAGAAAACAGACAACCCAAGGGAGGGATGGGAGGACACAGAAAGAAAGAAAGAAAGAAAACAGACAACCCAAGGGAGGGATGGGAGGACGGCACGCCGCCACCACACAGGGATTTTAAGGAGAGGTGTGTGATGCGCTAGCCGTCGCCCACCCTAGGGAGTCTGCCTCTTCCTATCTCTCTTCGCAGTCTCTCGCCGCTTCTCGCTGCAGCCTTCATGCCACCTCGCGGTCGTCCCACTCTCGTCGTTCTCTCCCTTGTCATTGGGAGGACACAGAAAGAAAGAAAACAGACAACCCAAGGGAGGGATGGGAACATGTGTGTGTCGAGGTAGTCAAATTCTTTTTGATCACGCAACCATCCAAAGGGGGCGCTTTTGCTCTTGCATGCTATACACACATCATGCAGACCACCGCGTTGACAACTGGGCGCTCGGCTACCATACTCCTGCTCGTCGCGGTAGCCGCCTTTCTGTGCCTCATAATCCCTCTCCGCTCCGGCACACTCGTCGCCAGAGCCGAGCCACAGAGCAGCGAGTCTTGGTCGCACCCGCTCAACGACAACCCAAAGTACTGGCTGGATCCCAAGTTCTGGCTCCCAGAATACTCGGAGGTGTGGGGCGCGGGGCCTTTCCCGTGGTCCGCCGCGGCCAACTTGGACGACGGTGTGCGAGAGTCGGCCTCCTCTCCTCTCCTGCCCGCCCACACTGCATGTGCATGTGCATGTGCATGTGCATGTCCACGCTACGCAGGTGCATCGGCGGCGGCGAATGCGGCGACGGGCGCGGCAGACGCGGCAGCGAACGCGGCAGGGTCGGCGGCAGGGGCGGGCGGCGCCGCGGCGGGCGCAGTGGCGGCAGCAGCGGGCAAGGCGGCGGGGGCGAGTGAAAGCGGCTGGATGCATCGTGAGATGATACCGATCGACCGTCTCCCGTCGCCCTCCCACTTGTGGGCGCAGCCTCGGGATTGGTTCTAGAACTACAGCCGTCTGAGCGTCAGGCAGCCCTCGGCTCTCATCTACACATTCTTCTCATTCTTCTTCCATAGGTCTGTCGGCTTCATGAACGTGGAAACGGAGACGAATGTGCCCGTCAACGTTCAGGCGGCATCCTCCGAGATGTGGCCGAGATATGGATCTCGGCTGATGATTATTGTGTCGGTCGAACGTGCAGCGGCGGCTGCTCCCGCCCCGCCCGCCATTTCCCCACTCCGGCGATGCCCCCCCCCCCCCCGCCCCTTCTGTCCAGGTCGGCGACACGGCGCAGAAGCAGGCGCCCCGCGCTGCGCTCTCGAGTCGGTCGCGAGATCTGGCCCGCGAGATGACCCGAGATTGCACGAGATCAGGCGCTCGACGCGACCGTCGCCCTGACAAACACGGCCGTCGCCGACCGCCACGGGTGTGCGCGGCCTCCTCCTCTCCTCTCTCCCACGCGGACCGCAGCGGATGGCACGGACATGAACATGCACATGCCACACGCAACACATGCACATGTCCATGTAGCATGCACATGCACATGCACATGCACATGCACATGTGCATCTGCATATGTCGCCGGCACCCGCAGGTACGTGCCGGCGGGATACGTCCGGGCCGATGGGAAGCCCGACCCCGCATCCGCGCACGGGTGGCGGCACAGCTTTGCAAGACGGGGTCCGCTTTTGTCTCGCGAGGGGATCAACTGCTCTCTCTTCTTCTACCAGGCCAGCCTCGAGCCCGCGGTCGTCGACCTCTCCTCCGCCACTCTGCCACGACACGTGCAGCGCCTACCTCGCCGAGCTGCGCGAGCAGGCGACAAGTCTGGACGGAACCTTGACTCCGCCTCCTCTCCCACCCGCCTCCTAGAGAGGCTCCGCCCTTGACCCTTTCTGGAAGCTGACGCCCCCTGGACTGACACCTCCTAGACACGTCCTTGACGACAGCTGCCGCCAGCCCACCTTCCTGCACAGGGCTTCACCGACTACGACGGCAGCGGCGTGTGCGACGACGGTGGCGACGGCTCCGCCTGGGGCGCCTGCTCTCACGGTACGACTGCGCCGCCTACGCCGAGGGGTGATGGCGCGTCCATGACATGCGCATGTCCGCGACACGTCTGTAGGCCACGACTGCGCGGATTGCGGCCCGAGGGTGGCGCCGCTGGGGCACTCCTCTCCAGGCCAGTACGCGACGATGGCGGGGATGGCCGCATACGAGGAGGTGAGGAGTTCCGTGCCAAGAGCACACCCCAGTTTACGCGCAAGCGCACACGCACCACACACTGTCCCACTCGTGTCTCACCGCCGACAGCTGAACCCCCCCCCCCCCCTCCCCCAACCCCCTCTCCTTCTCCCATTCCCAGCACTTTGCGCGCGTGGAGACACTGACTTGTGTGGGGATAGTTGCCCGTGAGCTCGCCTCGCCTCGCCTCTGGGGTGGTCCGAGGGGGGGGGGGGGCTGGGTCGGCGGTGAGCCGTCACACACACACACACACCTCGCTCTCCACAGGGAAAGAGCTGGCACCCTGGCAAGTACGCGTCGGTGGCGGGGAGGGCGGCGGTGCACGATGGCGCAACGTGGCGGCCAAAAAAGTACGCCAGCATGGCTGGCGCGATGGCAGGTCTTCCTCGCGCGGTCAGTCAGTGGGTGGGTGGTACACACTTCCATGTGGTACACACTTCCTGGCGATGAGGCACCACCATCACGTAGCACAGGGCATGGCACACGAGGCGCTGAGTGTGCGTTCTCAGGGAAAGCATCGCCACAGACGTACACTCGCCTGCCCGGGTAGAAGGACAGGCGGGCCCCCTGCACTAGCACACTCGAGAGGGCCGGACACGCGCTCCGCTGTCTTCAGCTGTGCGTCCAGCTGCACCCGTAGCCTTCTCCTCCTCACACAAAGGCACGTCTCTCTCCTAGAGGTACTCACGCCGTGCCCCTGACTCGGGTGTGTCACGGCATAGGCTCCGGCGAGCAGGGCTGTGGCGGAGGCGTCCCAAAGGACGCGCATGGCTGCTGCCCGCACACCTACTGCCCCGGCGTGACGGGAGGCAGAGGCGAGGCGGCGCCAGCGGTTGCTGCAGTGGCCGCAGGCGCACCAGGCCATCTCTCTCTCTCTCTCTCTCTCTCTCTCTCTCTCTCTCTCTCTCTCTCTCTCTTCCTCTCTCTTCCTCTCTCTTCCTCTCTTCCTCTCTTCCTCCCTCTCTCCCTCCCCGCCCTCAACACACACACACACACACACACACACACACACACACACACACACACACACACACACACACACACACACACACACACACACACACACACACGCACGCACGCACGCACACACACACGCACGCACACTTCATCACACACAGCACGTCGTACACCCCTCACATCCCCCCCCCCGCCCCCCGCCCCTTCTGTCCAGGTCGGCGACACGGCGCAGAAGCAGGCGCCCCGCGCTGCGCTCTCGAGTCGGTCGCGAGATCTGGCCCGCGAGATGACCCGAGATTGCTCGAGATCAGGCGCTCGACGCGACCGTCGCCCTGACAAACACGGCCGTCGCCGACCGCCACGGGTGTGCGCGGCCTCCTCCTCTCCTCTCTCCCACGCGGACCGCAGCGGATGGCACGGACATGAACATGCACATGCCACACGCAACATGTCCATGTAGCATGCACATGCACATGCACATGTGCATGTGCATCTGCATATGTCGCCGGCACCCGCAGGTACGTGCCGGCGGGATACGTCCGGGCCGAGGGCGACCCCTACGCATCGGCAGGCGGCAGTGCCGTCCCCGCCGGGGCCGCCGCCGCCTGGTCGCCGGCTGCAAAAGGGGCGGCGAGCAACCCGGCCGTCAGCACCGTCTCCACGTGGGCTCACTTGATGGGCGCGCGAGATGATCCGAGATCACACGAGAGCACACGAGGTGGCCCGGAGGCACCCGCACCTTGAGCGACAGCGCACACCTGGCACACACAAGCGGCTCCCTCCCCCTTCCGAAGCTTCCGTATATGCGCAGGTGTCAAGGCGCTGATCACGCCGCCGCCGCCGCCGCCGCCCGGCGTGGTAGAATCCTTTCTCTCGGGCGTGGCGGGCTCGCTCGACGGCGGGCGCGCCTCTTCTCGCCGATGCCCCGCTTCTCCACCCTCACGCGCCCGCCCGACCCCCTCTTCTCGCTGTTCTCTCTCTCTCTCTCTCTCTCTCTCTCTCTCTCTCTCTCTCCCTCTCTCTCTCTCTCTCTCTCTCTCTCCCCCCCCCTCTCCCTCTCTCTCTCTCTCTCTCTCTCTCTCTCTTCTCACCCCCAGGGGCCGCCTTCCCCACACCCACTTGTTGGACACCAGGCTCATCGGTGCCGGCCTGCCCACGCTTTTCACGCCGCCGCCGCCGCCGCCCCCGGATGTGGTGCACACAATCCTCTTCGAGTGACGTGTGCGCGCCTGTACATATGTGTATATTGTACAGTACTTGTACGTGACCTCTATAAAGCCGTAGTGTTAGAGAGGTCACGACTCACG